AGCTCTTGGTGTTGTTCAAATTTTACTAACGGACACTTTCCCATGTGGGTTTGGGTTAGGGTACGTTAATCAGCTGTTTGCTAGTGAGGGCTACTCTAAAGTGTTACCATAAATTTTATTATTATTATTATTATCGAACATAAAGGTGGCCATCCTTCAAAAAGGTTGGGTACCCCTGATCTAGCTCCATTCCAATGAAGCTTTACCTCAGATGCAATAAATAGACCTCACACAAAACCCTATAATTACAATGTGTTTTAGCAGTGATAGCTTTTCTGAATAAGATTATCATATTTTACCAATTTCCCCGTCCTTTCTCCAGAATCTCTTCCCTAAACCGTTTTATTAGCACGCTGACAGTCTTACATTATTACAATGAGTGTCGAGTTCATTTTGGAGTGAGATATTTTACATCTTTGTCTTTGAGCTCAGACTGGGCACATAATAGAAATGGTGATAGATTCTTTTTCTTCCGCTGTATAAATTTGAAAGATAATGTGATGACAGAGGCTGTAATCTGCTCTGACGCCACGGAATCCCACTGCTATACAATCCCACTCACAATTACATTTACTCGCATTGGATTAAACTTGTACAACTTTAATCTGACTCTTTTGTGAGGTTAGAATGTGCTAATTTTTTTGCTAATTGACCCTCAAGACACAAGCGCTATTGAGGATCCGAGGTGAAGGTGGTTGTCCAGGTATAAAGGTGTTTGTGAGGCCATAAAGCAGTGTTCCCCAACCTTTTTAAGGCGTGGCACAACTTTTCCATTGAAAAAAATGAATCATGTTGCACACCTCCAGCTGAAAATGATGCAAAAATGGAACTTCACAACCTTATTTAACAGAGTAAAGTCATTTTTTATTATTATTACAGTATGTTTTTGCTTGTCTCTTTTTGTTTTTGTGTTATACGGACCTTTTTGTGTGTCTGAATTAAAGATGAAATAAATGATCATCAAAGTGAAATAAATAATCAAACATGCACATTGGGCAGAAAAACACAACACATTATCCATGGATAAGCTATGATCTATGTACAGTGGCTGAGTGGATAGCACTCGCTCTTCTCAGCAAGAAGGTCATGGGTTCAAATCCCGGTCGGAACAGGGTTCTCCCCGTGTCTGCATAGGTTTCCTCCGGGTGCTCCGGCTTCCCCTACCACTAAAAACATGCACAATAGGTCTGAATGTAATGAGAGAGTGAATGGATGGTGTTGATTGGAGGCTCTGATGCGGCAGTGTGTTCGGCGACTCGCTTCCGTCATCACCGTATGTGGAGAGAATGGACTAACTATTTGAACTCTGAACAATTATAAAGCGCTTTGGGTGACCTTGGTCTGTAAAATTTGCTAAATAAATAAAAATCTTATCTTTCAAAGATAAATTAAACATATTGGCTTTCTTTTCACATTATTTGTGTTTGTTTGTGTGTGCAATTTTGGCCAGGTGGTTTTGACATCAGCATCAACAAAGAATATGTGAAGTGTCTTTGAGAGTCCAAAAGAGCGCTGTTTAAAACCAATGCAATAATAGATATATATATAAATACTTTTATACAGCTCCAAGTGGATGATAAACTTTGAAGAAACAAATACATTCTATGACAGCCGTGGTTCATTGTTCAACAGTACATTTTAAGTCTCAATGTTGTTTTACATAGATTTCCCACTATTGTCTCAGGATAAAACGTCTTTCTTTTCTAATATGATGTTTTTGTTTTTCTGTGTTTTCTAATTTAACCACATAGATATTAACCAATCAATCTTTATTTGTATATATATATATTGCATGAACATATAGATTACATGTTTACCACATCGTTCAGGCCTAGTCTATATGCTTTGATTTGACTTTTATTTTTTCAGTTAAATTCGTACATCTAAAAATTATTGTTGAGTCAAATATCCATGTTTACTCCGTCCAAACCCCTCTCTATAAGTTTGAATCGTGCGTCCACATTTTTCTCAATCCGTCAAATCCTTCCTGACGCTCTAAAAAAGATGTTGTATTCTTCGGCGTCTCGGAACTGACAGCGCTGAAGGGATTTGTGATATTTTCTTCTGAAATTGGTCTAAATAAGGCTTAAGTCCAGTCACAGCGCGCCCGTAATGCCGCAAAGCTCCGTGGCTTATGCACAGGCTGCAGTCGTGACGCAGGGAGGACGACAGTGTGTCTGACGGCCCATATGTCATTTAAGTCACTTATTTTACAGACAGGCAGCAGAAGATGGAGCACAGAGCACGCATGGTGGCTCTAACCTGATTTACTCTATGTTTGTAAAAGCACTGATTCAATGACAAAGGAAAGGAAGAGGGCGATAAGGACCAAAAACAGCGTATTCAGCCGGTAAAAGTCAATAGCGTTAAGACAAACTGAGGAAGACACAAGAAATGTTACAAACCGTAGCTAATCATCAGTGGCTAAAGTCGCTGCCCATGGATTTAGATTTGACTATGAATCGGCTGAATTTTTCAAATATTGTGTCTTAAATATCCATTTTCACAGATTCACGCACCAAAGTATAATTGATTTGCAATGTTTTTCTGGTCTGCTAACACCAATAAATATTTGTGACTCGTTTGTGGAGTCTTCCCATTTCTGAGTCCTCCACAGCCTCAGTCCTTGTTCTGGAGCAGGGGTCTCCAACCTGTGGCTCAGGAGCTACTGTACCATTAGCTCGCCAGCTCCTTTCAGGTAGCTCGCCAAAGGATTTAGAATAAACAAATGATCTCTCTGCTTAGACTGCTGCCCCCGCGACCCGGCAACGGATGAAGCGGAAGAAAATGGATGGATGAATCTTGAATGAATATGTTTTGAGTCTATTATAAGTCTAGATCTAGGGTTATACAGTATTAAGGTATATTTCAATCAATCAATCAACGTTTATTTATAGAGCGCCTTTCCTACACAAGGCAACGCAAAGCGCCTCACAACCCATATAACATCATGCATAAATCATCAAACATTAGAATTTAAGTAAACATAAAAAGACAGATTAAGAGCACAAGATATATAAAATCACACAAGTAGTTAAAAACCGTAAAAAATTAAAATCACACAAGGGATTACAATCATAAATAATCATAAATAATCATAGCGCATTAAAAAGATTAAAGATAAAAACAAATGTAAAATCATTCACTTGTATGCACAGCTAAAAAGAACTGTTTTCAGTTCAGTTTTAAAAACTGCTAGAGTAGACGCCTGTCTCACACTCTCGGGAAGACGGTTCCAGACTCTAGCTGCATGAATCTGAAACGCAGCCTCCCCATGTCTAGTTCCGACTCTTGGCACTAACAGAAGTCCAGTCCCTGTGCTCCTCAGAGCCCGAGTTGGTTCATATGGCACCAACATGTCGCGGATGTACCCTGGTGCGAGGCCATGGAGAGACTTGTACACAAGTAAAGCTACTTTAAAATCTATTCTCTGAGCCACAGGAAGCCAGTGCAGAGACCTGAGGACCGGACTAATGTGGTCGTACTTCCTGGTTCTAGTCAGGACTCGAGCTGCAGCATTTTGGATGTACTGCAGCTGTTTTACCGCTTGTTTAGAGAGACCTGTGAACAAGCCATTGCAGTAGTCCAATCGACTGGAGACAAATGCGTGGATAAGAATCTCCAAGTCTGCTTTAGACACAATGTTTTTAATTTTAGCAATGTTTCTTAGGTGGAAGTAAGCTGATGATGTCACAGATGATATGTGGCTATTGAAATTCAAGTCTGAGTCCATTATTACTCCTAGATTTCTGACCTGAGTTGAGGGTTTCAGGGAGAGAGACTGGAGGTGGCAGATAACGCTCTCTCTTTGTTTCTGAGGTCCGAAAACAATAATTTCAGTTTTTTCTGTGTTTAGCTGGAGAAAGTTATTTTGAATCCAATCACTGATCTGTTGGATACAGTGAAGGAGCGAGTCCACTGGTCCATGTTCTCCTGCTGTCAGGGACACATAGACCTGAGTATCGTCAGCGTAATTGTGATAGGACACGTTATTACTGTGTATTAACCTACCCAGAGGCAGCATGTAAATATTAAACAGGAGAGGCCCCAGGATTGAGCCCTGTGGCACTCCGCAGGTCAGGGCCAGATGGTCTGAGACACAGTTTCCGATCTCCACAAAATACTTTCTGTCCTGTAGGTAGGATATAAACCAGCTTAGGGCTGTTCCAGAAACACCAACCCAGTCCTCAAGTCTCTGAATGAGGATACCATGATCGACAGTGTCGAAAGCAGCACTCAAATCTAACAGGATAAGAACTGAGACTTTTCCTGCGTCAGTGTTAAGTCTGATGTCATTTGTTACCTTCACTAGAGCGGTCTCTGTGCTGTGGTGGGGTCTAAAACCAGACTGGAACATATCAAAAGAGTGATTGATTATTAAAAATTCTGTAAGTTGGTGATAGACAACTTTTTCTAGAATTTTACCCATGAAAGGCAGATTTGAAATGGGCCGATAACTTTTAAGTGCCAAGGCATCCAGACTCCTCTTTTTTAGGAGGGGTCTGATGACTGCCGTTTTCAGGGCCATTGGGAATGTTCCAGATTCAAGAGACATATTTACTATATGCGTGAGTGAAGGTAAAAGACTGCTCAGAACAGATTTAAGAAATCTAGGAGGTAATACATCCAGGCTACATGTAGAAGAACTCAGACTTGTAATTATCATTTGGACAGTTTCATTTTGTACTGGTGTAAAGTGTATCAGCCCAAAAAGCTTCACTGGCTGTTGGATTGTAATTTCTACTGTGGAGGTGATGGCATTTTTGATGCCTTGGACTTTGTCATTAAAAAACTCTGCAAACTCATTACATTTGGTTTTGGAGGTAAGCTCTGATGGCATCTTAACAGGGGGATTTGTCAATTTATTTACTGGAATGATGCTGATGTCGAAGAGATGCTGACGGTTGCTTTCTGAAAGAAGGGCAGCTCTTTCTTTCCGTGGCTGAAAACTCTGAAAACATGAAGAAGTCGCTGGGCTCCTGGATCCGCTGTGAACGTACATGAGCGGCCTGCCCAGAGGTACACCACGCTGCAGCTCAGGTCTCGCTCGATCCAGCCAGTCTCTGATCCTTGTTGTGTCCGTGTCGTGAGAGGAGGTCCCCGAGGAGGGGGACCGTGGAGGGGCTGACCTTCAACACGGAACCTATGCTGGGGGTGGATTTGCAGTTTTCGAATTTAATTCAAGTTGACCTTGAAATGAAAGGGTCATATTATATTTAGAATTATAGTATTCAGTTGCATGGCATTTCATCAGGAATCAGAATTATAGTAACAGGAAGTCACCAACCAGGAATTGCCTTGTATATGGCGCAAACCTGTTATCCTAAACATTTAATTATCTGTTGCAATCACTTTGGAGACCCCTATGCATAAAAAAATGATGCACCTTAAGCCGTTTTTCTTTACTGAATAATTATGCTTATAAATGTTTTACTACTAGGGTTTCTGTGTATAAATGATCATTAGCATTAGAATTCTGTCTGATAGAGAAGACCTATTTAGATTTTCTAGAATTCGGTTGGAAATGTTGTTATTGGCGTGTTTTTAAAATGGCAATAAAAAAACATCAAAAAAATGCAATGTAGATATTTCCCAAAATGTCCTCTTAATAGCCTACAGACATATTAGAATAAATCTTTGAGAGAGACATTCAATGATTATAATAGTTGCTATTAACTGGGGGGCCACAAATTGAAACTTGTTTGAAGTGGTGAGAGGCACATACGCGTTGATCACAGCAATTCATTCTGATAGTTTTTACACCCGTTAATGAGCGACTATACTTTAATGAACTTTGAACCACGATGTAAAAGTACTTCTAAATATTCTTAAAATAGAGGTAAAAATGTGTTAATATTAGACCTACCATCTGTAACTAAAATTGGATTAAAAAACTAAAACTATTGTATCGTCATCATTGCATTGAAACATAGCACTACACCTTTTCCCATTCTTTTCAGGCTGTTATCTTGTTTGTCTGTTTTATCTCCTAAATTGTACACTGTAACAATAATCTGTACTCAAAATTGGGGTACCTAATTTTTAATTTAGTCCAAATGGGGAAAGAGGGTGAAAGTAAATAGTTCAGCAAAAAAAACTTGAACAACTTCATCAAATTAAAAACATGTGATCTTTGACCAAACTGTTTAGAGCCAGGAAATTGTTATGTCTATTTAGTTTGAGTTTTTTGCCCCTATCTGTCCTAGCATACATCGGATGGAACTGATTATACAGTATATGTCGCTATGAGTTGCACACTTCGACCAATCTGGTGAAAAGGAAAACTCCTTGTAGCAGACCAGTCTCCGGAATGACAGCGCGTTCATCTACAGCAATGGCCTCAATACAGTGTGTTTTCTGTCTAAACTGTAGATGGGCGCCATACACACGGAATATCACACATGTTGTTGCGAGCGCGTCATGGATCTTTTAGGAGCGGCACCATCGGGTGTATATCTCGGATCGGAGCAATTAGTTGCGAAAGTTAGACTCAGGCAATGACGGAATACGGAGATTGATGTTTAATCCCCTGGTGTAAGAGGAGTAAAAGGTGTCAATAGTTGCAAGGCGGATTTTGGCAATTGGAGTGTGATGGATGGAGATGATCAGTTGCCGGGGATAAAAATTGAAGTCGGTCGATGTGAGCGCTCTTACAACTGGAGATAAACAGTTGATCTCTGGATTCAGTCAGTTGCCCGTGTTCTAAGTTTCGGTAACTAGGAGATATCACCTGATTGTGCGCGCTCAAACTACATGTGTTTGAGGTTATCATGTGACGTATTGCGCGCCCTCTACAGTTTATGCCTGAAAATACACACTGTAGTTGACGGCCAGTTGCTGATCGATGATAGCGCTTTTATTCCCCAGACGGCTTGACATTGGAGTTGCCCGTTTTAGTCAGATTGTCGATGGTGTGTGGGGCAGCAAATCATAGGTAGGACGGATATAAACAGTGCCAGTCCGACTGTACTGTTACGCTAGGCATAACCTTTTATTTGAATTTTATTGTGTATTATTATTGTTGCTGTCAAACTCTGTTGTGATTGAGGGCCATACATGAACACCCTTGAATTGAAACATAATACTGAGCTGTGAGTGACTGACTGAAATACATCGACCTTATGATATGTGAGTGACGTCAGCCTCGAGGAGCGGGAGTGAGAACCTCTTTAATTATTATAAGGTCTGGTTGTAATTTCCAACTTCTGCCACTAGGGGGAGTGTGTTTTGCTAATTCTGACCGTCTCATATTGTAATACTCATACGTTTTACACTTGACTCTTCACAATTTAAAAAGCCTTAAACTTTCTCAAGATCACATTTAAGGGGCAAGATCGACACAAAGAAATAAATACCCAAACGTGTAATATTTCTTTACCATAACCCGTCTTAAAGAATGACCTGGACTGATCTGCTCAAATTCTAATCTCTCCTGGACCTTTTCAGACCTGCCGCCTCCAGTCACTTATCTTTCGTTTGGAAAAATATCAAACTTTTATTTTCTGGATTCCAAATATGTCTGTTTCCTTTTTAAAACAAAGAATGTCCCGAACCTGTCTTCCTGGCTGCCGATCCGACACCAACATTTTGCCTCCTTGCGGTTTTTGGGCCTCCTTGCGGTTTTTTGAGTTTTTTTCTTCCCGAAGCAGGAGGCTCTCAGTACAGTGTGATGATCCAGGACATTTCTGGACATTGGTCTCTGCCTCTTATGGACCAATGGCTCTATGTGTTTTCTATCATTGCATTTCCTGTCTTTGAACTTCATGATTCTCTGATCAAAAGTCACAAACTTCACAAAGAACGTACTCATTTTACAATAAGAAAAAACAAAAGAGAAAGGACTATATTAAGAATGTTAGTGCTAAACATTGCCGATATTCCAGTATGGTGTTTCGCTAATGGCTTTAGTATTCCGCTCGCCTGTCTTCAACTCCCTCATGTGGGAGATTAGCCTCCCATTGACACCGCCGCCATCGCCACCATTTCGAACTAACAATCGCCTGTTGCGGCTCATTGTGATAAAGGCTAATGGCGTCTTCAGCGCTTTATGAGAGACGCGGGCCGGCAAAGGATCCAGTTCAGCAAAAACAAAAGCCAAAGGACGGCGTATTGTGGTCCGACCTTGGAGCGCTTGGATAATTTATCTCCGTCATCACAAGAGAGAGATGTAGAGATAGTGAGAGCGCAGCGTGAAGCGGAAAAGTACTGTAAGGAATCCAGAAGTGTGTTTGTGCCACTGATGGATGGAGGGGGAGCGCGCGGAAGAAAAGGCTAATGTTTTGGTTTAGGAAAGAAGAGTTTAGGCCCAGGATGAGTCAGCGCAGGTGCAGACTTTGTACCTGGAATATAAAGATAGTGTCATTTAGAGTCTGAACAGATCGATCATTCAACACATGATGGAAGCTACTAAAGTTTAAGGATCAACATTTATCTTATTCATCTTCAACTGTGTTATTATCTTTGCAATGCACATGTACATACTTAACCATGTTTAAATAAGAGTTAGCGATTTGGACACATCATTTCTGGACTATTGGCTGCGACTTCTTTTCTAGTTTTTTAAACCCTGCAGCGTATATAGTGACGCGGCTAATATGTTTATTTTTATTGTGATAGAGTTGGGCTGTTGTCAGAGCAAATTTTTAACAGCTATAGGGCACTGGTTTATTGTCAAATAGATTGTCATATCGTCAAATCATATTGTGACCAGTTCAAACAGTCTGCTACAACATGGAAACCTGCGTCCTACTGTAAATAAGGACAAAATTTACTTTCTTTAACATTTTCATGGTGCGACTTTTATACAGGTGCACTTTATAGTCCAGAAAATATGGTGTACATATTTTTATTTGTTAAGACATTTATTGTGCACTGACTTTCTGTGGCTTTGAGAATAGACTGTTAAGCAGCTCTGTCTGTTATGAGTCTCTCCATGGCCTCACACCAAAATACATCTGTGACATGTTATTGCCATATGAACCAAGTCGGACTCTGAAGAGCACAGGGACTGGCCTCCTGCTGAGATTTATGCAGCTAACATCTGGAACAGTCTTCCTGAAAATGTGAGACCAGACTGTGTTCAAATCCAGGTTTACGAACAGTTCTGTTTAGCTGCAAACAACTGAGGGATTGTATCTTTGAACGTACTGTGTTTTTGTGTTTCTGAAGGGCTGCGTTTGGGGTGTGGCCTACAAGCTGCCGACGGGTCGCGAGGAGGAAGTGAAGCGTTACCTGGACTACCGCGAGAAGGGCGGCTACCAAGTCATCACCGTGACGTTCCACCCGCGCCCGCCCGCCACCGAGGCCAAGCCCAACCAGACCCTCCTCTACATCGGCTCCCATGACAATCCCAACTACCTGGGACCCGCCCCCATGGAGGAGATAGCCAATCAGATCGTGGAGAGCATCGGCCCCAGCGGGAGGAACACGGAGTACCTGTTTGAGCTCGCCGACGCGGTGCGCACCATCGCACCGGAGGATCTGGATGCACATTTGTTTTCTCTGGAGGGTTTGGTGAAGGAGAGGCTGCAGCAGAGACAGCTCCTACAGGCCAGTTGATCAGAGGTTCCTATTAGCATCAGAGGTTCCTATTAGCATCAGAGGTTCCTATTAGCATCAGAGGTTGCTATTAGAAAGGGACAGTCCAAGGGTTGGGGTTTGTGTCCAAGTCAATGTATTTTTGTGTGGCTCTGAATCACAGCAGCGGTTGTCTCTGAGGACTTTAATAATAATAATACATGTTATTTATATGGCGCCTTTTTGGACACTCAAGGTCCCCAGGTCTTTAAAAGCTGGGGCGCTTTTTTCACAAATAACACATTTTGTTTTTATTAACTGAAATAGAGCCCTGCAAGTCACTATTTGACACTTGAAAAAACCTGATCGGGAAATGAGACTGAGGCCAAAAACCAGTGATGGAACCAAAGAGAGAGATGCATTCATTACATAGTGAACATTTGTGTTGTTTGAAAGTCAGGTACCCCAGCTTTAAGCAAAAACTGAGACAGAGAAAAGTACGATACCTGAAGTAAAAGCATGGTACCAAATATCACTAATTACTTTAAATGTAAAAGTATTATTGCAGAATTGTAAATACTAGATTCATAGTATATTTTTGTACGGACGGCAGCATTGAAGTTAAGATTAGGATTAAGAGGTCCTTTATTCGTCTTACTGTGGGGAAATTTCAGTGTTGCGTCACAAGTTACAAACCAGTCGTAATGAGAAGCATGCAACACAACACAAGATAAGGGAATATTAAGTGTAGCACAAATATATACTTAGAAAATGAAATACAATCTGTATAAATAAATAAATATATATATTTCAATTATATATATATTAGTATAAATACCCGAACCAGAAACTTTTTCAATAAATAAATGGAAGTAAATCTGTAGTTTTATATAATCTGCATTTTGGCTTCGGCTCGTGCCACAACCCAAATATTAAATAAAAAATACATATTAATACCATTACCAGCCCATACAGCTTTTTTTGTTGAGTCAAAGTTTTGGTTTGAGCTCAAAGATGCCGTGAACGATCCATGAATGGACCATGTGCTTAATCATTTACAATACCTGCCATTTTACCCTTTTTTGATTCCTCCTCCATGTCGGCTGCTGCGTGTTCTGTCTCTTTCGCGTCTGTGGTCACCCTAAGACAGGACAGACTGTTCCGACATGAACAGACAGAACTCAGCAGCCGGAAACGGGGATATTTTTATCATTTAAGACTGGAAATATGATCGAATAATAATCAAATGCTTCTAAGGAGAAATATCAAGCATTTTTTTGTTACAACATTGACACCTCGAGTTGTTTTGAACTGCAATATGAGAAACTTCTGGCACAAATCTGTACTAGCGTCTGTCTCCCTGCTGTTTTCTAACTCTGTGGCGAATCCTCACGTTCAAAACTGTTTTCTATCCTTTACAACTAAAGTATCGCCTCCCAAAACTAGCTCAGAGAATGTCTCCCAATTGGATCGCACCCTGTTAAATCACAATTGTTCAGTGTAATATCCCATTTCTACCAGTAGATGGAGGTATTTCACTATTCAAAATCCTTTAATTACCCCATTTTACAATAAAATAATACATGTATGCAGATGTACTCCACTGTTTCTTTCTATTTCCTCCTAAAAATCCTAAATTTATTCTCGATGTGAAGTTCAGAAATTGTGTGTATTTATTATTTTGTTCCTGCCATTTTTAAAGCTGCTTGATCCGGTTTCATGTGTTGAGTAATGGAAAAGTAGCAAACAAAGCACTTATGACAATATGGTTTAACGTATTCAATTTAATTTATTTTTCAGAGATGTTGTCATTATACAAACGTTTACAGCTCAAACTATTGTTCCGAACTGACTCATCGTCCAATGTTCTTTGTGAGTCTTCCACTGACGAAAGAACTCTCATGTTGATTGTTTATGACCATTCTAAAATAAATGCATTCAAATTGTCTCATATTGTTGCATTGTGCGTTCAATTATGTTTTTTGGGAAGTAAATAAAAGAGATTATGAGAAAGAATGTCCTCTCAAACTCTAAACTTCTTACGGACAATTTAACAAGGACAAGTTTTCCTGAATTCGTCAAATACCTTTACTATCTCAATTTACATATTTATTGTAATTATTTTGAGTTTTACATAGCTGCTGTCTTTAAACCATTGGTGTCTGTTTTGTAAATCGACATTCCAGGAAAGTGCATTCTGATGACAAGTTTCATCCTAATTCTATCTTCTTTAGTTGAATCGTTGTTATCTGTTGAAATATAATAGAAAATCACTACCGGGAGAAGACCAAGGGGACCCCCAGGACTCGCCGGAGGGACTCTCAGCCGGCCCGGGAACACCTTGGGATTCCCATTGGACAAGCTTCAGGTGTGTGTGGGTCGAGAAGTCTGGGCCTCGTCACCCAGATACGGATAAAGTGGCTAGATGGTTGCTTGGAAACATCCCCCTGCTTGATGTTACCACGATCTACAATCAAGAAATCAGGAACAAACTGTAATATTACTTAATTAATATTACTTACTTCACAGTCTGCATCTCATCTCAGCTGCGCGTCAGGAAAGCTGTCGTCAAACCAATTTACCGACTTCTGTGGCTCTAAACCAGGCATGTCAAAGTCAAATACATCAGAGGGCCAAAAACACAAATTTGCTGCGAGCCGAGGGCCGGACTGGTTCAATGTTTATTAACTCATTGCCTGCCAGCCTATTTCAGAACAGGTACTCCCATATTTCCAGCCGTTCCTGATGATTTTTATAGATTTTTCAAGAACCACAGAATATTGTGTACTATGACTATCTGAAATCCGAAACCAGATTCTGAAAGAATAGACTGTCTACTTTCATCAGCAAAAAGAATTTTGTTTCTAGCTTGTAATCCCCAGTTGAGTAGAGGGAAGTTTTACTGAAATCACCAAAAAGTTGAGAAAAAAGAGGCACAACAAGTGCATCTAGCTGTTTTAAAACCATTCAGAGAGCGCTGCTGCCACCTGCTGGCTCGATTCAATATGCTCTCAAGCTTATCCCCAAACATATTAGATATAATAGACATCTGGGAACATGAAAATAGCGGAAAACGCAATTGACGTAATAGTGGCAATGGCAGGCAATGGCAGGCAACGGGCCATGTAAAATTCATTTGCGGGCCGGATTTGGCCCGCGGGCCTTGACTTTGACACATGTGCTCTAAACTCAAGTGGCAGCAGACAGTGTGATGGGGAAAAAAACAGTTTATATTAGCTACACCTCCGCAAGAAGCAAGACACGTTAACAAGTCACAAAGACAATTTATTTAACCGTCAACGGAATCATGTGCCGATAACAACCATACGATGTGAGGCTGCTGAGTAACGATGAAGCTAGGTCCGTCAAGGTCCAGGCTAAAGCTAACTAGCTATGAGCACAAGTTATGTTCTTGTGGTTTTATCTTTAACAATGTAAGAAGAAGATGCACTTTATTGGTCTCACAATGTAGAAATTTGGTTTGATAAATACACAGTTTGCAACCCAAGGACGCAACGGCAGCAGACATCAGGAAGCAGTAGCAGTAGCAGTAGCTCATGGCCTTTAGGTCCAAATGGCCAATGCTCTACCAACTATACCACTGTTACTTCAAACTACTATGTCTACAAAACTGCACATAAAGAAGACAAAAACCCAAATGGCTTTAACTTTTTGAGGTTACTTATTTCCGGTGTAGTAGGTCCTCAAAAAGGGCGACCTACGACAGATGGATCCTTTTGAGCTGTTAGCATAGCATTAGCTTCCTGTATCAATTAGGCTGTTTAGTCATATGCAAGTTTATATTATTTGTTTTATTTGAACAAAACAGCAGAAATTCAAAACATTGTAACAACTTGATTTAATTAAAATCATTTAACACTGAAAGAAAAGTTTTTATATCATTGATATTTGTCACAGAACATGTTTATTGATCTGTTTGGTGCTTTCAGCCTCATCCTGCTGTGAGAGAGAGTGGGATTTAACCCTTGTTCTATCCTTGGGTCCCCGCCACAGTGATTCAAAAATACCCTAAATAAAACATTTTAAAGCTGAATTTTGATGATATTACCTACCTTGACCAGCGCTGAGTCATTTAGACCCTAATTTAGGTAATTTCCTTCTACTTTTTATGATCTGTGGTGGGTGATTTTGACCCGAGGGCAGCACAGGTGTTAAGAGACAAGATCATGATACAGTTTATAGTATAGTGTTGTTGGGCGGGTCGCCCTGAGGTACAGACAAGTTCAAGGTTACTAAAGCAGACATATACAAGTACAGAATACTCAGCTGTGAGCTCCATAACACTTTGGAAATGATGTAAGAGGTGTGCAAGCACTTTTCTACTCTTCATGAGTCATATCAGCGAGTAAATATATTGTTTCATATAGTTTATTCACTTTTTAAAATATATGAAAATGTGTAAGTTTAATATGATTGCAAATAATTGGATCATTTGTTCACCATAGTGTTACTAATTTAAATTCTGCACTGTTAAATAGTTTTTTAATTAAAACATATGCTATTTTATGACACATAGTCCAAAAAAAAAAAAAAAAAAACATGTAAACAAAAGTTTCATGGACTTGATTCAACCGAAAAATGGTATTTTGTCCATAAGTCCATGAGAAGAGGATCTAAGGATGTGATAAAAACAGCTCATTTTAAATGACTATGGTTCTGAAAAGCGTCTTTCAGGGATGAAAACTACTTGGCAACTCTCCAATGTACAGTTCTGATCTACAGGCTGCAGGGGGCGCTGTCCACAGACCCAGAGGAAACACAGGAGTCCAGTCAGAAGTCCTATCCAGGGGTTTGACAGATCCATGATGCTGCTGCGAGAAGGGGGCGGGGTCTCTGACAGAGGGGCGGGGCTTCAGGTGGGACAGCGAAGAGGGCGGGGCTTCAAGTGTGACAGCCGAGGAGGCGGGGCTTCAGGCGTAGTAGCAGGGCGACACCAGCAGGTCTGTGAGCACGAGGAGCTGATCGTCAGTGAAGCTCTGACGATGCTCCTGCCAGTTATCGTGATGAGTGCGTCTGAACTCCGACAGGGTCTTCTTCACCGTCATCTGAGCACACACACACACACACACGCACGCACGCACGCACGCACGCACGCACGCACACGCACACGCACATTACAAGATTAATATTTGCTCTCAATGTAAATACAATCCATCCATCCATTTTCTTCCGCTTCATCCGTTGCCGGGAGTAACAACAACAACAACAATAATAAAAATAATAACATAGAAGTTGATGACATAATCCGACCATTAAACGTCTGAAAACGCTGCCTGCGGAGCGTGTGCCGCCTCAGCCGTGATCTCATCTGTTTACACGAATGAATTAATAATGATCAAAGTCATTAATTCGTCTCCAAATGTCAAGTGGAACTATTAAAATTCACCGGAAGGAAATAATTACTCTAGTGATGGTCTGGAGAGCCGAGGGGGACCGGTTCTTCTCCAAAAAAAAAACAGTAAACCTCTTGCCAACATTATCATTATTAAAACTAGTATCAAAAAAACTCTTGAAATAGGACGTATTTAACTGTCTAATACAATCCATGTTTTGTCTCCTTCTATAATCTCCATGACAACAGAAAAACAGCAAGCTCTTATCAGAAAAATTATCTATAATCATGCCGTTATTATTTTTTTTGCCGATGTTAAAGCCATTTTTGTCTAAATTAAGTCCAGTTTTGTATATATTTTCACTTATTCCCACTGGGTTTTTAGTCTAAAGACAGTGATGATCCTAGACATGACATTTACAGACACCGATGGATTCTCTGATCTGTGTTGGCGAATCAACAACTTCATAATGTCCAAAAACAACACAATTATGTAGACCAAATCGATGACGAGTTATTTCTCAAGCTCTGGTATAGTACCAGTACGGGGGCGACAGTAGCTCAGTTGGTAGAGCATTGGCCTTCAGGCCTGAAGGTCGTGGGTTCAATTCCCACCTCTGCACCTTCTCCACCGACTCCCACTGATGACTGCTGTCGTTGTGTCCTTGGGCAAGACACTTAACCCCACTTTGCCCAAAGCCCCCACTGAAAGATCAAGGCTTTGCTCACAGTCAGAGAGCAGCCGTCCTCCTGTGGACTCACCACCTGCAGAGGATCAGTGAGGGGCTGGTGCTATGAGACTTGGGTGGCATCTCTGACTGCCACCCCCCTGACCCAGAAATGGATTAAAGGGTAGAAAATGGATGGATGGATGGATGGTATAGTACGTATTATAAATCATTTATGTGAAAAACTTTTTAGTAATAAACAAAATCAACCCAAAAAGCCTTGGATTTCTGCCTGATATTTTAAGCTCAATTTTTGCTTCTTTATTAAGCTAAAGTTAGAGATAGTATTTTGTTTTAGTAATCATTTATGTCGTTCTGTGTGGTCCTCATTCCTGCTGTTTTGTATCTGAAATGTCCCCACTGTCTGACGAATAAAGCATCTCTTCATGATTTCTACTTTTCACCATCTCCGTGACGACCCACCAGCTGAGCGACGTACAATTTTACTGCATTTGAAAACATAATCTGTTCGAATTCCTCTCGTTTTGCAACACGAGAAACCCAGAATGATCCTCATTTCCGTCTCTCTGTCGCCGCGGTGTATTATTCAGAAGCTCAGAGTTATAGTCTACATCGTATGTCTTCTTCAGGCTTCGGTTGGCGCCAAAAAGATGCAATTTTCCTCTCAATTGGACGAGGAAATTGTCTTTTTTTGGGCTCGCTGTGAGTTCAGTGGGACAGACGTTTGTTTGACTTGGAGAAAGAGAGACTGTAAACATTAAAGAAGACATCATGTGATCCGCCGTGTCCCTCGCTTTGTAGTGGGTAAAATACACGACTTATTATTATACTTTCTCTGGAGATTTCTGCTTCCGTTTTCTTACAATGTCACATTTAAGTTCAGTTTTGTTATCTGTGAGTTTAAATCCAATTAAAACAATGTATTCATTATTTTGTTTTCATGCGATTTATTCATTCCGTTGTGTGGAGTGAAAAAATATCTGAACCCTGAGCTTCGGGTGATCTAGTGATAGAACCAAACTGTTTTGAGACAAGGAACGAAGAAGAGTTGTGGTTAGGAAGTTAGGTACCCCAGCTTTAATGGTAACCGCAGAAACCTGCCACTGGGTCGCCCACTTTGGAATCTCTCTTGTCCATATGTGCTGTAGGCATTAAGTATGGGATTGGATTACACTTCTGTCTAGAGTTGTATGCACTATCTGTCATTGTGTGTGTGTGTGTGTGTGTGTGTGTGTGTTACCTCTATGGGCTGGGGGTCATTGAGGTGGTCACTAAGCTCCATCAGGATCTGAGGCATCCACTCGGGAACGTCATAGGGACTGGACATGATGCAGGCGCTCAGGCCCAGCACCCCGGCATGTCGACGCACCAGGTCTGAGGGAAAAGAGCGAGTCAAGAACATACGCAAGGCAAGTGCGTAACAAAACAAGACAATAGACAAATACAATAAGCATAAAAAAATCACAGTAGATAAACATTAAATGAAGATAGAATCCTTCAGTTGTCATCATGTAATTGTCTACCCCTTTATTAATCCATTTCTGGGTCGGGGGGTGGCAATTAGAGCTGCTACCCAAGTCTCATGGCACCAGTCCCTCGCTGATCCTCCTGTAGATTGTGAGTCCACAGGAAGATGGCTTCTCCGTCATTGAAGACATTGGCCTTGATCTTTCAGCGTGGCTTCAGGCAATGTGAGGTTAAGTGTCTTGCCCAGGGACACAACGACAGCAGACATCAGAGGGAGCAAATGACCTGGGTAAACCCATGACCATTAGGTCCAAAGACCAGTGCTCTACCAACTGAGTTACTGTGTTCAGGCCTTCAGGTGTATGCACTGCTAAACAGAGCTGCTTTTAATCTGGATTTGAAGAAGAAGCCTGTCTCACATTTTCAGCAAGACTGTTCCAGATTTTAGTTGCATAGAGTAAATCTCGGCCTCCACAGTCCTGACTCCTGGGCCCCAGCAGGAGGCCAGTCCCTGTGCTCCTCAAAGTCCCAGCAGGAGGCCAGTCCCTGTGCTCCTCAGAGTCCCAGCAGGAGGCCAGTCCCTGTGCTCCTCAAAGTCCCAGCAGGAGGCCAGTCCCTGTGCTCCTCAGAGTCACAGCAGGAAGCCAGTCCCTGTGCTCCTCAGAGTCACAGCAGGAGGCCAGTCCCTGTGCTCCTCAGAGTCCCAGCAGGAGGCCAGTCCCTGTGCTCCTCAGAGTCCCAGCAGGAGGCCAGTCCCTGTGCTCCTCAGAGTCACAGCAGGAAGCCAGTCCCTGTGCTCCTCAGAGTCACAGCAGGAGGCCAGTCCCTGTGCTCCTCAGAGTCCCAGCAGGAGGCCAGTCCCTGTGCTCCTCAGAGTCCGACTTGGTTCATGTGGCACGAACATGTCGCAGATGTACTTTTGTTAGAGCCACAAAAGCCAGAGACCTGAGAACGAGACAACTTCCTGGTTCTAGTCTGGAGCTGCAGTTGTAATGTCTCTTAGTGATTTTGAGAGCAACAGTCACTTCCTCAGTCAGTAATTTTCAGGATTTTTGCACAAATTTTCCAATGTTGTTTTAATTTGCAAAATAAACTGAATCTAAATCAGTCGCTACACTTCCCCCTAACGCATCGTAACTACTGGATCAGAGTTGTGTGTAAACAGACCACACTGAACAGCAGCAGTCCTATCGATGCCAGACTCTTTCTTGTTGTTTATTTTTATCCCTGTGTGCGTGTGCTTTACCTGTGGAGGCGATCTCTCCTCGAGCTCTGGGGACCGCGGTCTGACTCAGCGTGTGCAGCTTGGAGTGCAGACCAGAGTCCAGGGGAAAGAAGTGACACTGCAGCAGTCCACTGAGGGTGGTGCCGGCCATGTCCCGCACCTGCAGAGGACACACACACACACGCACACACAGACACACACAGACACACACATGAGAGGTGGGCCCATGTGGAAGTACAGCAGTTTGTTCATTTGTTGACAATTGTTTTTTCAGATTCATTTTATTTGCCATTTGCAGTAAAACCACATTGGCATAGATGTGCAAAAGTCCCTCAGTGTGCACCAGACAAAACAAGCTAAAAGAAAGCACAAGAATGTCACTGTGAAATCAATCAACTAAAACAGTTTCAATACAAGTGCAGGATTATTATAGCTCCATGTAAACCAGATACTAGCTAGCGTACCATGTGGGAGCTAACAAGGATATAAACAAAATGATGAAAACACAGGGACGGAAGCAAGGGAGGGACGAGGGCAAATCCAGACAAACTCGGTGAGAAAAATCAAATCCGACAAATACGAAATGGTGTGAGAGGAGAGAGAGAGAGAGAGAGAGAGAGAGAGAGAGAGAGAGAGAGAGAGAGAGAGAGAGAGAGAGAGAGAGAGAGAGAGAGAGAGAGAGAGAGAGAGAAAGAGAGAGAGAAGAGAGAGAGAGAAAGAGAAAGAGAAAGAGAAAGAGAGAGAGAGAGAGAGAGAGAGAGAGGAGAGAGAGAGAGACGAGAGAGAGAGAGAGAGAGATGAGAGAGAGAGAAAGAGAAAGAGAATGAGAGAAAGAAGAAAGAGAGAAGAGAGGAGAGAGGAAAGAGAGAGAGAGAGAGAGAGAGAGAGAGAGAGAGAGAGAGAGAGAGAGAGAGAGAGAGAGACTTGGAGTTTAGCTGAGGTAAGTGTCACACGCGAACATGGCGGCTTCCTGCATAATTCTAACATAAATATCTGAAAAGCTGATCTAATTATACAGTTACATGGATTCTTTTACATAAATCCATGTGTTTGTGGTTTTAAAGTCAGGTACCCCAGCTTTAAATGGCCGGAAACACAATTTTTGCTTCATACCCTAATTTGTTACCTCAGGTCTGTTTATGATGAGGGAACAATTTTGTAACCACAGACTGTATATTATATATATATATATATATATATGGACAATACTAGTCCTGCAAGCCTGAAAGGGATGTGCTCATAGACAAAGTTTTGCTCCAACTCGCTCTGGCTCTCATTAACTTTAACACTAGCTCAGTAACTGTTTATGTCGCTCTCATAATTTTGGGCTTATAAAGAATCTGTGGTTTAGCGCTCTCAAGAATTCTGGTGTTTTTTATGTTGATGTTGTCTTTTTGATATGAGTCCCTAAGAATTGACTAATCAGATGCCTTCACTCAGGGGGGAAACTCCAGCTTGCCTTAGCAACCAAGGTAAGCGATATCTCTGTCCATGTTAAGGCTCGTAGCTAACCCTGTCAGAACAAATGCCCATATTACAAAATTGCCCCCAGCTAGCTTATATTCAAATCGCCCATCTTCCACGTTCGGCTAACGCTATAGTGATTTCAGCACCTTGGACAGCGCTCTGCCAATGCACGGACTGTGGTTGCAACTTGGTTAAAAGCTCAAAAACATTACAGATTTTAATGTCTTGCGCAAAGCCCTCAAACACACTCTTTTTCCTTCCAGTTGCTCAAAATGTGTTATGTTCAAATATGTTATAAAAGCAGCTCTCTGTGTCAGAAAAAAATAGTGTTTTCTATATAATTATAGAGTATATTCTTTTCACCAGGATTAAGCTGCTAATGTGGCACTCGGGATGTGCTCTGAATGTTGTGAAACGTGCTCAGGAACTCATTGTGGAGAATTATGTAGTTGTGTGATATCTAAAAAAGAGAGGGGCAACTACTTTCTCTATCAACATTAAAATTTCTCCGTAGGTCCTAGTTTGAGTCCTGTTATATCTCATATCTAGTTTGCATGGAACTTAGGAGCAAAAGACTCTTCCGGACTCTAACTGGTTTTGTTCGGGACAAAAGTTTAGGACCTATTTAAAACCGGAGTTAAATCAGGCGTATTAAAAATGAATGTTCAAATCATACATAAATAATGACGCCAAAGGATCGCAGGCTTCAGGTGCTTCCAGGACATTAGCGAGAGATCCTGAAGAGTAACAGAGAGTATGGTTCATTCTCGAGAGCTTGGGACTTTCACTCCAGGACTGAGGCTGTAGATCCAGGACTGAGGCTGTAGATCCAGGACTGAGGCTGTAGATCCAGGACTGCTGCTGTAGATCCAGGACTGCTGCTGTAGATCCAGGACTGCTGCTGTAGATCCAGGACTGCTGCTGTAGATCCAGGACTGCTGCTGTAGATCCAGGACTGAGGCTGTAGATCCAGGACTGAGGCTGTAGATCCAGGACTGAGGCTGTAGATCCAGGACTGAGGCTGTAGATCCAGGACTGAGGCTGTAGATCCAGGACTGAGGCTGTAGATCCAGGACTGAGGCTGTAGATCCAGGACCCAGAATTGCTAAACTTGTTTAAATTGACAACCAAAATCCAAATCCAAAATATTTTCTGTCCCATGTCCAGTCTCTATGTGGTTCTCATGCATGTCTGATCCGGCCTGTGTGTTACGAGGCCATAGCAGGTTCCTAGCATGAGAGAAACACGTGAGTCTCTGTAAACATACATCTCGGTTTTTTGAATAGTAGTAGACATGACAAGGACACGCTTTGCACTACTTATATCTACAGTGAGCCTGCCAGCCATGTTTTTTTTCCTCCTTTATGTGGGAGGAAAGCAGACGTGAACATGGCAACCGCAGACTCCTGGCAGTATGATGAGACTCCGTGTACTTCCTCATTCCAACTACATGCATTTGATTTGACAGGTTTTTAGCAGGATGCAGGTTTTCGTTGTATGTTATTATTCACCGCCTGAGGTCGAACGAGGATAATGCAGAGAAGAACGGAAGCTACTATTTGCTACGGCTGTTGGTTCAATCCACTGAATCCCAAATGTAATATTGAACTGAGCTATGTTGATTTATGTGATTTTTGGGGCTGAAATACAATCTTTTGCATATGTTTGAAATTAGAGGTATATAGGAGGATTTTTAAAAAATTTCAGAAAGAACTGCCTTTTCCACTTTTTGAAAAAAACTCTCTAGTCTTGTTTGACGAGGACGTATCACCAGAATGAGGAGGACCAATATAAAACCCGGCAGTAGAAATTCCTCCTATACCTTTACCTTTATTTCACACATGCAGCAGCTCTCTTGTTAAAGTGAAGTTTGGTTTGTTTACAAAAAAGTATTTTTTATGCAATTGCCAGTTAGACCCGCCTCCACAGCAGTCTGATTGGTTGCAATTAATTCAAATCTTTGCTCGACAGCTGAGGCTCCTCCCCATTGTTAAAACTATTTTACTCCAGCAAATGTTATTGGTGATAGTTGTTCCAAGGGAAGAAGCTGTTTTAAAAGTCATCATGAAAAAATATTCAAAGGTGATATATTATTCAAAAAATATTCAAATTGTATTTCATTTTTTATAATAATGTATATTCCTGACCATTGGACACTGTGCCAAAATGTACAGGAAGTTCATACCATTGGCATAACTTTCACTCTTTCTCATTGGCTGTATAAAAATGAAGCTCAATGAAGCCCAATAGGGAAGTGCTCACAGACAAAGTTTTGCACCAACTCTCTATGGCTCATATTTACTTCCATTGAAACTGCTCTAGCTCAGTGTCACATTCACCATTTTGGGGATTGAATAAAATGGCAGCCAGACGTCATTAAGTCTATGCTAGAGGTTAGTCGACTCCTAATCTACAGTCTATTCTCTCTCTCTTCAAAGTTTTAAGTGATTGACATTAGCTTGAATTCAAATATTACTAAAGAGTCAAATAAATGTATTATTGAAAATATATATAAATAGAGTTGCAGTTTCAGTTAGATCCCCTTTAAAGAGCAAGGCCAGCTGAAACTCCCCAATCAGAGTGACCTCAAACAGGACCCCGGTATCTTCGATTTTCTCAATGCTAGTGTTAGCATTGAGGCTAAAACTAAAGCTAGAGGTGAGTCCACTCCTAATGTACAGTCGATGCTCTTTCTTCACAGTTTAGGAAGTAACTGACATTTACTTTAATTTAAATGGTACTGAAGGGTCAAACATATGTATTAATATGAAAATGAAAAACACTTGAAGTTGCAGACATCCCCTTTAACTCCCCAGCGTTGAACCAATCAGCGCATTAGACCTCGAACAGACCCAGGTATCATTGATTTTCCCTCCAACGTCCCCAAAATCAATGGTCGACCAGCTCTTCAAAAAAAAAAAAAATCTTCTTTTAAACGCACCGTTACAAGCAAGACACGGCATCGACCCAAAATGGCCGCCAGACGTCAATTTTTACAAAGGGCGGCGGTGAAAGCAGTGTCGCGTACGCCGGCCGAGGCAGAGGCGCGTCAATAATACATCACGACAGCAGCGATTCATCTAGATAAACATGATTAGGTGAGCGCCGTTTTAGATGACGGAGCGCTTTGCTATTTATAGTTGCCAAGATTATAAAACAAAAGCGGCGCATATGGCGAGATGGAGGCTTATTGTTTTGTCGGGGAGGTAACAGAAGTCCAACCAATCCATGGAAACGCGTCTATTTTTACATTTGGCCTGCGTTACAACGATTGCAGTTTTGAAAGTGATGGTACAGGTTTATAAATAGTGAGATTGCGTTTGTGGATTTGTTGAAAACTTTTGTTATTTTACGTGTGAATGCCAACCGTTATTGCCAAAAGAGCAATCTGTCTATTTTGTGTTTTATGTAATAGAATTGAAAAAAAAAGCAGCTCTATGAACTAAATGTGAATTCTAAATATCACATTATTTCTATGATTGTCACAAACAAGTCTAAACTAAACTAAAGTAATGGGACTGAGCTGGATTTAACTGTCCAACTGAAAATCTCTAAACTGTCTCAAAACTGTCTCAAAACTGCTTGAATTTGATTAAGAAAAGGAAATATATAGTTTCTCATGTCCTTAAATCACGAATAGTGGCAATGGTTGCCGTGTTGATTGGACCTGTGTCTGTTTTTCACCGCACAAAGACAGGGACGTGCCAAAACAAAATGGTCAAATCCAATTTAAGTATAGTGCTTTGTTGGACACTCAAATAGCAATATAATAATACAGCAGCCCACAAGACTGTATCACAAATGTAAACTTCATTTGTTAATTTAATTATATAGTGTAATGATATAATTAAATGACTTCAAGGAGGAGCAGGGGGCGAGAAGGGAGGGGGGGGGGGGCAGTGCCTTAACTTCTCTTTTAATGATTTTAATGTATTTTATTGTCTTTTTTTTAAACTGTTTTGTATCTTTTAACTCTATCCTATGTTTGTATTTGTGTATGATTGCGAGCAAGAGACCAATGCACAATTTCCTTTGGGATCAATAAAGTATATATCTATCTATCTATATGATATATAACGGTGTGTATGAACGCAGAACCTTCACAATAGAACACTCTTTGTCTGCTGTATTCATATAACACTGGCACCAACACTGATGCATTATGGTATGTGTTGCTTCTTGTTGCTCACCTCCAGTTGTTCGTCCAGCAGCAGCTGCATGACCAGAGCCCTGATACGGAGCACTTCCTGTGGTAGACTGAGCAGCGTGAACAGGTTGTAGAAGACCATGATCTGGAGGTACGTGAGGACGGAGAAGCGAGAGTGCCACGACCGCTTCAGCGACATCTGCAACCAAGTAACAGCAAGTCTCACGCAAGGAATTAGCTCTGGCTCAACGTGCAAACAAGTTATACAAGAAAAAAAGCAGATACAAAGGCAAAGTTATGGACAAGGATGTGTCACAGTATTTTGCAGTACGGAAAAGCTGGAAAAGAGAGGCCACGAAAACAACCAGAGATTCAACCTGCTTTACTCCCTCATTAATATCAGCTTTATTTAAAACAACACCAGCTGCCCAAAGTTCTTCAAAGACAAAATAAAACATAAAAGCAAACAGCATAAAAAACTTACAAATACATATAAAAAGTAAAACTCACTTGGTGTTAAAAACCAAGGCAAAGAAATGTGTCTTTAGACTAGATTTATTGCACAGTTTGGGGGGATACAACACATTAAGAACCAAATACCACTAAAACTATTCAATTTATTTTTGCATAGCCCTAAATCACAACAGTCAATTGTGGGTGGGACTCAATTGTCGATTCGCCAACACAGATAAAACAGTCCGAACTCAGGAAACGCAATCATAAAAAACCCATAGAGCCGTTGGTCCATAACGGGCAGATGACAAATGTCCATAAATGTCCATAAATGTCCATAAAGTCCTTAGACCCTGCTGTACACAACGCAATATGTGTTTTGTTAGCTTGTCAGACCAGCGTTTTTAAATATACAAATGTCCCAATAAAATGTACATCTTAAATGTAGGAAGTGTAACAAAGTAGGACAATAACCACGCTATTCTAAAACAGACAAATCTAATGTCCCCCATGCATAAATGAGATTAGGGCTTTTTAGGACAAAACACAGACTTTCTCCATTTGCTCGGTTCCCTCCGACAGCTTAAGCAGAGAGAAGCATTGTGTGTGGATCGTTTGTGCAAAATTACACAGCTGAGTTACTGGGAAAGCCATTATCTTACTATTTCAACATTTCCTAAGGACAATTTGCACATGTTTGAGTTCATTTGCAGAATTTGCGGGCGATTAGGTGAATGTACGGTGGAGATGGTGTCCTTCGTTTTCTCTCTAATGTGGCCAGGAGAAAGAGCTTACAATATTTTGCTGCTATAAAACTCACACATAGTTAGGATGGAGACTTTAAAGGGCCCATATAAAGTTGTTTAATAGACTTTTAAAGCAGGTTTGATGTTTTAGCCTTGGCGTTGTGGGTTAAACTCATGGCTCTATAATAATAAATGGATAGGGTATTACTCACTTATAGCTGTACCACCCATGGGCACAGGGGGCGCCAGCGGTACTGAAGACTAAATTTACACGGGCTACCCAGAAAAACTTTCCATAGAACTCAATGTAAACTAAAATAGCTAGTTTAGTTTAGAACAGCTAGAACACAGGGGATTTTAGTGTTCCTTGTCATTCTTAACTTTTTTTCTTGTTAAATCCTTCTCTATAAATCTATATAGCGCTTTTTTGGACACTCAGAGACGCTAATCTTTCGGTCTCTATGTAGATCCAGCATTCATTCCAGTTTGGTCCAGATTCTCTATTTCAGACACTTTCGGGGACTGCAGACTATAATCTAGTGCAGAACATACTATATCTGTCTTTGAGTTTAATGTTGCTTTACATTGTCCTTTTCAAATAAAGACTAAACTAAACTACAATTTCATGCACTTGGTGACAAAACACATAAGGTCTGAAAGGCAGAGGCTAAATCTTATAAACGCATACCCTTTAGCAGGGAGTTTAAACTTAAGCAGCTGCGATAAACAAATCAAAATATGCCGTATTGCTTTGCACTCAAGAAATGGGCAAGATTTTGTATATATAATTCCTGTTTTTAAGCAATCTAAATAGGGCTATAGCTGGATTTTATTATTTTTTTTGGTTTTCAAAAAGGAATATTCAGGCTTTAGGTCGGTTTCTTAGAAAACTCTACCCACACAGGAGAATGAATGCATGTTTATTGGTCTCCCACATCAACCGTTCCACTCTGCTCGATTTTTCCTGCGTTTTCAGACCTGTAGATGAGTACACACAAAACACTATAATTTCTGGAGGAGCCGAGGTGCATCTCCGCATCTGTAAGTTGTTTGAATAGTAAATTAACCTTGTGTTGAACGACTGCGAGACTGAACTCCTATTTTCAGCCTTTGTCGAGTTTAAAATAGAAGAAGTTTCACCAAAGCGAAAACAAGACAAGATGGTGGTCCTCTCTTTTTCACTTTTCTGTCTGGAAAAAACTGATGTGACAGAGACCTAGTTTTATGGATTGTTTTACAACGTATTTTTGTGGTTTGAAGTTACATACCCCAGCTTTAATTATGCCTATTGTTTACAACTTACATTTTTTCTTCTTGAAGGCAAACTTAGCAACTGTCCTAATTCCATGTACATTTTGTTTTGCCTTCAGATATTTAGCGGTATCAATCATCTGTAATGAAATGTCTGTTACCATAGCAACGTACTGTTCACTAGTTATAATGGACTCAGACTTAAATTTCAATAGCCACATATCATCTGTGACATCATCAGCTTACTTCCATCTAAGAAACATTGCTAAAATTAAAAACATTGTGTCTAAAGCAGACTTGGAGATTCTTATCCACGCATTTGTCTCATAGTCGATTGGACTACTGCAATGGCTTGTTCACAGGTCTCTCTAAACAAGCGGTAAAACAGCTGCAGTACATCCAAAATGCTGCAGCTCGAGTCCTGACTAGAACCAGGAAGTACGACCACATTAGTCCGGTCCTCAGGTCTCTGCACTGGCTTCCTGTGGCTCAGAGAATAGACTTTAAAGTAGCTTTACTTGTGTACAAGTCTCTCCATGGCCTCGCACCAGGGTACATCCGCGACATGTTGGTGCCATATGAACCAACTCGGGCTCTGAGGAGCACAGGGACTGGACTTCTGTTAGTGCCAAGAGTCGGAACTAGACATGGGGAGGCTGCGTTTCAGATTCATGCAGCTAGAGTCTGGAACCGTCTTCCCGAGAGTGTGAGACAGGCGTCTACTCTAGCAGTTTTTAAAACTGAACTGAAAACAGTTCTTTTTAGCTGTGCACACAAGTGAATGATTTTATATTTGTTTTTATCTTTAATCTTTTAAATGCGCTATGATTATTTATGATTGTAATCCCTTGTGTGATTTTAATGTTTTACGGTTTTTAACTACTTGTGTGATTTTATATATCTTGTGCTCTTAATCTGTCTTTTTATGTTTACTTAAATTCTAATGTTTGATGATTTATGCATGATGTTATATGGGTTGTGAGGCACTTTGCGTTGCCTTGTGTAGGAAAGGCGCTCTATAAATAAACGTTGATTGATTGATTGATTGATTGATAGTTTTAGCACAAAGTAAAAGGGGATAAAGATTAAAAAACATAGGCCCCACTATCAACAAATAACACAAATTACTTTCTAATATAAAAGGATCAATTCTGGGAGAATAATGTTATTGCAAAGGTGAAAAATATGGAAATATTGGATCAAAAAATACAGTATTGACACTAATTTTTAATGTGCCAAATGTATAACGTAAATAAAACAGTGAAAAGTGGATTTTGTTTAATATACAGATACAAAGATAGCAGTCTATAGTACAAAAGTTAGCGGACACTCCATACGAAAAGATACAAGGCAAGTTTAATCGTATAGCACGGTAAATACCCAAGGCAGATGTGTTCAATTACAGCCTGCTGAATGGGCAATTCTTGGAAATCGTCTCCAAAGAAGGAAACCCGGCAAAAGCAATTGTGAAAAAAAATATATATAAAAAACTAGCAGTTGTAAATTGTGGTGGTAGTGCCGCGCCAGGCTGTAATTATTATTGGGTGGGAGGTGAAAAATTGCCCACGTTTGAGCTCAGAAATGGATTAAACTGGAGAGGGGGGGGGGTCAGGGAATATAAAAAAAGAAAAAATTACCCCACTTCCTCTGGAGAATTAAATCCGGTGCGAATGGGGCTTAAGATAACGCATTGTTCAGAACTTGTGCAAAGGGGAAGTGGCTCTCGACATGAGGTGCTACACAGAGGTTACAAAGCTAGTTTAGAGTTTAGAGCCGCCATTTATGCATTTCTACAGTAACAGGTTAGACAAGAGCCAGACAGTCGCTAGGGGCCAATGCAGGAAGAATAATGGAGGTTATTTTTGCGCCTTTTTTAGACCTTTGCGTATCAGCGTTTGTCAGACAGAATATTGTGTGGAATAAACAAACAAAATGGAATTGAATTGAAATAATCGTTTATGTGATCATGTATAGTTGTGTGTGTGTGTGTGTGTGTGTGTGTGTGTGTGTGTGTATGTGTGTATAATCTATGGCAAGCCCCAGAACAGATTTTCAAGTATCACGCTAAAGTCAGAGATTTTGTAAAGTTGGAGATTGTAGATTGCTTCCTCATTTTGCAAAAGCTATAGATTTTATACTTGCTTCTTTTTTATGCTAAAGTTAGATATTTCCTTTTCTTAAGAATATACTGTAGTTGTTATTCCCTTATTCCCTCATCCTCATTCCTACTGTTCTGTAACTGGCGATACAACACTGAAATTTGTCCCCCACTGCGGGACGAGTAAAGAATCTTTTCATCTTAATCTTATAGTATCTTTATTTCAGTAACTTGCAGCATTGATGGTAACGGGGCTAATATGACATGTTATACTTCATTTTAAAGCCTGCTGTCTTAGGAAAACAACCATGTAATAGAATCTGTTCTAAAATGTCAACTAAAGTTACGAACTATACTAAGTCAAAGTATAGTTACTTATATTATAATATATTTGGCCCAGTTACTAACCGGGCTTATGTTAAATATAGTTAATTCGTCAAAAATACCAGTTTCAGTTTTTTTGTTTTTAAATGTGGCGCCCGACCAAAATGAGTTTGACAAGCCTGGTCTGTGGTATTTAGGCTCCAGGTAGAAGCTTAAAAGACATGAAAACTTGGAAATTAAACACTGTCTGAACTAAAACAATCCTCGTATAGTTTTTAGGAGAGGATTTGTGCAAGTGTTTGTTGCTGGACACCTGAATTTCTCCTACAGGGATTTTGTCGACCCAGACAAAATTCTATAAATAGAAAATTGTCTCTGTCCTCAAAAAAGGTTTACCTACTGTATATACGGCATGAGTTGGCATGGTAACATAGATATTTACCAGCGTTTTATGACGTACACTCCACAAAAGATGAGATAAGAATACCAGATGAGAACTGTTGTTGTGTCTTCAGGCAAGACACTTTTCCCACATATGATTAGACATAATGTAACTTGTCCGTCCAAGGTTTCTCACTTTTTCCCACTGGGTTTGAAAACATTTCTTGACATTTAAAGACATTTACAGTACAAAATGAAATTGAAATTGAATTGAACAGTATGGAAGTCTGTGAACACTCTTTTTCTTCTGACGACTTAGGTAATATTAGTAACTTTTTAGTAACTTTGAGTTGGTGGCAGAAGCTCTGGTGTGTAGTCTGGTGCACACTGGGGTAGTCTTGCGCGGTTTTTCCAATGTGGTTTTACTGCAAATGGCAAATAAATCTTGAATCTTGATAGTTTTGTTTTGCTTGTGGACACAATGCAACGTTAGTGTCATATATGGAGCTACTTCAATGTCTATTAAGCATTATTATCAAATATCAGTCCATAGACATTTTCTTACATATATTCATGAACAATTACTTATTCAAATGTTGCACATGATTAAACTCAAAAAGTGCGGGTGGGAGAAAGATGCAACATATCGATTCCCCCACTGTGAAAATCAAATATGCCTTTTCTTTCGTGGTTTGGGTGCAGATCCAGAACACCCTAAATTTGTAAGTATTTTAAACCCGCTGCTGTGGAAACCTTGTGTGCGAGCGCGACGAGGCGGGTGGGACTTCACAGACGAGCGTGTGCATGTGTGTGAATGCGTTAGGGGCTCCGGGGGTGCGTTGGTTTACCTCCTCCAGCGCCGCCAGAACCGAGGGGACGTGCTCCGGGTACAGCAGGCCCTGGGACATGAGCGAGAGGCACGTGCGCGCATCCTGCTTCATCTCATCATAGCTTTCATCAATCTCCACCGGTGCAATCTGGAGCGAGGGAAAGAGAGAGAGAGAGAGAGAGAGAGAGGGGAGGGGGGGGGTGAGGGAGGCGGGGGAGAGGGGGGGAGCAGGGGGGCAAGAAACACGCAACCATTTTGAGTAAATGAAGAGAGAAATTGAGTTTAATGGCCAAGTAAGATTGAGTGGGTAATATTGCAGCTGTACTGGAACCTGTACTGTGTGTGTGTGTGTGTGTGCGCCTGTGTGTGTGTGTGCCTGTGTATGTGTGTGTGCGTATATGAGCGTGCACACATGTGTTTGTATGTGTGCGTATCTGTACATATGTGTGCGTGTACATGTGTGAGTATTTATGTGTGTATGTGTGTGTGTGTGTATATGTGCTTCCGTGTGTGCATGTGTGCCTACAGTATGTGTGTATATGTGTGTGTGTGTGTGTGAGTCTTTACCTTGAAAAGTAGCGGCAACAGCTGCAGCTGCTGTTGAACCGGCGTGGTGAAGGTCCGCCCGGCGCTCGCCATCAACCATTTCAAAACTGCCAGAAAAAAACCAATTCATTTTAATAGCAAAGGGATAAAAACAACCATTAGCTTTGTGACCTTGCTAGCAAAGCACCATCCGTCTTGATCTGGCGTCTAATGACATAGGTAATTTCACAGCTACGCATCTATCTCTATATGAACCCGGGTAAATAATGGAAGCCGTAATGCTCAAGATGAGATCTGAATTTAGCCATTGCGGTAAGTAAAAAGAGAATAAGCAGGTTGTGTGAATGTGCGGCCGCATGGGAGCGCCCTAACAAGCTGTGTACATGCTAATGACAGAGCAGCAGATGGCGCGAGGTTGAATATGCCAAAAAACTCACGGTTGAAAATCATGCCTGCAACATCAGCCAATGAAACAGCGACACATTAAATATGTTTTGATAGTGATGGGAGTCAATGTTGTTGTGGTAATTATAGTTTAAACCAGCGTGGCAGTCTACAAAGTGTTTACTCAAGTGTGTTTTTGCTTTTGTATCTGCAAGTGGAAGAGAATAGAGTGACTTTAATGTCTATCATGTGTAGTGGTGAGAGAAATGTGTCTAGAGCTTGGCAAGGCAAGTGTTTGTATAGGACTGATTATACACAAGGCAAATCAAAGTGATAGCCAAAACAAAAGATACTTCACATCAGAAAGATGGTTCGACATTTTAGCTGCATGAATCTGAAACGCTGCCTCCCCATGTTTAGTCCTGACTCTGGGCACCAGCAGGAGGCCAATCCCTGTGCTCCTCAAGAATCCCCACAGGAGGCCAGTCCCTGAGTTGGTTCAAATGGCACTCACATGTCACAGATGTACTTTGTTGCGAGACGATGGAGAGACTCGCAATCACACACACAGAGTCAGGACTAAACATGGGGAGGCAGTGTTAAAATTCTGATTGTGCAATGACACACACACAGCATTCGTTTTCTCTTCTGGATTGTGTTTCTCTCGTGGCATCTTTGTGTGTTTGTAATGATCAAATACTATTTTGTTAATACATTATTATTTTAGTCACCATTTCGTCATCTCTTGTAACTTAATTTACACCCAGGCTGAGCCGGGTCGTAACCGATGGAGGCTCTCGTTGGGGATCAATGTAATCCATTTCCCGAGACTATTTTTTTGATAGAGTAGGTAAGTTTGGGATGTATTTTTTGTAAGCAAATTAGTTTTTGGTGGACAACATGGCTCTCTGTATCCTGTAGGATTAGTTTCTGGAGTTGCCAAATTTGGAAAAGCCTTTTTAAGCAGAAGGAAAGTTCTAACAAAACTATGGGTCTACTTACAAACCAATTTGGGAATACAATACAATACAATACAATACAATACAATTTATTCTTGTATAGCCCTAGGTCACAACAGAAGTCATCTCAGAGGACTTAACAAAACCATTGAAATCACCAACACAGGTCAGAGAATCAACAGTTAAAACACATGAAGAATATAAAGCACACACAGAAGAAAATGTCCATACATGTTGTAGAGTGCTAAAGTGTCCTGATCATCACCAATCCTTTCTGTTGGACACTAACTGTCCAACAAGACCCTCCTGCATCGACAAGGAAAAACTCTTAAAAAACCCAGTGGGAAAAAGTGAGAAACCTTGGAGGAGAACTAGGGAAACCCACAGGGAGGGAGACCCATATGAGAAAGGGATCCGCTCCTCCGGACGGACAGACTAATGATCCAGGACCTAAGCTAGCTACAGAACGTGGACCAGTGGACGCTGAACGTGGACAGGTCCGGTGCAGGACCGAAGCACTCCCAGGCGGGTCAGGCGGGGCAGTCCGCAGGTGTAGATGGAAGAGGCCAGGCTCAGAGATCCCGTCATCGTACCATGAAACAGACAATGGGACAACGGGTGAATAGCAATGAACAAACTACAGTCAGAATCCTAAAAATGCTAAACAGATAAAGTAGGAAGGAGGAGAGGATAGTGCTCAAGTTACCATACTTCTCCCAGCAAACTGACTCCCTATGCAGCTTGACTGACACTCTGAGGAGTTTAAACCTTCTCCGAGTCTTACCTTCCTAGCCATATGCTAAACTAAAGAGGACTGTTTTAAACCTAGCCTTGAATAAAGAATAACATACAGCATAATATATAACATAATATACAACATAACACAATACATTATTGAATAATATATAACATAATATATAACATAATACAGCATATATATATAATATATACACTACATATTATATATTACCTAATTATATGCTAAATTAAAGTAAAGTGCTTTAAGCCTGGCCTTGAATGTGGAGACCGTATCTGCTTCCTTAACATAAATGGGAAGCTGATTCCACAGTAAAGGAGCTTGGTAGCTAAATGCTCTGCCACCAACAGTGACCTTTGAGACCTTAGGGACCACCAGACGTCTGGCGTTTTGTGAGCGCAACGCTCGACCTGGTTGATACGACACTAACGTGTCTTGGAGATAAGAAGGAGCCAAGCCATTTATGGCTTTATATGTTAAGAGTAGGATTTTAAACTTTATTCTGTACTCCACAGGGAGCCAGTGGAGTGATTTTAACACCGGAGTTATGTGCTCCCTCCTTTTGGTACCTGTTAAGATCCTAGCTGCTGTATTCTGAACGAGCTGGAAGCTCGTTCAGGAAAAAAATGATTGTGTCTGTGAGTTATTCAAGCTCCCAACCAAAATTAGACTTCTGAGTTAAAACTATCCCATGCAAAACTTACAAACTATAACATAGGTTACAAGTGGCGAGCAAGCCGGGAGTCAAACCTAGAATCTTTTGACACGCAATCTTTTGATAATTAAACCAGAGCACCTGGAGGAAACTGGATCCGACACAGAGAGAACATGCAAACACCACTCAGAAAGGCCCTGTTCCAACCTTGATTTGAACCCTTCCTTGCTGAGAAGCGAGAGTGTTATGAACTATTTATAGTTCATAGCCATCCCTATATGATTAAACATTAAAATAAGCTTATGGAGACTTCTCACATAAAACACATGAACAGACTTGTTAAATGCTGAACAGATTAAATGCTAAATAAACGTGGCTTCTCTCAGCCTTGAGGGCCGGCCCTGGATGTTTTGTGCTCCAGTGGGCAACCCAACCACGCTATCACAGGTCATGGCCTATATTCAAAGTGACTAATAAGAGACGGGGGCATAATCCATTAAGTCCGCCTTAAAAAACAGCCCGAGACATTTGCAGGCACCTCGCTGCTCCTCGGTGAATTTAATGGATAATTTGTGACCCGTGAAAATGTCAATATTTGCGGCGCTCTTCAAACAGTGATTCAGAGCTCAGAGGATATTTTTAGGCTGCTTGGAAAGTCGACCTCGCCAGACGGGTCTAATAGTCAAAATTGTGATTACTAATGCGTGTTGTTGTAATCAATACGCTTGATTAACGTTTTGAATGGGATTTAATTTAATTTGGAACTATTGTGCGTGATCCTGGTTTATGAACTCGGCCGCTATCGTCACGCTTCGATTGTCACCGTGTGTGGTCTCTGTCCTCGTTCTACAGTCTGAGTCTAACAATGATCCAGGACACTCATGGAAATGTAATAATAACATTTATGGATTTATTCACATTTCTCTATGGACCAATAGAGTTTGTTATTATTGCATTTACTGAGTTCGAACTGCTTGATTCTCTGTTCTGTTGGTGGGGAATCGACAACTTTGTAAAGTCTCACGAAACGACTGCTTTTGTAATTTAGTGCTATACATGAATACATTGAATTGAATCGTTTTGGAGTGAATGGAAATTACCATAAAATGCTTTGAGTGCCCTCGGATGGTGAAATGTGGTGTATGAATAAACATGATTTACTTCTTACATAACAATGTACAGTATAGTGGGCTGAAATTAGGGTTGCACCATAATTCGGAAAAATATCTATATTGCGATATCAAACGGTTACACGGTCTTGTCCAGGGTTGGGCAAGAATTTTCTCCCGGGGGCCACATTGGGATATTGGTAAGTAACCCTAACCCTAACCCTATGGAGGGCCGGACTCGTTTTCTATGTTAAAAACGTAACAAAAATGTGTGTATTTGTGCAACCAAAACAAAAACATTGGATTTATTCAGGTTTCCTTCTCCTGTAATCTTTGTGTCTGTGTTACCTCATTTTTTAGAGTGCAAAATATCTAATTGCAGTATTTCTAACCCACATTGCGATTGTGATTGTTAAAATTCAACTTCAAAAAAAGTTAAATTTAAAAAGTATACATGAGGCTATTACCTTATACACAATTCCCACACATTTCTGAAAATGCTTAGATAGTTCTCAACTGCTTTTTTAGACTGTCATATAGACTGTGGTCATCCCGCTCCCTGTGGACCAATGGCTTCTATGTATTTGTTATTATTGCATTTCCTGCATTTGTACTGTTTAAACACGAGAATAATGTATAATGTTCCTTCCCAACAACGAGACAAAAGATACTTGTTCCATCGAGAAATCTCCAAAATAAACATAACTTTAGTCTTGCTTTTGTTGACAAAGAACTTAAATAATAGCAATCTAGGGTCGTTTTGTGCAGCCCTAGGGAAGGCCTCAAGAAACCATATTCTCCATGTCTCTGTTTGTTGTTTTGCTTGACTAGTTTCTCTGGCACTAAACTAAACAAAAGCTAAAAAAAACTCCAGGTATGATATTCATGAAGGGACAATGTTGTAAAATGGACCAATGCTGAAGAAACCCGCTCGTCTGCTTTAATAATGCATAACCACTTGTCCTCAACCGCCCTCTAAAGCCTCCTTCTCCTGTCTCCCATCACACACACACACACACACACACACACACACACACAGAGAAAGAGCTTGCGTCTGCAGACCCACCCGTCTTGAGCAGTTTGACAGCCTGGGTGCGCTCGTCGCTGCTCCCGTGGGTGCTCCCCTCCTGGACGTGGTTGTGGATCTCGGGCTCCGACGTCAGGGGCTTGAGTCGGTCCAGGACCCGGCCCACGAACTCGGCCACGTGGGGGGAGGAGGTGGTGCTGGTGTGGGGCAGCGCCACGTCGATCATGAAGATGTAGGTCAGCACACTGGAGAGGAGGAAGAGGAGGAGGAGACAGAAGGAGAGAAAGCAAAGGTTAGAAGTTGGAACGTGTGTTTGTGATGAGCTGGCGACTATTTGGAGATGTCATGATTTCAAAGTATTCAGGCTGTTTAGGAATTAATTACGCTTCATATTGCAAGGAAGCTTCATTCATGCAACAACCCTCCTCCTCCCCATCTCCTTTTTTAACATTCTCCGAGCTTTCACCATAGGGTCTAGGCCCCAGGGGATTTCATCTCATCATCTCTAGCTTCCTTTCCCCTTCTGCATTCATCTTGCCGTGCTCTGCCGGGGTCTAGGTGTCAGATCTTTACCACATTTCTTGTACAGTAGCAATAAATGTAATCTCACAATTATTGTCCTCAAAGTCGTAAGTTCAAGTCTACTAAACCTCCTGTCAGTGTTAGCTGCGTAAAATACACACATATATGTTAATGATGAGGGAATAGTGTTAAAATTTGAACAACATTCCTGTGTTGTTCAAATGCTTGTTTTATCAAGAAATATGAGAATGTTTCATCCATGTTGAATCTTGGTTTGCTGCGATTTTGCTTTATTCTGGAAAAAAGACACTGAACATTTGGCCTCTGTGAAACTATGAGAAAAAGTACTGTTGCAAAGAGAATTATGAGCAAACAAGGTATCATTCAATTTAGTCACAACAAAAACAAGTTGTTGTGACAATCTTGACAGGTTGATAGTTAAAGTGGTGCTATGAAAGTCTATTTAACCAAAACACACTGATGTGAAAGAAAACTAAAAGCGAGTAGAAATTGATCTCATTTATCCGACCTCACCACCGACCACCAGCTCCGGGGAAGTGAGAGAATACGTCTTCGTTTTCAGAGCCAAACCACGTTGTTTATGTTCTATTTACGAATGGTGTTAGCTGGAGAGCCGAAGGATTACAGCTCTCTCTCTCTCTCTCTCTCTCTCTAAGATTGTAAACAGAGAAATTGCCATGATGCGATTAACCCATTTGGATGTAATTAAAGCAAAGTGAATGAGACAGAGCGTGTGTGTGTGGTAAACCTGCCAACGCTCCCTACAACCCCGAGGAACCGAGTCTGGGCCGCCGCCACTGTCACCGCTTCGCTATCTCAGACAAATGGGACAAATACAACGTCCACCGGAGAGCAGAGAAGGGGATAACTCAATAAGTAAATAGCAGCTGTCATGTATTTGGGCCTGTCACCATAGAAAATGTTGGATAAAATCACCGTAGTCATTCTTTTTATGTGTTTCTTTTGACTGCTTAAACCAAACTAAGTGGAAACATGTATTGGTCCCTTGTCATTTCACTACATGTTATTGACTAACTGACTGTCTATCTGATGCAACAAAATATGAGATAGAGATATGTTGCCATGAGCATTACAAAACAGTACGGTATTACCACTTTTTTCATCACTAAGATATGAATTGACTCAAAATAAACAGCCGAAGTAATACTAATCACGTGGTATTATTCGTTCACTGGTGATGGTAAACTATGTAGCCACAAGTGCCCTGGGGTGGACTGACAGAAAGTGAGGCAAGATCACCACCAATCACTTACTCATACTAAGCAAGGTGGGTGAAGATTTCAACACTAAATACCTTCAAATGCAGCTGGTGGGTAAAAAAAACTCCACTACATACAGAAAAACAAGATGCGTGTATTTGAATGTGAAGCTGTGTAGTAGAACTAGTAGTAGTAGTAAGCCATAAGTAAGCCATATTAAGCCACGGTAGGCCACATTATAAAAAAGCATCTTCTAAACCTTAGTTAATCCAGCTAGGCAAATCTAAGCATTCCATGGACTTGTTTTGGTTTTGGTCTGTGGTTGTTACCTGCCGATGCGCTCCCTCACGTCCTTGTACACATGGGGCAGTCTGGGCTCCAGGAAACTCAGCAAACGATGTAATAACTCAGACACTCTCCACTGCTGCTGCGCCAGACCCCCCTGCAGCACGTACAGCAGGCTGCAGCAGAGACACCAGGAAGTTACTTTCATTACACCCTCGGTCCAATCATTTACAAGAAATCACGGGAATTTTAATATCACGGAGTAATTGCAATGCATGCGGATTAAATGTTGTTAGCCATTTTGTGATCTTGGGCCAGACCTTTGTGGGTGGAGCCACCTGAGTAAAAACGCTGTCAGGTAAACCCCATCAAAAAAACACAGCAGAGACAAACAGAGCTCTGTACACATTGTTTGATTTATAGATACTTTATTGATCCCCCGTAGGAGAAATTCAGGTGTCCAGCAGCAGAAGACTCATCCAGGTCTGTTGTACAGTCTGACAGCAGAAGGAACAAAGGATCTCTTGAAACGCCCAGGGGTCAAAAAATCCAATTCATGTGAAAATAATCATTAGTATTCACTTGCTAATTTTGAATACAGCTAAATCCTTTCCATACACCTATTTACATTTTGAGTTCTGCAGTCTCCTTTTGACACTCGGGACAGCTCCTCCGTATAAGCATTTCAAGGTGTTGTGGTTAGAAAGCTAGCTACCCCAGCTTTAATTCTTGTGAACAATGGTTAACCTGTCTATTTTGAACAATAAACAATTTGGTCCTTAGAGACAGCTGCTTTTGTGATTTGGGTCTATTAGACACCCTGAGACACCCTTGAGTGCAAGAAGGAGCGCTACCACAGGGCCTTCATCCCCACCGCTGTCGGACTGTACAATAAGTCACTTTAAGTCAGTTGCATTAGGACTGAAAAAAACTGCACTACTATTGACACTGTTTCTTGATGGCCACTTTTTATTGTACATAATATATCCTGCATTTAACATGTTTGCACATTTATATCTTTTGCACAATCTTGACTGTTTCGATCCATGCCAGATGTGACATATACATTTCTCCTGTGTGAGATCAATAAAGTCTATCTTATCTTATCTTAGTCCGATATTTAACCCTGGGACTTGCAGAGCTGTAGGTGTATGTGTGTGTGTGTGAGTGAAGCAGAGGTGAGGATGTAGCGTTAGCGTTAGCAGACAGGGTGGTGGGTGGAGCTTGAGGATGTTTAAACAGGATGCTCGCTCAGCACGTGTCAGCTCAGGTTACCTCTGCAGCGGCTGCCGAAACACGAGCCCTCACAAATACTCCACATCAACACACACGCCAGGAATAATGTCGGGGAAGGGGAGAGAGAGGAGTCGTCGCTCAAACTCGCGAGCAATTAAACCCTACGATGAGGGGAAGACAGGGAGTCATCCACGGTGATGGCCAAAGAATGTACAATTATATCTTCATTTTTTTTTTACTTTTAAATGTTTAGGAACAGACCTCAAACCACAAGCCTACAGATGATTTTACACTTTTTATTGTATGTATCTACATGTCATTGTTACTACTAGAACTACTTTACTTCCCTACTACTACAATTCCTCCCATATTTACTATGACTACCATTTCTACTACTACTCCTACTCCTAATACTACGACTACTACAACAACTTTACTGTACTACTTTACTTCCCTACTACTACTTCTACTTCTGCAACTTTACTTGCCAACTACTACTACTACTACTACTTCTGTAACTTTACTTACCTACTACTACTTCTGCAACTTTACTTACCTACTACTACTTCTGCAACTTTACTTGCCAACTACTACTACTACTACTACTTTACTTCGCTACTACTACTACTACTTCTGCAACTTTACTTTCCTACTACTACTACCATTCCTCCCATATTTACTACCATTTCTACTACTAGTAGTAGTAGTAAGTAGTAAGTAATCTTTATTTATATACCGCCTTTTCACTGCAGATTTGAGTCTCAAAGCGGTTTACAATTGTTAATTTTTGGGCATTTGTCTCTCACTCCACACAGAGATGGGAGCGAGGCCAGTACAGGAGGCGCGTGCTAGAACTATTGGACATATTTTTAGTGGTAGGGGAAACCGGAGTACCCGGAGGAAACCTACGCAGACACGGGGAGAACATGCAAACTCCACTCAGAAAGGCCCTGGTCCGACCGGGATTCGAACCCAGGACCTTCTTGCTGAGAGGCGAGAGTGCTATCCACTCAGCCACCGTGCCGCCCAATACTACTACTACACCATTTCTACTACTACTACTACTACTACTACTACTACTACTACTACTACTACTACTACTACTACTACTACTACTACTACTACTACTACTACTACTACTACTACTACTACTACTACTACTACTACTACTACTACTACTAACTACTACGGCATTATGGTACAGAATGTGAAAATCATTATGTCAGATTATGCTAAGATTCTCCACTCTTCCCCCATTTTGATAACAAAGTCCATCTCTGGTTGGGGAGAACATGGGTCTAACATGTTGTAACCTAACTGGGCAGGGCAAGGCAAGTTTATTTGTGTAGCACAGTTCATACACAAGGCAACTCAAAGTGTGTGTTTTATCGCTGCTGTATTTCTCTTGTATGTGTGCAGCACTTGGGTAAGCTTAGGCTGTTTGAAAATGGGCTTTACAAATACATATTGATTGACAACTATTCACGGTGCATTAAAAAGAGTGAATACACGGTCCTTCAGTTGTATGCACAGCTAACCAGAACTGTCTTAAACCTGGATTTGAACTTTGTCAGAGAAGAATGCAAGGTTTTAATGTCCTTACAATGCGCTGCTCTGTTCACAAGTGAGTCAGCTGTTTTTGTTTCAGTCAGGCAAGCCCTATCATGTTCCTTCTTCTCATAATGGATGCTGATTATTTTCTATCTTGACCTTGTAACCACATACTTCACATAACTCGACAGTTGACAATGAAAATAGCCTATCAATAGAAACAACTTAGTGACTATTACCACTCGAACTCCCAGAGGAATTAATTTGAAGATTTAGTTTTGGAAGTATAATAAATTCAACATTGCAGTAATTTTGTCATTTCTTGGCTTCTGTTGTCCCATCCCCATCACTGCAAATGTACCAACACACAACACATTGGCGATTATCCAGGACATTCTACTGTACTTTCAATGACATTTATGAACTTTATAAAAAATTATGGACATTGGTCATCTGTCCCTTATGGACCAATGGCTCTATTGTGTTTTTTTGCATTTTTTGAGTTTTAACGGTTTGATTCTCTAATCTGTGTTGGCAAATTCCACGGTTTTGTAAATTCCTCCTAGATAACTACTGTTTTGATTTAGGGCTATACTGTAGTAAAAAAATTAATAAATACCTTTTTGTACTTCTTTGCCTGTTTAATGTATCTACTTGTCTGGTGCACACAGGGGACTTTTGCACATGTATTCCAATGTGGTTTTTACAGCAAATGACAAAAAACTGAATTTGAATCTAATCAACAGGGTATATATGAAAACAATAAATAAACACAATCTCACATTTCTTCCATATCGCTCACTTCTGTGCGTGAGAACGACAAGATGAGTTTGCCCAGTATTATTACAAAGCTGTGACTTTTCGACGCAAATAAAAATCTCAAAGTAAGGTGGTTAAAGTGAGTTGTGGAGGTGATTGCCGTTGCCTTGGAGGGGCATCATTACCTGGCATCCCTGAAGGAGCCTGCCTCTCCGCTCAGGGGGCTCTCCATCAGCAGCTCGAAAAGCCAGTGCAGCTTCCGGGGGTCGCGTCCCTCCTGCGAAGCAATGAGGATAAATAAAAAGCGGGTCACTGACACACAATGGGCAGAAGCATTCAACACACAACCACTCAGAGCAAGTCCAAAAGCAGCAGAGAGAGAGGACGTACGGTCAAGAGAGAAGACAAAAGAGAGGTGTGGGCAGATAGATATATATTGTTTTAGTAATTGAGCCATGTATCAAGGATTACCTTTGTTTAATGCTGGGTTTTGTAACTTTCAAAGCACAACACATCTAAACAATGTATTCAAATCCATAGTTCCTCGCTCTCAAAACAATTTCTTCTCTCACTACTCTTCTCTGCTACTGCTACTGCTTCTACTACTACTACTACTTCTACTACTACTAGAACTACTACTACTTCTACTACTACTAGAACTACACTGCTACTACTAATGCTACTGCTACTGCTTTCACTACTGCTACTGCTTCTACTACTACTACTGTTACTACTAATACTACTGCTACTTCTACTACTACTCCAACTACAACTGCTACAACTACTGCTACTGCTTCTAATACTACTACTGCTTCTCCTACCGCTACTACGACTACTACTATTCCTCCCGCTATTGCTGCTGCCGCTTCTACCACCACTAGGTCACAGTAATGGTGAATAGGTTTGATAAATTTAGTACAACATTCATTATAAAAGTAAGTTTATTATCAAGTTAAACTTCTCATCTTTCGAAAATAATCCAAGAAAAGTTTTGCCCAGCATTAGGTCTATCAAGTCCTGGGATTTCTTTGTTTTGATTATGAGACACAACCAGAAAACAAGATACTGTCTATACATAGACGAATGAGAGGAAATTAGCCTTTTGCATTCGACCCAACCTTCCAATACCCTCATAGATAGATTGATAGATAGATAGATAGATAGAACAAAGCATATATGCCCATTATTGAAAAGTTTAATCAAACAAAGCACAAGAGGACACATCAATCAGGATTTCTTCTCCAAAAGTGACCGGGTTTTTGAAGCTTAAAATTAATCAAGCCCAACATCCATTTATTTGGTCCGGCAAAGCATTGTTCCTCTGGGGGGGGGGGGGATTTGAAAGCGAAAAATTTGCAGTTCTCTTTAGATGTCACCTTGGACTTTTTTTTTCTGACAAATTTACGGGCGGATTAAGATGATTGAGTAATGGCGGGGGCGCTAATGGTGAAAGAGCGCAGCTGGGGCTTGGAGAGAGAAGAAAAGGTCTGTTTGACGTCCATGTTTTGTTTTGATGTGGACTTAGGGCCAAGATCAGAGACACGCTCCCACAGCCCAATTAGACATTACTCATTAACGACTACTGACAGAGAGCACGACTGGTCTGAGCTCAAAACCTCCTTGTCACAGCAAACTCACAAGCATTTATTTTGTGTTTTTTTTTGAAAGGCCACAAAAAAGTAAAAGACAGCTGTGAAGTGAAAGCAAAATGATGCATGGTTTGATTTTGTAGATAATTAAATTCAATGTATTGTAATGTAATGTGGTCCTAAATCTCAACAGCAGTCGTCTAGTAGTTGGAGGACGATACAAAGTTGTCGATTCCCTCATTAACAGATGAGAAAGACAGTTTGAACACAGCAGTAGGACTTTTGGGGTATGAGACTACATCTAAAGAGTTGGTCTTGGCAAATTCCCAAGTACATTTTTGTTCTTCGCAAACACATAATGAGGCAATTTGCAAATATGGAAAAAATAATATTGTAAAAATCCCTCTGGTGGTAGAATAGGGAATTACAATCCCATCGCATTATTTACCATTGATACTATAGTTTCACCATATACTTCTAACATCAGATATTCTTTCACATTCTAAAACGTGAAATGAAAATTACAAAATTTTATAATTGTTAATGGCCAGAAATAATGCTTAATATTTCTTCTTTAAACAATTGCAGTATTTGTGATTTGCTAATTACTGTAAATCCACTAAAATTGCAATTTTGATTTACCGTGCAGTCCTAAATACTCCTCCTCCTCCTACTACTACTATAATTACTACTACTACTACTACCAGTACTATATTTTGCCTTACACATGCAGTAGCAATGCTTGTTCCCCAGTCGGTGTACGTTTCCACGGTGATGTTGGCCAGAGCTGTCCTGATCAAAGGGCACAGAAGCTGCCAAAGCCGTTCCACCTGCACAAAGACGCACACGGAATAATGAAACTCTTTATTACTATTGACTCTTCTTATCAAAAACACCAAGCCACAGTGAATTGTCTTGTACAGATAAGGGCAAAAAAATAAAAAAAATAACTGCAAAATGACCAATTCCTCTGGTGTTGTATCATACAGGAGCAGTATGGAGAGACTGGGCGACATTTTTTTTTTTTTTTTTTAGAGGACTGCTGGAAATATTTTTCCTGTTTCGCAAAGTAAACTGTAAATACATTCTTCATAATAAAGCAAAAGAAATTGGTGTATGTGTTGTTGCCCATTGCGCTGTCAAAAGAGAAGGCTGCTATTTTTTTCCGTACCAATTCCCTTGCTAAATGTTTTCCTTTGTCGATGAACTAAAATCACAACACACTAGTATTTTGCTCGGGCGCTAAGGTGCAATAACATGTAGTATAGGAGTGAAAGAGATAGTGATAATGACAAATTCAGACTTGGAGACCGGGAAGTTTTGCCCATTCTTCCTTAGACAACTGTGAGAGCGTTATTCTTCAGCTTTTGCCATAAATTTTTTATTAGAATTTAGGTATAGACTTTGACTGGGCCGTCCATCCATTATTTTTTTTGTTTAAAGAAAAAAAAAAGGCTGATTTCTCAAACAGTTTTTTTGGCAATAAAAATACTTTGCAAAAAAAAATTATAAACCAGTAGGAAATGATTGAATTAAGTAGTTTAAGCCGTTTTTGTGGATGTATTTGAAAATATGAGTGTGTTGTTGTGAAATAGATTTGCCAATGGAAGTTGGAACAAGGTGAAAGAAGCAATTTCCCACTGAGAAAAATAGTGCTAAAAATATGGCTAAAGACAGATGGCTTAAGATATCTCTCTGCTACACACCTGCCCCTGAGCTCATCAAGCAACCTGCCTCAGCCGCAAGCACTTCATGGCTGCATTTAAACAGAGCTTCTATGTCCTTGTCCGTGCAGTAACCCTCCTCCTCCCCATTGCCACCACCTCATCAATGGAAGAATCATCATGTTGCCGGCTCTGCTTCCATTGTTAGCAAGCTCATCATTTCTATTAAATCCGGTCATGGAATATTCCTGCTGAGATCGAATCGCCAAATCTTATTGATCGTGTTTTAAGTGCAAAGTCCCACACCATACGTCTGCTACGCTAATTTCCTAGTCCTGTAGTTTCTCAATATTCATGCTCAATAAACATATTTCTAATGCATCTTTGTCTTGAGTCTTTGCAGATTGAAATAAAGCATGCATACATTTACACACAAATCTAACACATACTATACACCTGTCAACAGTGCAAAGCTACTGCTGGTTATCAAAGTGAAGATCGAGAAATGTGGGTTAAAATGTTTGTATGAAAAGCATTTGACGACTAAATATTGATGGATGGATCAAGACCTCCTGAAAATCTTGTGATAATTATGTGTGTGCGTGCGTGTGTGTGCGTGTATCAGTTCACTTCTACTATACAAGGCTATTTCTACTATTTTTAGCAGATTTGATTATTGCTATGGTATTTTTACATGGCTCTGCAAGAAAATCAATAAGACAGCTGCAGCCGATTCAAAACGCATCAGCAAGAGACCTCACAAATACAACAAACTCGATCACACCGCACCAGTTTTGCGTCCAGTCTGTTATAGAAGAGAGCTTAAAATGCTGGTCTTGGTCAACGAGGCACTGAATGGTCTGTATATGAATTATGTGTAAGATTTGCTTGTTTCTTATGAAAGCCAGAAAGTCCTAAAATGATACTAGGTTTGTGTGTATTATATAGTACTGAGACATATCATGGGATGAGTAATAATATCTATCTATCTATAAAATTGAAGCAAACAAGATGTGAATGACAGCAGAGGAGCAGCATAACACTAGGCAAAAAGATAGAGTGGAAAAGTGGAAAAGGAGAAGGGAAAATCTATTATTTCACATTCAAAAACAAGAAATGACAAAGTAAATAGTTGCCATATGATTTTGAATGGACCATATTTCTTCTTTAGTGTTATGTGTTTGTTGTTGTATACTGTTTCTCAAGGCCTTTGTGTGTTTGTTAGCATCCTGTGTTGCTTCTGCATGAATGATACTGTCTATAAACCTAATTCATGGCTCTTAGTTACTCGTTCTCATAATTTTTTTCCCTGAATCGTGTCCAATGAACCATAAATAACGACCACACACGTCTGCTCCGCCTCTGCTCTGTGGTGGTACCTTGCTGAAGCTCCAGAGTTTGCTCCCTCGGATCAGGCCGGCGGTGATCTCACACAAGCAGCGCTGAGAGCTCTCGTGGGGGTCGGCCGAAAGACTCTCCAGGTGTGGCCATAGCAACGGGAGGAAGGCGTCGCCATAGTTACGGAACAGGCCCTGTCCGTCGGAGGAAATAAAAAAAAGGAAGAATAAGGGTTGTACAAAAGAGGAGCTTCCACAGTCACAGTCGTAAATTACACTGAGAGGGTCAGTGGACAATAATAACTTTATGCTAGTTTGAATCAAATCTGTCATTTTTAATCAAGAATGTACAAGAATGTGATGGAGAATGATCAGACACTATGTACAGTACCAGGACATTAAAATGGATTGATTTTTTTTTTTTTTTAAACAAAGATAAATTAAAATGGAATGTGATGGTAATGTGAACAAGCAGCGTTGGGGAAATAGTGTAAATACTAAAGATACTCAAAATTATGAAGAATATAGTTTAGTAGTAAGAGAAGTGTATAGCAACTTAAAGGAGAGATAGAACAGAAAAAACATATGTATTTTTGTGTAGCCCTAAATCACAACAGCAGTCGTCTCTTTACATAGTTTAAAATTTACTGACAACGGCTAAGATCAATCAAACAGTTTGAGCGGAGAAAAAATTAAATAACAACAAACACTAAGGAGCCATTGGTCCATAGATAGCGGGACGACCCATAAATTATAAATGTTAATTGATGTTCATAAATGTTCTTAAATGTCCTGAGTGTACAGCCTCAGTCCTGCATTGTGTGGCCTTGGTCCTCATTCTACAGTCTGAGTCCTGGATCTGCAGGATCCTCAATGTGGGCCTCACTTGTTAGAGTTTTTCCTTATTGATGCAGGAGGGTCTAAGGTCAGTGTTGATGATCCAGGACACTCGACATTGAACAAGATTTATGGACATTGGTCTCTTCCCCTTCAGGACCAATGGCTCTATGAGTTTTTATCATTGAATTTCTCTGATTCTCTGATCTGTGTTGGTAAATTCAACGGCTTTGTCTTCTAAAATAACTACTGCTGTAATTTAGGGCTACAACAAAAACCCAGTGGGAAAGGTGATGGCCCACATTGAGAGAGAGCGAGAGATAGATCTCAGAGATAGATAGGGGTGTGACGCGATACTTTCTCCCGCGATTCGATTATCAATATGCATTTGCCAAGTATCGATATCGATTTTGAAAAAAAATAAAAAATAAAAAAATAAAAAAATATTTATGCCATAAATTGGCATATTGTATATTTCTGACCAATATATCAATAATTGTCGTATCGTGATAAAATTGTTATTGTAATATCGTTATCGTGATATTATCGTTATTGTGAGCTTTCCCACCCCTACTGATGAACATACATCTCAGGGCAATAATAAATGATGAAAATAATGTGATGTTATCAAGCAATCAATCAATTTGTGTACAAGGCAATTCAAAGTTCCTCACAAGAGACATTTTAAAACACATATCTATATGCATAAACAAATAGCCAATTAAACATATAATAATTCCATAATAAAACAGCAGCGTAAAAGTATTGGGCTCAAACTATAATTAAAATGTGGGTTCTAAAACAAGAGATAAAAGCACTAATAAAAGCAGTAATCAGATACTGTCTTAAACATATAATATAAATACAGTTAGTAAACAGTGTGAGACGGTTCTACTCGTCACGGTCTCTCTCACACACACGTCTGAGTCACTGCTGCTGCTCTGAGGACTGGTGTCATGGCGGGTCACTGCTAAACCTGAAGACCAGACCACGAGCTGATCTCACACGATAAATATTGAATGAAGACTTGATAACGGACTAATGAAAGCTCTGCACAATCTGAAAAAAAAAAATAATCGATGGGAGATTTTGAATTGCACCTTGAAGAGGCAGAAGCGTCGCGGGTTGAAGCTGTCTTTGCCTTTGCGCTCCTCCAGTGAAAGGAACTCGATGAGCTGCTCAATGAACTCTGCGTCTGTGAAGTATTCGTGAATTATCTTATCACCCTGAGCGGAAAAAAAAACACAAACACACGGTACAGTGGTTTGACATATAGATTTAACTGACATTTTATACAAACAACAAACTTTTTTTTTTATAATGCCATTAATTCAATTATTGCCTTTAAAACAGGGGAGTCGAACTAGTTCTAAAGAGGGCGAGTTTGGCTACAGGATTTCATTCCAAACCAAGCAGGAGCACACCAGACTCTCCAGGGCTCCAGGTTAAGACTGGCCTGGGCTCCTGCTTGGTTGGAATGAAAACCTGCAACGATATCAGACCTTTAAGGACCGGTTTGATAAACCTGGTTCAAATCATACAACTGCCCCACTCCGAGTTGACACTGTAGATTAGAATATGATTATACATTTTATACTTGCTTCTTTATTATGCTAGAGTTAGAGATTTTATTTAATTTTAGTATATAGTTGTTGTTGATTGGCCGATCAAGTCGTCCTCTGTTTTTTTCCTCTGTTTCTCAAAAGGCCACAAAAACATGCATGTGAAAACTTGTTAGATTTCTTTGATTACATACGTTCCTTATTTGTCGATTGAAAGTTAGGTATCCCTTAAGTTAATCTGGTTGGTACTGGTCGAGTCCTAGTCTGATCCAGGCTCAGGAACATTATTAAAACAAGATTACCAAGAAAGAAAACTGGCAAATATAACATTATAATGTTATATTTTCTTTGATAAATGTCCAACTTGGAGGACAATAGTTCCACCTCTACAGTTACGGGCCCCATACCTCACTCATCTCCTCGTAGGACAGGTCTTCTTTTGCCTTTTCACAACCTGCATAGATCATCATTTCCCTGTGTGGAGCGTGCGACAAAAGAAGGGAGAGAGCGCTGTGATTTATAGATAACAGAATACACACACACACACACACACACACACACTGCCTTCAAATAAGTAGCAAGGATAAATGCGTGATTAAAAAGTCAGTTAGTCAGCAAGTCCACGTCAAGACAGCGCCAAGAACCAGGCAGAGCTGCAGCCATACATCAATTCTTTTATTTAAGGCAGACAGGAAGTCGTTCAGTCAACCTTATCCAGGCCAGGCCCAGTGCAGGAGCAGGGCAATAGTCTGCTGTGGCATCAGTCAAAAGCATCCAGACCTAGTGTGTTTTAATGAGGGGGAAAAGTTGAAACAGTATGAATGAGGTCTGCTGTGTGAGTTGAGAGTTTTGAGAGTATGCAGGCTGAGATATCGGGTCATTTTGGGTGCCTCTCGTCGGGATAGATGTAGCCTTTGACCACAATAGATAACAAAACATTCAAACTAAACGTATACATCACTAGCCTGGTCTTACCACACCATCATACTCATTTCATTTCGTACATACTGTAGGTCTGGATTTACTCCATAGAGCTCCGTTAACAGGTGGGAAGGGTTAACTGCTTTTGAAGATTGAAGTCCGAGTTTGCCGTGACGTATACAATGCGACAGTGGCTCAGTTGGTAGAGCATTGGCCTTTGGGCCTGAAGGTTGTGGGTTCAAACCCACCATGAGACCTACTTCACGACTCCCACTGATGACTGCTGTCGTTGTGTCCTTGGGCAAGACACTTAACCCCACTTTGCCTGAAGCTCCCACTGAAAGATCTCAGCTCCTGTGGACTCACCACCTGCAGGAGGATCAGTGAGGGGCTGGTGCTCTGTGTAATGGGTGCATCTCTGACTGCCACCCCCCCGACCCAGAAATGGATTAAGGGGAAGAAGATGGATGGATGGATGGATGGGTATACAATGCGTCCAAGTGAGTGAGGCATTTAGCATTTAGCCTAGCTTTAGCCATCTGCTTTACCACTGACGGAGCCCGTGAGGAATAGGGCCACAACCTCTTTGCCAGCAATGACATTTTCTAAACATTCCTGTGGCTTCAATGTCTTGATATTTGGAGCCGACCAGAACGGATAGAAGAACTTCCTTTACTATCTCATTCGTTCCCCATTGCCAAACTACAACTAGCAAATTCTGCGCTTTATGGAGTATCCAGAAAAAGGCCTCTAACCCTGTTTTAGATATATACTGGGCCCTCTAACCCTATCTTAATGTAAGCAGGGGGACTCTAATAATTCAATAGTCTTGTCAGTTTCCAGATTGACGCCTGTAGATCAGACCGTCCTGCGATAATCACACACAGAGTCTGGTACCTGGGCCAGGAGTAGTAGCCCACATGAGTCTTCTCCACATAGGGCTGTGTGTCCCACTGGTGCTCCGTGATGGGGAGGTTGCTGCTGTCGTACTGCAGCCAGCGGTTGGAGGCCCGGTCCCCCACACACACGCCCTCTGGGTCCTCCACACCACCTGGGACCACGCCACAGACAGGAACAGACAGGAGGTTATGTGCAGAACTGTGGTGACCATTTACCCAGGGACTCATGAGGACACATAGTTGTAATGAGAGCAGATTTCTCTCTCAGTGTGGTCCACCCGGGGTTTCCCACTTTTTTTTTGTTCTTTGCCAATGTATGAGGGTGTTATGACAGTGATGATCTGGGACATATTAACAATTTTGGACAGTGGTTATCCCGCTCTCTATGGACCAATGACTCCTGTCTGTTTGTTTTTATTGTATCTCCTGTGTTTGAACGGTTTGATTCTCTGATCTGTTTCTGAGGAATCAACAATGTGTGGTAATTGTGGCAATTAATGGCTTCACACAACCACCAAAACGTGATAAACATGTTTATCATGTTTTTTTATTGGCAGTTCAAGGATTGGCTCAAGAAGGGATGAAACTTTATTTTTATGGCACTAGAATAGATTTGGCCTTACAAAAAACGACTTGGTCAAAGGGAAAATATGTTGTCCCTTATTTGTTTTTGCTTTTGAAGAAATATTCAAACGTGTGTAAGCTTTGTTTCAAATTCTAAAACATGAAATGCCAAAGTCAACATTACGAGACAAAATAATGCATTCTCGTTCGTCTTTACGCGATGCACTCACTTATGTCAGAAGGCTTCACTGTGATTTTCAGCCGGGGCCTCTTCTGCTGTTTAAGGATCCCAGCCACAGCCGCTATGGCGACCTATCGCAGAGAGAGAGAAAGAGAGAGAGAGAGAAAGAGAGAGAGAGAGAGAGAGAGAGACAGAGACAGAGAGAGAGAGAGAGAGAGATTAAGATTAAAGTAAATCCAGAAGCCACTGGAGCAGAGCAGAGGCACAGATACAGTTGCTGTTCACACCTTTCTGATGCTGATGGAGTCGTGCACCAGGCCCTGGGTGAAGTACAGGACGGCGTCTGGGGGCAGTGGGTGGTCGTCCCGGAGGAGCAGTGACAGCAGGTCTGCACACATGTGTTCGAACTTCCACGGACTGAAACAAACACATGCAGAGGAAATCAGAGGCGAGCAAATACATATTGTACCCTTACAACTGTATGGTTCTATCCTAGACTGTGTATGAATGGACAATGCTAACCAGCTAGCTCTATGAAGTTCAGTCCTGCACCGCACAGCCTCAGTCCCGGTCCTACAGTCCTAGATCTATAGCCTGCCCATTTGTGGGAGCCTCTCGAGGTTTTTCACCTTTTTGCCAGTCCTGACTCCAGGACAGTGAAGGATATTAATTAACATGTTTACGTTTTTGGTTTTTCAACTCCCTAAGGACCAATTGCTCCTATGTTTGTGTTATAATTACATGTTATTTTGATTTGATATTTTGTTGTCTTTGTAAATCCAGATATGAGCCACAACTGACCATTCCCCTGACTGGTTGCTAGGTCGCTTGCCATCCACAAATTTGGCTCCAGATTCTGACCCATAAAGCCTGTTTAAGGCTGTTCAAAAACTAAACTATGATCCCATCAGTAACTTCAGAACTTTTGGAGAGTATGTTGTCTTTGCCATCACTGCATATTACCAATAAGAACTAATCAAATATGGATAGTTTCATTTTTAGATTGCCCATTATAAACATTATTACACAAACATGATAGACTTTTGACGGACGGACAGATGGACAGAAAGACAGACACTTTTCTCCAAACTAAATGCTTCTACTGATAGAAGATTGAAAAGTACTTTTTAGTTTCCACATATTCTTCCACTTAGAATTAGACAATTAGCTCAAATGAATACTCCATTATTAAACACAGCACACTGACTCTCACCCTCTTCGTAAAAACTACTTAAAACACACACGTTGATTGCTTATTGCTGTGAACGACCTGTTATTACTCAAAACCTCCCATCTTCTCCCTGTCCATCAGCCCAAAACCCACATTATCCTGTATTTTAACAGTGTTTTAAACCAGGTATCCAAGGTGAATCCTGCGCAACGAGTCCAACTTAAAAAAGGGGGCTTCAAGGTTTATGCGACTTTGGTCCGGAAAGTTAATGCGTGGTTGTAAATGAGGCATATAATGGTGCTGTGAAAGTGCCTCGTGTCCAACAGGCCGACGGAAAAAAGACTATCGCCGCTTTGCATTGATGGGTGATGGTTATAACTTACAGGTCTCGGTCTTCCAGGCAATCCAAAAGGTCGTTCACAAGCTTCTCGTACTTCCTGCGCAAAACACAAAAACACCATTTCATTAAGGTAAGATAAGAAACTTTGATTTGTTCCACAGCGGGGACATTTCTATGTTGCAAGTGGACACGGGGAGACACAAAATATAATATAAGTAGGTGCTATGTTTCTAGCTAGTTGTAAATGCGTCATTATCATTGTCTATCTGTCTGCCTGTTTATCTATCGCCCTGTCTGTCTGTTCGTCTATCTATCTGTCTGTCTGTCTGTCTGTCAATTTGTCTGTCTGTCTATCCTTCTGTCTGTTTGTCTGCCTATCTGTCTGCCTATCTGTCAATTTGTCTATCTATCAGTCATCTTTTTGTCTATCTGTCTGTCAATTTGTGTGTCTGTCTGTCTGTCAATTTGTCTGTCTGTCTGTCTATCCTTCTGTCTATCAGTCTGTTTGTCTGTCTATCTATGTGTGTAGTGTAAAATTATACAAATATCTGGCCATATAATGAGGTGACATTCTGTGAACATTCTGCAGTATTGCACATTGCACATAATTACAGTATTTACTTATTTACAGATGACATGTACAGACTCAGCAGTTCTCATTGTACAGTCTGACAGCAACAGGAAGGGAAGACCTGCGGAACTTCTCCTTCACATAGCAGGATTTTATGATTTTATGTTTAAAAATGGTTAAAACCTCAAAAGATATTTACAATACGTCTCCTTTAAGTGATATTATGTTATTATCTAATTAAATTTTAGATCCTGTTTGTTGTTTGGATCACTTCTAGTTATGTACTATTAGTTTTATTTAGTTAATTTATGTGTATGTCTGGTGCAAACTAATTGGGACGCTTTATTTCATTTCTAAGTTCCTGCACCTGGAGTTGACCACGTTGCGTATACGTTGCCGTTGAAGCCCCTCCTTTAGCTCCTCCACCGTGGGGGCGTCGAAGGCCGGAGCCGGGTTTCGGGACTTAGAGATTTGATTGGCAATTTTCACACAGTCCTCTGAGACCTGCCAACCGGAGAAAAAACACTCACCAGGATATGAAAAACCATCTTGTGAAACTTGTGATTAGCGATGTTCTTATATACATTTAAAAAACACCTCTGCGAGGTGAAGGAATCGAAATGGTGTGCGAAAACAATGAACGCAATTAAACTAATAAAGATGTGCATGCTCCCGAGTCAGGACTGAACATGGCGAGGTAGCGTTTCAGATTTATGCAGCAAAAAAGTCTGTCTTCCTGAAAATGTGAGACAGGCTTCTTCTCTGACAATGTTCAAATCTAGGTTATGTAAAACAGTTCTGTTTAGCTGTTTATAGAACTTAAAGGATTGTATCTTCACCCTTTTTTATGTACTATGATCATGTTTTTCGACTAAAAGACTATATTGAAATAACCATCTAAGCTTGAGTTATAATGAGTGAGTGTGTGTTTTTTGTAGCGTATTGTAATGAAAGTAAATGGATCCTAAATAGATACTGTAGTTGTTGGTCATGTTGAAGGAAGCCCAGAGTAAAATATCCCTGCAGACTCATGCTACAACACTTACAACAATGCATCTGGTTTGTCCAATTTTTATGTTATGTCCATATTGAATACATAAATAACCTGCAGCTAACCATAACCCTAACCCTAACCCATAGCAGTGGAGATAGAGTTGGGCTGTTGTCGGAGCAGAGTTTATGGACTTATCATTCTGACTCCATCAAGTTTTAGTAGCAAATTGTCAAAATAGATGAAGGTGAATGAGTGATGGAAGCTAACAATTAAACCTTTTCCTTAAATCATGTTGTGACCAGTTAAAACAGTTTTCTATCTGCCACATTACAACTTGAAAACCTGCGGCTTGTATTCCAGTGCGGCCTATATTTGAACAAAATAGACTTTCTTTTAGAGTGAGGCTTATATACAGGTGTGCCTAATAGTCCTGATAGCACGTTGTTATACGTTTCTAAAAACCAGGTTTATACTTACGACAAAGAAGATCCCAGTGGTGTCGTGCTGTCTGTGAATACGATCAATGATATCGTCCAGCAGCTCTCCGATGGAGGGGTTTTCCAGCGTCATGGAGGAGGAGAGGCCGCAGCGCACCAAGGCGGGCCACACCTCACTGATCCCGTCCCAGTCCCTCACACTGGCCAGACACAGGCCACTCTGTCCTCCCAGCAGACAGTAGAGGGCGCCCTGTGGAGGGAGAGGAATCCGAATCAGAATCATTTTTATTGCCACGTAAGTAACAGGAAGTCACAGACTTGGAAATGGCTTTGGCTCAGTGCAACAGTCAGAAAGAGATAATAAAAAATAAAGAATAATTAACACTTCTAAGGAATACATTTAAATTTAAAATAGAGTTACAGTTACTATTTACAATATACAAGTGCACATGGTGCACACAGTGTAAGGTGACAGCAGTACAGTGAAGTAAAGTGACGTATGATGGGCAGTAAAGTGACTTTATAAAGGGCGGGGGGACAGGTTAAGAAGTGTTCAAGAGTCAAACAGCAGAGGGGAAGAAACTGTTCTTGTGGCGGGAGGTTCTAGTCCTGATGGACCGTAGGTAGGTAGGGAGACAGACTAACACAGAGACAGAGCGAAACAGACACAGAGATAAACAGGCACAGAGACACACAGAGACACACAGAGACAGAGACTGAAACAGAAACAGAGAGACACACACAGACACAAAGAAATATACATTCTCGTATTGACTTCAGTGTATTTACCTTAAACTGCTGTTGCGATGCCGTGATGTGTTCAGGGCCCAGCAGCTGCAAAACCCGAGGAATAACGTCTCTGTAGGAAAAACTGTATGTTCCTAAAGCCGCCATGAGCACAGTCTGAGCCCGGCTGCGAACCTTCAAAGATAAAAGACACAAAGCATTTAAATGTAACACAAGAAAACCCTGTCAGAGAACTTAACACAAAATGCTGCTAGTTTAAACTCGTTAGCATCAAAGCCCGTCCCTCCACTTCCTGCCTGCGTTTTGCTGCATCCCAGGGCAGCACGGAAGTTTAGTGAATACGTGTCCATGCGTCGTAGTTACGCAAGTTATTACAAATCTATTCGTAAATGTGATACTTTTCCTAGACACACAGATAGATACAGAGAAAGACAAAGAGACAGCTATAGAGTTTTTATTGACAGCTGCCCTCCAGTTAATATAGAATTCAAGAACATTGTGAAGGAGTAGTCTCCACTCTTCACCCCACCGGTGTATCCTTCCTGTTTTATTTTGAAATATTTAACTTTGTTTATTTTTTCCTGTCCCTAACTTGTCCCTTCTCTTTTCTTGGAAGGTGATTGGTGGAGGTGCTGGGCTGGAGGCGCGCCCATCCCAGTGCATGCCAGGTGCACCCAACTAAGCAATCAGCTGGGCTCCACCATGATCTTCCAAGAGAAGGGTGTTTCATTTGGACTAAACATAATATATACATACATCAAATACCACACATGTTAAAAAAGACCACCACTAATTTCAAATTACTATAAATTATGATTATATACATCTGAAGTTAATCAGTCTAATCAGGAAAATCTAATTCTTGTTCCGTGTAAGAATCAGCCGACCACAACCGCTGATACTGAAACTTTGAAACTTGCTATGCTAAATGTCAGATCTCTTTGTAACAAGTCTTTTTTAATCAATAATTTCATTTGTTCTCATAATCTTGATCTTATGTTCATGGCTGAAACATGGCTTGACCAAAATACAGAAAATGCAGTTTTAATAGAAGCATCACCACCAAATTTCAAATTTGAATCTGAAATACGGGGAAACAAAAAAGGAGGAGGCTTAGCTGCCATTTTCAGAGACCACTTTGTCTCCCATAGAATGTCTCTTGGGAAGTTTCCGTCTTTTGAATATAAAATACAACAAAAACAATCTCCTCCAATACTTTTCGTTGTCCTATACAAGCCACCGCAGTCATGCCACAGTTTTATTGATAATTTTACAGAGTTGCTTTCAGTTGTATGCACAGATTTTGATAGCTTAGTTATTACAGGGGATTTTAATATTCATGTGTTCTGTTCTTGAATCTTTTGGTCTCACTCAGCATGTGAGTGGCCCCACCCACAGCAGAGGGCACACTCTAGACCTGTTAGTTACAAAGGGGGTGAACATTTCTAATGTAAACGTGGTCGATGTTGCGCTTTCGGATCATTTTTGTGTATTTTTTGACATGTGTTTCACTAACAAACCACCAGTGGACTCTGCAACTGTACGAAGAAGACACATAAATGAAAATACGGGTGAACTATTTATGGGAATGATAAACTTTGAGAATGCATCGTATTCTACTGTATATGGACTGTTTAACTCTGTCACCTCTAGTGTTTTGAATGTTCTGGACACCATCGCTCCTGTGAAGGTTAAAATAGTGAAAAATGAGCAGAAGGCGCCGTGGGCTAAAGCAGACTCGGTCAGGGCACAAAAGAGAGAGTGCCGGAGGGCCGAGCGGAAGTGGCGCAAGTCCAACCTCCAGGTTGATTACAAGATCTTCAAAGATAAGTTGTGCGAGTTTAACCAGGTGCTACGTAGTACGAGAGAAAGGTATTTTTCTGAAATGATTGAAGGCTGCAGCAACAATCTGCGTGTTCTGTTTTCAACAGTTAATAGATTAACAAACCCCCCTGTTCAGATGCCATTAGAACTAACTTCCAAACGTAAATGTAATGAGTTTGCACATTTTTTCAATGACAAGGTTCAAGGCATCAAAAACGCCATTGTCTCCAATCCACAGATAACCATCCAACAACCAGAAAGGCTCTTTGAGCTAACTTACTTTGCACCTGTAAATGATCAAACTGTCCAAGAGATAATCTCCAGTTTGAGCTCCTCCACATGCAGCCTGGATGTACTACCCACTAGATTTCTGAAGTCTGTTCTGAGCAGTCTGTTACCTTCACTCACACAGATAGTAAACATGTCCCTTCATTCTGGAATATTCCCAAAGGCCCTGAAAACTGCAGTCATCAGGCCCCTGCTAAAAAAGAGCAGTCTGGATGCTACGGTACTTAACAACTATCGTCCCATCTCAAATCTGCCATTTATGGGGAAAGTCCTTGAAAAAGTTGTCTACCAACAGCTAAATAGATTTCTTATAATCAACAACTCATTTGATATGTTTCAGTTCGGCTTTAGACCCCACCACTGCACTGAGACTGCTCTCGTCAAGGTTACAAACGATATCCGGCTGAACACTGACGCAGGCAAAGTCTCAATCTTAATCTTGTTAGATCTAAGTGCTACCTTTGACACCGTCGACCATGAGATCCTCTTACAGAGACTAGAGGACTGGGTTGGCGTCGCTGGCCCCGCCCTAAGTTGGTTTAGGTCTTACCTTGAAGACAGGAAGTACTTTGTGGAGATTGGAAACTGTGTCTCAGATCATATGGCCCTGACCTGTGGAGTACCACAGGGGTCGATCCTGGGACCTCTTCTGTTCAATCTCTACATGCTGCCGTTAGGTCAGTTAATACGCAGAAACAAAGTGTCCTATCACAACTATGCAGACGACACTCAGATCTATGTCTCACTGACTGCAGGAGAACATGGACCAGTGGACTTACTCCTTCACTGTATCCAACAGATCAGTGAGTGGATGCAAAACAACTTCCTTCAGCTAAACGCGGACAAAACTGAAATGATTGTCTTTGGTCCCCAGAAACAAAGAGAGAGCGTCATCTGTCATCTACAGTCTCTCTCCCTAAAACCTTCAAACAAGGTCAGAAATCTAGGGGTAATACTGGACTCAGACTTAAATTTTAATAGCCACATCAAATCAGTAACATCAGCAGCTTTTTACCATCTAAAAAACATTGCCAGGATCAAAAACATAGTGTCTAAAGCAGACTTGGAGATTCTTATCCATGCATTTGTCTCCAGTAGGTTAGACTACTGCAATGGCCTGCTCACAGGTCTGTCCAAACAGGCTGTAAAACCGCTGCAGTACTTTCAAAATGCAGCAGCTCAAGTCCTGACAAGAACCAGGAAGTACGGCCACATTAGTCCAGTTCTCAGGTCTCTGCACTGGCTTCCTGTGACTCAGAGAATAGACTTTAAAACAGCTCTGCTTGTGTACAAGTCTCTCCATGGCCTCACACCAAAATATATTAGTGACATGTTAGTCCCATATGAACCAGCCCGGACTCTGAGGAGCACAGGGACTGGACTCCTGTTAGTGCCCAGAGTCAGAACTAAACATGGGGAGGCTGCTTTTCAGATTCATGCTGGTAAAATCTGGAACAATCTTCCTGAAGATGTGAGACAGGCCTCCTCTCTGACAATGTTTAAAACCAAGTTAAAGACGGTGCTGTTTAGCTGTGCATACAACTGAGTAGTAGTAGTAGTAGTAATCTTTATTTATATACGGCCTTTTCACTGCAGATCTGCGTCTCAAAGCGGTTTACAATTGTTAATTATGGGCATTTATCTCTCACTCCACACAGAGATGGGAGCGGGGTCGCCAGTACAGGAGGTGCATGCCAGACATGCCTATTGGACATATTTTTAGTGGTAGGGGAAACCGGAGTACCCGGAGGAAACCTACGCAGACATGGGGAGAACATGCAAACTCCACTCAGAAAGGCCCTGGTCCGACCGGGATTCGAACCCAGGACCTTCTTGCTGAGAGGCGAGAGTGCTATCCACTCAGCCACCGTGCCGCCCAACTGAGGGATTTTATATTTTTATCTTTCTTTTTAATGTTCTGTGATTATTTATGATTTTAATGCTATCTTGTTCAGCACTTTGAGTTGCCTTGTGTATGAATTGTGCTATACAAATAAACTTGCCTTGCCTTGCCTTAAATAGTGTAGGCCTACATTGTTGTGTCCCTGGGCGGGTGGAGGTTTTGGGTTTGGGCCACTGTATAAAAAGGGGAGGATTCCATTTAAACGGGGTGTTCCTGTTGTGTGCATGGGGGGGATGCTGCCCAAATAAATAAGACATCTTTTGTGCTAATCTGAAACATTTGGACCTTTGTTTGTTTCCCGTCCTGGTGAGAGGCTGTCCCAGTAGCTCAAACGCTACAAACATAAACGCAACCGATTAGCTAATTAGTGTACAAAGTAAGAAATATGTAAAATTCAGGTTTCCTCTTGCTTTTTAGGATTTCTACTGGTTCCTAATTTTACTCTAATTATCTAACATACAAATTACAAACATAATATCTAAAAATACATATACAAGCCCACAGTTACACATTGTATTAGTTAAAGGTCATCAATAAAAGTAATTTTCCAAACACCGGTATATTCCAATATTTGTTAACTGTCTGCTGAACTGAGAGCTCACACAGTAAATACATTTGCTCATAACTGCAGTATAAATGTTGAATAAATATCTACAATAAAAGGGAGATGGTGGTGTTTGTACCTGGCTGTAGGAGCTGGTGGACAGCAGCAGGAGGTCAGACAACAGGTCTTGATGTACGACTTTGTATTCGCAGCCTTCTACCACCAACTTTCTCATCTGAAAACAACAGCAACACGGCACGGTTAGTTTGTTTAAAGAAAATGGAACAAAAGACATTGCAGGAACTGATTTCAAAGAACAAACATTGTGCATTTGTCTTCCTTTGGGCCCGCTAACATAGAGTATTTACTTTGGAATTTCATGTTTTAGAATGTGACATAGTTTGCAAAAGGCCCAGTATGTGGCAGTTACAAACATCTGTTTCCTTTGTACGTGTTCTCAGACACAAGGTTAACGTTTACAAATCGCTGTCGCTGTTAGAAGAGATTTAGAAACAAGTTTTCAGACAAGATTTAGACATTATCTTGTAGTCTGTGTTGTCTTATAAAGGTTGTTAATGTTGGAATAAACCATTAACAAATACGTATTTCCACTGTCTTTATTTGGCCATTATAATGAGATCATTTACTTTGTCATTTCATTTTTCAGAACGCTAAAACATTTCCTCAGAAAGAAGGTTGACATCTTACAGCCTGGGTCTTGGATCTGTAGCCCGTCCGTCCATGGGAGCAGGTTTTTTTGATTTAACTGCGTTTATTCTTCTAGGATATTTACTAGAAGAAGATTGAGGATAGCTTGGTTGCACAAAGGCCACAAAAGAAAACCGGTTAAAACTAGATAGAAAACTGAAATATTTGACTATTTTCTCTGTATAAAAACATTTGCAATACAAGTATGCGGCAAACCTTGGATCCTTCATGCGGCCCGCCTCTGAAGTAGTTCTTTTGACTTCACCGATGGCTTGTTTTTCAATGAAATAATGTTAACGTCGCACTCGATGACGTTCGGCGGTGTTAAATATAAGTTAAAGGCCGAGAGCTGAATGTGAGTCATTGTTCAACAGGTTCAATGGGTTCAGAAAAATGTGTATTGTAATTTTGGACTGTCATAAAAGGCTCTCTATTGTTAAGAATGTATAGGTTGAAACTATTACTACAACTTCTACTACTACTACTACTACTACTGCTCCTACTACTACAACTACCAACGCTGCTACTACTACTAAAACTACTGCTACTACTATCTGCTGTCTTCATAATATAAGAAGACATGCTACTAATTACTGCTAGTGTTTAAAGGGGCGTTTACATTTGCCGTCAGAAAAAGTCAAGATTAAACTTGGTCTGGACCAGTCTCAATGGTCTAAATTACACTGATTCTTAAGAGAGAAAAGTAAGCAGAGATTTGTTTCCCCCCACAAACTATTACCATATCTGTTGGTTCCAATCTCATCTCTAGCATTTTGACATATAGGCTACTGGGAAGAATTTTGATATTTGGTACTACTACAATTACTACTACCACTACTACAACTGCTACTGCTGTTACTACTAATACTACTTTCCATCCCCACTGACCACATGTTGCAGTACTACTATATACTGTACATGCATGTGACAACTATGAGAGAACTGAACTGGTTTGAGAGCAAGGAACTAGTTAGCTGGACTTACTTATAGCTAACTTTCTTGTGGTTTGAAAGTTAGGTACCCCAGCTTTAGTTTTTACTACTACTACTACTACTACATATATTCCAGCCTCACTGACCTCATGTTGCAGTAAGACTCGGTCTATAAGCAGGGCTCTTATATGCTTCTTCTTGCCCAACAACTGCAGGGGAGGAGGCAAAAAAACATATTCAAATCACCGCGGCCTGATTTCAAACGCTCAATCAGCGGCGGTTCTACTTGCCCGGTTTTCCATGGACTTTTTGACCAGGGTGAAGCTCTTCCACCGCGAATCAAACTCCTTTTTGTGAGTGCCGCGGAAAAACATGAGGTCGTTGATGATCTGGAGAAGAGATGGTGGTGAGGTGGAGGTAATGGCAGGTCCCTTATAAATAATAGAGGAAAGGTACAGAGCAGCGGGAGCACAGGTACCTTAATGATGACAAAGAGTGACTTGGTGTCGTCCTCGGAATGTTCCAGAATGTGGTCTGCCGGAGACAAGAGACAGAGGTGAGTTTTTTAGGTTGTGAGTGCAATCCCGGTGTTTGCGGTTGCCGTTAGCAACCGGCCAAACTGCAATAAAAAATAAAAAGAATTGTTTACAATGACATGACGACAACTATTGCTTTGACACCGGTCTGAAGGCTGCTCACAAGGCTTTCATTAGTTTTATTTGATTGTGTAATGTTTATTTTTCAATTTTTTTCTATGTTATTACATTTACTGTATTTAATTTTGTTTATTTTTTCATTGTAATATTTATATTTATTTAATTTTCTTTATATTACTGTAACTCTATGTAATTAATTATTATTTTATTACTTTGTGTATTCTTATTTTATTACAATTGTGCCATTCTAAAATGTAATCTATAATCACTTTACAGAGATTCAAAAAACACCATTGTATTTCTTTTCCAACATTGTTCAGCTGTGATGAGAAGGCCTTGGGATATTTTCACTCCAAACGACATTGGAAGAAGCAGCAGCAGCAGCAGACCAGCGTCATGATTTCGTCAAAGCAATTTCTCAAGTGAAATGAGAAAAAGGTGAAGACAAAGCAGCTCATCTCATTGTAAAATCTGTTCTTGGTTTATTTTTATATTATCTATTGAACAGGTCCCATTATTCATTCTGTTGCTGTGTGATGTCAAGTAATGATAAAAAAAAATCTAAAAAATAAAGCACCTTTTTGAGAAACTAGAAAAAACCCACTATCAAGACAGGGCATACAGGCCCGAGTCATGTTGAGTGAGTAATTAGCAAGTATATATTTAATTATATAGCGCATTTCACAGACCAAGGTCCCCCAAAGCGCTGTACAGTGTTTTTGAAGTTAAGATATTTTTCCATTCTCTCCATAAACTCACTCAGTTACACTCATACCAAACTTTTTTTTTGCGGTAGGGGAAACCGGAGCACCCAGAGGAAACCTGTGCAGACACGGGCAGAACATGCAAACTCCACACAGACAAGCCTGGAGGTGGAGTTGAATCCAGGACCTTCTAGCTCTGAAATACACCTCCCACACCACCGTGCCACCCGAATGTGAGACCAAATCAACCAATCACAAGCCTGGTTCCATGACAACAACAGCTGTGAAAGTCAACAGTGTAATTCAGGCAAAAATCCACAAAACAAACTTGTGTGGAGTTCTTGCAAAATGAAAATTGGAACCGACAGAGTGAGATTTTGTGCTCAGCAGCCAAAACAACATATAAAAGAAACACATTGTATAATCAGTACATGTGTGGCTTTGTGTGTTGCATTATTTATTTTACTGCTTGTATCCATGGCAACCGACCCTGGGTACAAGCAGGGTCGGATGCTATTTTTCCAACCGGCCCTGGTCACCCTTTTTTTTTTTTTTTTTTTTGACATAATTTATTTTATTTACCACTAAGTAAAAAAGTAAAAGTTGAAAAAAAAAGTTAGATTCTTTCCCTCTACCGTATTTTTTTGTATTTATTGTGTCTATTTGGATGGGACAGTGCGTATTACTGAGCAGCAGGATATGAAAATACACCAGGTTGTAGCTAAGTCAATTAAATACAGTCAACAAATGTCATAATTTCAAACCAACATGAGAAAGTTGAGATTTCACCAGCATTGAGACATTCCGACAGTGGGTTGTTAACTCACGGCGGTGGCTCACTAACTAAAGAGATGATATGTAAATTTGACATTTCCAAGTTTTAAAACGCAATTAGTTTGTGCTTTTAGATCATCACGGGAGGAAACGCTGCTTCTCCTTCATCACAAACACAGCGTCTGAAAAGCCCTGCGGTAAAAAAGAAACTCCCTTTTTTTACCACGTTTATGTTAATGTCGTTGCATTTCTCTAATTGTAATCGTTTTTTTGCTAGCTTTCCTGCTGTCAGTCCCCGAGAATCTCAGACTAACACAGAGAAGAGCAGAGATGTAGCCTGGAGAGTCGGAAACGTCAGAAATGCAACGGAATTATGGATTTGACATTGCACCATTCATTTATGATTTAAATGGCATCAGTTCCAACACATGTAGCAGTCATCGCTTCTTGTGTGTATTAAAATAGGATGAACCATTTTAGTAAAGAAGAAATTGTGTAAAAAGATTCTGCCGTTGGATTTGAAATGTATATGTATGTGGTATTTATACGTTTCAACAACTGGGAGCAGTGCACGAAGCAGAGACGGGAACTTTTAGAAGAGTTTGAATCAAGGAGTTAGACTGGTTCCGGACTCACTAGGTTTCCGGACTCGCAAGGTTTCTGGACTCACCAGGATTACGGACTCGCTAGGTTTCCGGACTCGCAAGGTTTCCGGACTCGCAAGGTTTCCGGACTCGCAAGGTTTCCGGACTCGCAAGGTTTCCGGACTCGCAAGGTTTCCGGACTCGAAAGGTTTCTGGACTCGTCAGGTTTTCTAGAATCACCAGGTTCCCAGACTCGCCAGGTTTTCTAGACTCGCCATGTTCCGGACTCGCCAGGTTCCAGACTCGCCAGGTTTTCCAGACTCGCCAGGTTTTCCAGACTCGCCAGGTTTTCCAGACTCGCCAGGTTTTCCAGACTCGCCAGGGAGACCAGGTCTGGTCCAGTTATAGTGAACCAGACCTGTTCCAGTTGAAGTGAACTAGACCTGTTCCAGTTGAAGTGAACTAGACCTGTTCCAGTTGAAGTGAACCAGATCCGGTCAAGTTAAAGTGAACCAAATTTGGTCCAGTTAAAGTGAACCAAACCTGGTCCAGTTAAAGTGAACCAAACCTGGTTCAGTTTAAGTGAACCAAACCTGGTTCAGTTTAAGTGAACCAAACCTGGTTCAGTTTAAGTGAACCAAATCTGGTTCAGTTAAAGTGAACCAAATCTGGTTCAGTTTAAGTGAACCAAACCTGGTTCAGTTTAAGTGAACCAAACCTGGCCCAGTTAAAGTGAACCAAACCTGGCCCAGTTAAGGTGAACAACCTTGGACAATATTGAAGCTGTTTTTGCAGTAACCAAAAAGAAGGGAATGGTAACGTGGTGCGTATAGGAGCAACACTCGTAATTAATTCCAATGTGCTTTTGAGAGACACGAAGATGTCGATAAATGTGTGTGTGTGTGTGTGTGTGTGACGTATTTGAAAGCGTCACTCACGTAGCAGCAGTTGCATGGTTTGGCATATGGACTCTCTGTAGTTCTCCTGTGAATCATCTGGAAGGGAGGAGACACACACGCACCACACACACACACACACACACACACACACACAGCATACTGAGCAGAGGCAACAAACCAGCTCACACCAGCACCGACGGCAGAGATGGGAGACCGGAGCCAGCCTCACTGAATATGTCACGACATTTTTAATTACATGTGTGTGATGAATGAGACACTTTTACTAATGCAACTGTCATGGTACTAGAGTTCCCGATGCAATTAGGGATGCTTCTGTGATGTGGTGTAAAAGCCAAAGCAAAGAGGCTAAAAAATACACAGAAAAATAATAGATTTTAGCTTCATTTCCATTTGTATACACCAGTTTTGCCCAACCTTTTTGAGCCATGGCACGCCTTTTATGTTGAAACCTATCACATGGCACACCACCTAACATGAAATTCTGCAGCCGTTAATAACAACCAAGGAATTTTCATCAACGTGTAATTATATAGAAAATCAAGCTAGCTCAAGCAAGTCTTTATTCTCACATTGATTTATTTTCACATTATTTTGACCAATGAGGGGATATTGGATCATTTCCAAAGGCACACAAAACAACATCTCAAGACACACTGGTTGAAAAACACTGTTATATACACAATATAAACTAGACCTTTGTGGAAGTTGTCTTGTAAAAGTAAGACCCCAACAACATGGTGTCTTCAACATCTTATTAGAAAACATATCTTGTGTATACTTGTGAGGAAGAGCCCTGTTAGTCACTAATATGCTTTGGGCTTGCTTTTCAAACTAGTGATAGAACAAAACCACACATTTTTAGTACTACTTCTGTGTTCTGAGCGTTAAAATTAGGTATGACACGTTTGTATTGGTTCACCACTAGCAATTGTGAATTTAAAAAAATATAAAACAAATTGTGAGCAATTGGCTAGTTATATGGATTTTCTTATATACCATAGCTCTATCATTTGAAAGTCAGGTGCCCCGGCTTTAAGCGTTGGCTCCTTCTAAGTGTATATCCCATTTCAGACGTTGCCCTCTCTGAAACCTCTGGCCCCACCTCTGCCTATATGTGTCTGGTTGTTTTGTTTCACATTTCCCCCTCGCATCCTCACCGTAGTCCACCCCTATGTGCAGCCTGATCTCCCCCAGCTTCACCATGGAGGGCACACTGTGGAGAGGAGAACGAGACGTGAGGTGATTGCAAGAGGCAGCACACGCCCACACACACACACACACAATATAGCTGCGTGTGTGTGTGTCTATAAGAGCATTGTGTACCGCACTCACAGGTCAGCGACGTGCGGTCCATCCAGAGGCCGCAGAAGGCTCCCAGCTCCTAATAAGCAGTGCTGTACGATGGCCAGGCTCTGCAACAGCTCCTCACTGTGGCCAGAAAAGACATTACACACGCTTGTTGATGAGCTTATGTACAAGACAGAGCATGGAGGAGGAGGAGGGGAGAAAAAAAAAACATCTGGGACATGAATAATGTTGAATCTAAATGCAGCAGCGTGGTATTTTGTGTCCCGTTTGCTTGAATTGCAAGGTCAGAGAATACATAACTGTGCGAGTGTGAATATGTTGTTTTATCTGTGGTTTGGATTGAGGAGAGCAAGATAATGAAGGTTATGGTTACTGCTGGTGTTAAAGGATGGCTCAAATGTAGAGGACTCATTTCTCAACAAGGACACTGAAGTGTACTTTAACCATGGGAAATGAATGTTAATAACTTTTTGATTTGTGGAGAGACAGAGAGAGAGAGAGATAGCGAGAGAGAGGGAGAGAGAAAGAGTGAGAGAAGGGGGCCACAAACAGAGACACAAACAGAGAAAGAGAGACACAGACAGAGGGAGAGAGGGAGAGAGAGAGAGAGAGAGAGAGAGAGAGAGAGAGAGAGAGAGAGAGAGAGAGAGACACACACACACAGAGAGAGAGACACACAGACATTCTCTCATACAAAACTGAATGTAGGAGAAGCAGCTTTCTGTCAATACGCTCCTTGTAAATGGAACACTGTCTATTGCCATCAAATGTGCTCCAACACTGAGCTCAATCAAGATGAAACTCTTTTCCTTAGGTCTACAGATGTGTCTTTTTTTGGAAACCGTCTTGTTGGACTTGTTGTTTTGCTGCACAGTAATTACTAAGCACATTGGGTCACCATATAGAAAAAATTCCAAAGCCTTGCATTCAGATGTTCACCTTTTGCTTCATACACAAGACACATACAACAACTATATGTATAAAAATGTATTCTTGATTTTGCCCAATTTTTAATTATTTCCAACTGCTGTCTGCCACCCACCATCAACTTAATAAAATGCTGGTGCAGACAGCAGAAGGCAGAGTAAACAACCTCCTCCTCTGGTTTGCATGACATCTCCTAATTGGTGGAATATTGTAGACCCACAACTGGTAAACATAGCAAGGAGCAACTTCCACTTTGAGAAGGCAGCACTGGATTGCAGTCTTTGCTCTGCTGTTTGAACAAATACTGTATAATTAAATGGTACAACATGGGGATCTTGTAGAATAAAAAAAGTATTCTTCAATTGTTTTCCCCTTGATTCAATTCAGAATCCTGGTAACGAATGAAAAAGAATATGGCTTTTATTATCAATTTCCAGCTGATAAACTTGATACAAGATTCAGGCAGTGGACGAGGTGAATGTTAGTGACAGCTGCATATGAAAGCCAGATCTTGTTAGATCTTTGAAGCCAAGAAGGACAGGGGTTGGTTAGTTCTGTGATGGGAGACCTCTGGGGATCTTCAACCTCAAAAGCTTTAGTCAGAGAGGGCAGAGGGACATTTTGTGACATAATTTGCTACTATTAGTGTGGATGGAGCCAATAAGGAGATAATAGAGATAATTTATTAACTTTGCCTCCAATAATTTGTAAATCTCTGTGCCAACGGAGAGACTTAGTAAAGTAAATGTTGTGAACAAAATGAGCCGTAGCATGCGTAGAAAACATGGTATTTTTTGTAAACTTGAAAGAAAGAGCTCTGTGAGTCACTATTTGACTCTTTGAGCTGAGAGCTGATTGGCTGAGTGACGGTGCTCCTCTTATTTTCACTTTCTGTCTGAAAAAGTTGATCCAAAAGATGTGACAGAGGCAAAAAAAATACAGGCATATATAACCAGTGATAGAACCACACTGCTTTGATAGCTTGTTAGATTAGATAACTGGACGGAACTAGAAATGGGGAGGCAGCATTTTAGATTCATGCAGCTAAAATCTGGAACAGTTTTCCTGAAAATGTGAGACAGGCTTCTTCCCTGACAATGTTCAACTCTAGGTTCAAAACATTTCTGTTGAGCACAAACACACACACACACGCACACACCCACACCCACAAACACACACCCACACCCACAACACACACACACACACACACACACACACACACACCCACAAACACAAACACACACACACACACACACACACACACACACACGCACACACGTGATCTGTTGTCAAACTATCCACATCTTTTTGTTGTTTGCTGTACACATTTTTTTGCAATAACTAAATACATAAATAAAGAAAGCACTTTGGGTTGCCTTGTGTATGAACTGTGCTATACAAATAAACTTGCCTGGCCCTACATATACAGTTGCGCCATTTGCTTGTTAGGTTGGACTTCAATTCCCGCTCTTGCAGTTTCCTCTATACTCAATGCTCCATTTAGTAAACTTTCTTTCCCTGTGGAGGTGTTCCGACCGGCTGGGTGTGGGCGTGGACTGAACCACAGGGGACGCACTGACATTCACATACAAACACACACACACACACACCCACCCACATGGAGCCCTTACAAAAATGGAGGCTGTGTTTTAGTGTTGTTAGCGAGTGTCGACGAGGCACAAACTGGCAGGTAACTACACGCACCGGCTCAGGGGCTGGCCTCCGGAGACGTGCTCTTGAATGCGCCTGAGTTCCGGTTTCAAAAGGCTCTGCAGCAGCTGGAACGCAAAGCTCTGCTCCTCATCGCTCGGAACGTGCCAACAGACGCCCAGGGCTGTCACGTCTCCGTCTCTGCCCCAGTCCTGAAACACGAGCACAGGACAGGAGATGATAGATAGATAGATAGATAGATAGATAGATAGATAGATAGATAGATAGATAGATAGATAGATTAGAAAGATAGAAAGAAACACATCCATCCATACAAAAACAAATACATAATTCTAAAAGTGACTAATAGTAGTAATAAAATGCAACAGCGGCAGAGGTGGAGTAGACGCTGGCGATGAGCTGCTTCCTATCCTCTGGTATGGTTGATGTATGCAGAGTCTGCTTAGGTCGGACCATTTTCTCTGCTTTGGTTCAGAGTGAAATTCTAAATGCTTTATTCGAATAAAACAAAATGGCATTCCTCCAGTGGATTTACGCTTGAGCTACTTGGTTCTGACTGTGCGTCCTCTCTGCTCTGGTCTGGTTCAGTATAAAACCAGGAACATTGTACTGCAGTTAGACATTTACAGCTACAAAAAAGTAAGAAAAATAACGATTGTAAAACGCAGAACAACATCTGCTTCAGAGCTACTTAGGGCTCGCTGCCGTTTTCAGTGCATTCAAAAGTAAAACGTGATAGTGTAAATGTACCAGGATCTTGTCTGGTCCTGGTATTTATCCGTCATTTAACCAGAAAAGTCCCATTGAGATTAAGAACCTCTTTTTCAGAGGAACAGATTTTTACACAGAGAGTTAAATCTTTTTAGTCTTTTTCATACATACTTTTTATTCATTTTGTACCAAAAGTAACAGGGTTGTTCAGTCAGAATCAGATGTAATTTTATCACCATTTTGTGAGTAGCAGAAAGTCACAAATTATAGGTATTTACTTGAGCTCAAAGTACTAAAAGTAACTAATCCAACCACAGCATGTTCATGTCTCTGGAGCTGTCCACAAATGTTATAAATATACATGCATAAATAAAATCATTAAAATAAATGTAATATACAACATGGAAACCAGGAGCATTCTTTTTATCATCTGCTCATTTGGCAAAACAACTCAAACATCTGCGCAAACTTTACCATCAGCTTTCAGCCTGAGATTCCTGATTTTCTTTTTTTTTTTATCTCAACCTAAATTGCCTCTAGACTTTTTCTCCTGTTTAAAGTTTTCACCCAGGATACTCATAAACACACACTGCCTCTGCTCTGACTCAGCCCCTTCCCCTTTAAATCGCAATTAGCGCAACTTTAAGCCATTGCTACTTCCCCGCATAAACGTAATTACACGAGCGACTTACAAATTGTTCGAGAAAATTGCCGAACACGGGGACAAATCCACTGTTTAACCTCCGTGTTTAAGGAGAAACACCACTTTACAAGTTGTTCCTCTCTGCTGTGGCTTATTGTTTTGTGTCCAAGAGATATTCCCAAAGAGGACAGCCCACTAATAGCGGTGATAAGGAGACATTCTCAGAGGCAGCCGAACAAACAGCAGCTGTGGGAAGTTGTAGGAAGGTGTTTAAAAAGCCTAAATTGTAAAGAGATTATTGTATACGCTGTAGAAGTAAAGTCAATTTGCATTTTACTATCAAGGGCTTGTCGCTGAATGGAGGCGGTATCGGTGAAGCTGAGTGCCTTTTAGCTCCGGCTGCGAGTTTTTGGAACAATGTAATCAGTGGGGGATGAAGTTCTCAATGTTGTAAATGAGAGAGTGGCTACAAAACAACTACTGAAGTCAAAGAAACGCATGGAATAGTCTGCTCTAGTCGCTAAATGGCCCTGTTTGTTGTAGTGGTGGAGTATTTTTGTTAGGTTTGCCTCTGCCAACTCCTTCTGGGCATCATTCTATGGTATATCCTCTTTGTTTTGTTGTTTGTGGTTTTGAATTGGAATCTGTCGCACTTTGAGGTTTCCTGGGAACGTAAGGTGCACTATAAATAAAATGTATTATTATTATCATTACTATCATCTCTCGCTTTGCTTGCCATGCTGATCTGTAACCTCAATGTCTGACCTGTTAAACGCAGATGCTCGAATAAACACGAAGGAACGAGATTGAGGTTAAAACATGTGTATTTATTTATTTTTTTAAATTTCTTGTGTAATTTTGAAAGTTTTAATGGTTTTATTCTTTTGTGTGATTTTAATGTTTTAATTGTGTTTTAATCTTTTGTGTGATTTTAATGTTTTAATTGTGTTTTAATCTTTTGTGTGATTTTAATGTTTTAATTGTGATTCTGGTGTTTGTTTTATGTGATGATTTGTGATGTGGACTGTGAAGCGCTTTGTGTTGCCCTGTGTATGAAAGGCGCTCTACAAATAAACTTTGATTGATTGATTGATAGAAATGTAGGGACCTAAAAGCAAAGATAATTGATTATACAGTAAATACTTGTGAATTGTTAATCCCACTGTTGTCTGCTGTCGTTGTGTCCTTGGGCAAGACACTTTAACCCCACTTTGCCTGAAGCCCCCGCTGAAAGATTAAGGCTCCTGTGGACTCTGACTGCCATCCCCCCGACCCCAGAATGGATCAAGGGGAAGAAAATAGATGGATGGATGGATACTTGTGAATTTCTATTAAAAGTATGCTTTGAATGATAACAGATTCTTACAAGATGCTTCTCGTGCCACAAGTTGTTGAAATGAAAGCCTCAAGATGGCTGCCATTTGATGGGATTTCTTTGTTGGGTTTAGACTTAGCTTTAGCCCCAGGTATCCAAGCTGTTTTTTGAAGTGCAAACTTTTCAGTAAGAGGGCCACTTTAGTTCACCAGACTTGTCCATGGCCTGACCACCCACACTGTGAAACTGTTTTGTCAGGATGCGGAGCTGTTTTTCTAATTACCTGCGATGGAGCTGAAGTTGGCTGAATGGCAAAACCATCCCACCAGCTTGATGACACTGAACTTATAATCAAAGACTACTCTATGCTAGCAAGACAGAGAACCACAAGGAATAACACAAAGGCCTTAGTTTGGACGTGCCTGTTTTAAGTGGTAACAACACCCCTGGATTTAGTATAATATCTGGAGAGGGTATTGTTGATATTACTTATACCATAAAAACTCAAACCTCTCTTTAGTACATGTTCAAAATTCTAGCCTGCTCTAATCGGTCAGAAAGCGCTCACTTGTTACTCGTGTCACGCATCATAGAGGTAGCACCACTGCACTTTCCCCTGAAGACCAGGACAAGACAAAACGGTAAAAATTGTAGTCTTCTGCTGATCTTATGGACATTGGTCATCCTCCCCTTACCAACCCCGGACCAATGGCTCTATGTGATTTTTACCATTGCATTTCCTGTGTTTGAACGGTTTGATTCTGTGGTCTGTGCAGTTGAATGTGAGATATCTGCTGTGTTTGATTAAGGACTATTCAAAAATAAATTGACTTAGATTATCATTTGGGGCGGTCAACTTCAAGCATGCGTTAATAATAATGACTCCATGTCCAAGTTATGTAATAAATCCAAGGCTGAGTTGCACATTCTGAGAAGCTATACTTTCCAAAAGCAGTGTCACAACAACAGTAACACATATGAAATAAAGTAAATAATACAATGTGAGGTCGGAATTATGATCAGCATTGCTTTCGAGAACGTATTTCTGAAGAAGTCTTTGTTCGATGTCTGAGAGCCAGAATAGAAATGCTGTCAAATATTTATCTTGTCTGGTCCGTGCGTGCGTGTGTTGTGTTCTGTTTGTGCGCGTTTGTGTGTGTGTGCGTGTGTGTGTGCTTTACCTTGATGGGCAGGTCTGTGCTGAATCCGCTGGCCGTGCTTCTGTACTCGGTGGGATAGATGAGGGACAGAGATCGCAGGATGTGCTCCAGCAGACTGCAGGCCAGAGTGTAGGCGCGTTTACAGTGGACTCTGGCACAAAGTCTCAGCACCTTCTCCAGCTCTGAGCGAAACTGCAACAGCTGCTGCCCGTCCACACGACTGACCTGAGACCAGAGAGACACCGTCATCGAGCGTCGTTACCATAAGCTCATGTTCTGCAATTGTATTTTTGGGCAGGTGTCAACACAACTCTATAGGAAAGAATACATGTCTTTGAAAGAAGTGGCGTCCAAATGTTTGAATAGATTATTATTTGATAGTGTTTGGATTAACACCATAATATTCTAATGTCTGTGTCTTAAGTCCATTCTACTGCTCAGCACAATGCATATGTTTATTTGAATATTGTCACCATTTCTAGACGCCATAATGAGAAAAATATGAGACCGTAGGTGATAGAGAGCAGAGACAGAGATAGAAACAGAGAGAGACCAAGGAGAAGCCAGGCACCAGAGAGAGACCAAAGAGAGAGACCATAGAGACCAAGGAGAAACCAGAGAGAGACCAGAGAGAGGGACCATAGAGAGACCAAGGAGAAACCAGAGAGAGACCAGAGAGAGGGACCAAAGAGGGACAAAGGAGATGTGAAATGTTGTGACAGTTCTAGTTTCATGTGGATTGACCCAGAGATTACAGAGAAATTAGGGGAAATGTTGACATTTACCTCATTACCAGGAAAGATTTTTCAGCTGCTTAACACCACAATTCTAAACAATGGGCTTTTTTGAATGTTGTGTTGTTACATGAATGCAACCTATTTAATAGAGGTGATGAAGTCAAATTTGAATTAACAGCTTTAAGTACAATTGAAAAACTATTGCTGCTAGGCTCTACTCAGACCAAAAATTAAGTTAACGGTCAGCAAATTTCCTTTTTCCATCGCCATCAAGCAAAACTGCCTGTGCAACGCTGCCCAATCTACACAATTCAAAAACTATGTGTAAATCTACATCATGGTCAAACGCTCTGAGAAGCCAATTTAGCATGCTAGCTCTCATGTATGTAGCATTAGCACACGCTTGAACGACATTATACAGGCCCGTCGTAACCACACACACACACACAGAGAGAGAAAGAGTGGCGTCTTAAATATTGAGCCTCTCCTATAAATCTGAGCATCTGGAGCGCGGAGAGCCCACATTACACTCCCAGGAGTAATAAAACAAAACAGAAAGGGTATCAATATGTTCTGTTTAACGACAAAGCACTCTGATATTTACGAGCGGGGAGAGACACGGACCGGGGGAAAAGTCACACGCGGTCATCATTCCTGCTTTATGTAAAGAGAACAGGGGGTTTAAGACGCGTTAGTGAAATAAATGAGGAGAATACGTCTTAGAAATCTGTTGGATCGGCTCGCTGTGGTGTGTTTTGGACTTGTCAGAGTGAATGTAGTGGGGAAGACAGATTCTGAATGTTAGGGTTTGAAATGGGATGCACTCTTGCTAAAATGGTTGAGGTTTTGCATTAGGACCGTGTCAAAATATCACTAAGGGGTGTAGGGTGTAGGGTCAGAGAGTGTTTGGGCTAGAAATTTGAGTTGCCTTGTGTATGAACTGTGCAAAACAAATAAACTTGCCTTGCCTTGTGTGTGTGCCGAAATATCTCTGTAGGGTCGGAGAGTGTTTGGGCCTGTGTGTGTCTGTGTGTTTTTGTGCGTTGAGAAATATGTGGCAGCTCAGATTGCCACCTGCCGACCCAGAAATGAACTGATAAAGTGGTTGAGAATTAATAAATACATGTTTTTTGCGATTTAAATTTGATATTTTGACTTTAATTAAAACTGATATTCAATAAATATAATAAATATATATGGTAATTAAATAATAGCATTTGCAAATGTTATTTATTTTATCTTGTGTTTTTTTGGGAAAACATTGAATGTATATATGATTGTATTTCTGTGTAAGGTAAGTTTGCTTTTATATTTGAGATGTGTGTATCTGTGTGTGTTTACCTGCCCAGGGACTACAGATGGAAAGTAGCTGCAGCTAAATCTGGTGCAAACCATATCTTCTTTTGTAAAGACTAATGGTTTTTGTACATTGTCCCTGTTTTTTTATAAACAATAAACTAAACTAAACTAAATTAAATATCAATGCAAAAATCCTGGAACTTTAAAACGTATCGGTAAAACGTTGAAATGTTATATAAATATTGCGTTAGTATTGTATATATAAGATACTTTTGTTTCTTTACAAATACACATTTTTCAGACATTTTTCAATTCTCCTTTTGATATGTGAGAAAGAGAAATACACCAAGGACACTTCGACCAACTCACAGCTTGTTACTAAACCTCCATCGTCAGTGCAGCAGTGGAAACATGGAAAATATTACACAGGTCTAAAGGTTTCATGTCTCAAGGTCTAACACTGATGGAAAAAGAAAAAAATACAACTCTTGCCTTATCATGTCTCCAATTCATCCCACAGTTTACTTTACTTTACTTTACTTTATTCTTACCTCCGACAGAAGCTGAAGGTTCCAGAGCAGCTCTTTGTCCAAATCCTCTTCGTTCTGCAGCTCCTCATCTGCACCGAAAATACACAGAAAAATCTGAAAATGTGTTTATAAAGGTATTGCCCGACATTTACTTCAATACTTGGTAACGGTACAATTTGGGGAGTTGCCAAAAGAAAACCATAGATAGCCAGTTTCAAGTGAGCAAAAATAGGTCGGATTTAATAATAAAGTATCTTTTATATACCACTTTTTTGGACACTGAAAGATAAATGGTGATCTACGACTACTACTACTACAAAATTACTATTGTAGCCACAGCTGCCCTGGGACACTGACAGAAGTGAGGCAACCAGTCAGTGCCATCAGCCCCTGCAACCATTCACACACACACCAGACTCCTTCTAGGCTGTGGGTGAAGTGTCTTGCCTATGGACACAACCACGGTTCGGCACTTTACAGCCGCCCCGCTGTGGCACCTGGTATTTCTGCAGAGGTCTCCCATCACAGTACTAACCAGGCCCTGCCCCGTTTAGCTTCAGAGGTCTGACGGGATCTGGCTTTCACATGCAGGTGGATTTATGCGACAAGTGACTTATGCAACATCCCATTCCTCTCAGCGGTCAATTCAAGCTCCACTAAACCTCCACAACTGACACTGTATCGATTCAAATACAATAAAGTCATTTGAGTTATCGTCCTAGATGGTAATTTGAAGCTTTAATAAAAATGACAATATTACAAAAAAAGTAAAGAGTAGAAAGAAGGTATAAGACGTAAATGTACAATTACTATCATACCATCTCCGTTGCAGATCTCATGTATTCTGTAGTCCTTTTGTCTATTTCCATTTTCCTTGGAATTTTGGACCTGTCTTTTTGATTTTTCCCACTTGGATAATTCCACTTATATTTGGAGCTTCAATGTGCTATACATTTGGAAATCCATACATTTGTGTCATTTTGTGTCTGAATGAAATGATTCGTGATTGGAACATTTAGACAAAAAAGGGGCGGGGTCAGATGTTCCTAATTTTACTGTAGATGGAGCTAAACAACTAAAGGTATGTTTGAAGCATTTACAGCTAGTTTAGAAGCAGCTACTTATATTTTATATTTTTTGTGCTCCTTGTGTGCTCTTACTACTGTCCTGTTTGTGCGATGCAACATTGGAATTTCCCCACTGTGGAAATAAAAAGGTTCTCTTATCTTATCCTTCTCTAAATAGTATGTATCATTATTGACTAAACTGAATTATTGGCTGAAACTATTTACTTTGTCCTTTTATGTTTTAGAATGCAAAAAGAGTAAAAATGTTTTTCACCTGTAACTCTCTATGCTACCACCAGAGGGAGTTGCATTGGTAAATAAGCAGCTCCAAACACAGCCTTGAGATTGTAAAAAAACGCGGTTTCAGTTGAGAAATTACCAAAAGTAATTAAGGGACAATACTTTTGTTTTATTAGGCATTACAGGACTGAGACTTAAGTCAGAAGGGGCATTTTTTGTGCCAGAAGTATGCCATTTTTTGTGCCAGTTATTAGTATGAAGGGATTGTAAAAAATAAATAAAAAATAAAAAATAAAAAACAACTTTGCATACTATGTCTCCTTTAAGTCTAACTACTATAATCCAAAAACTACTCTGTTTCATATATAAAATATTATTTGCGTTTCTTCCTCCTCAAACTGGAGAAAAGTCGCAAATAACAGGCTTTCGAATGTAATTGTACTTATTACCATCTGGGTCACTTCATAATTAAACTTTTGCGTTTGTGGCTCTGAGGATGTGCCGCTGATTTGATTAGGACTGATTAGGAAACAGTCGGACAAACATTTGGCAAATTGTTGCGTCGTGGTGACAACAAAACGGCTTCAAACTGAGAATATTAAGCAAAAACGTCTTGTATAGTAAACATGCAACGCTCCCATTGGACTTTATAATTTGTTGTTTGAAGAATGTCTAATTCTCCGTGACGTCGCCCCGTATGACTCCCACGCATGGATTTGTCACCACACCAACACTTTAAATCGGGATGGAGAGAAATGGAAATTATTTGGTGATAAAAAGTCTATGCAACAATTATTTCAATTATTTGTTTTTATGATTGTTTTTGCTGATGCCTGAGGGTCTAAGGCAGGGGTGTCAAACTAATTTTGGTCGAAGGCCAGATTTAAAAACGTAAGATCTTACGTTGGGGCCAAAAGTATTATTCGACATGATTTTATGTATTATCTTCTTGTGAGTTTGGATTCAACCGCAAAAAGGCCAACTATTGAGAAGAGATGTATTTGCAGAGTGATAGTTAAATAATTACTTAACTTCTAATAAAATTACATTTTAGAACAGACTCAATGATAGAGTTGTTTTCCTGATAGTACACTTATTTAAGATGAAGTATAACATGCCATCGTAGACCATTTCCATGCAATGCTTCAAGTTAATGTAATCATGATCATTCAAAATCATTTCAGGGGTCACTAAAATTGGCCTCGTGGGCCGGATGGCTCTTATGTGTTTGTTATTACTGCATTTCCTGTGTTCGAACGGTTTGATTCTCTGATCTGCTGTTGAGGAACCGACAATTTTGTAAAGTCCTTCTGCTTTTGTGAATTATAATTGAATGTGATAAGTTAAAGATATCTATTTTTACAACTTGTTTGCATCTTGAGGCAAAGCACATTCCTAGTTTGTGACTCAAAATAATTCTGATTGTTTGAATCTAGCATAAATTTAGCATATTTTATTATTATTTAATTGTATCATTTATAGGGTTTTATGGTTGGAAAATAGTTTGCAGAATTAACTGAATGCCCTTCTCACGTTAAAGAGTTGCAGAGAGAGAGAAGAGAGACTGACTGTTGGTGATGTTGAAGATGACGCTGCAGCACTGAGGCACAAACAGACGGAGCGACACAGCAGGATGGCACTGAGGACAACACAACAACACACACTTATGAGACGTATGCGGCAAACACAAACATGTATGTATGAAACAAACGCACAGCACACTCACAAACGCAAGAAACAAGCAAACACACACACACACAAACACATAAGAAGCAACACTGAAACACACGCACACAAACACACACACATGCGCACACACACAAACGCATAAGAAACAACACGAAAACACACGCACACATACGCACAAACACACAGGCAAACAAACACACACAAAACACACGAGAAACAAGCAAACACACGCACGTACAAACAGACACACACACACAAACACATGGAAAACAACAGGGAACCACAAACACACTCACACATACACACACACACACACACAGCAGATGAGCGATGGCTGCACTAATGGAGAACAATGAGACTGCTGCAGAGACGGTAGATTTAACAGAATGAGGCTCAGAAGCTGAATACACACTTTCAATTATGAATCTGGCAACGAACAATCGACCAATGAAAAGTGATTAGCTGAGAAGAAACACCCTTTTCTCTCCCAGACTAATTTATCTCAGGTTCTCAAGAATTATCTTTTTTTGTAACTGTCTCAAAGCAGGTACAGGTATAGTATGTAAAAGGTTAGCAACTTTCAATTTTACTGTGTCCAAAACGCTGCATAATAATTCAATTTCAATTCAAAGTTTTCGAATCACCAATAACAGATCAGAGAATCAGAAGAACAAAAATAACGTCTAGTTTCTTTAATATACAGTATAAAACATATCAATATTCATTAATTGTTTCATCAAAAGTAAATACAAATACAGACATAACGGACAAAAAAACTGAAATTAAAAAAAGAAAAAAAATATTTAATAAAGTAGATAATAAATTCTGGTATAAAACGACGCGATAAAAGAAATAAGACGCTATTTTTGTTCTTCTGAGCCAAAAGGACAGTCTTCCACCAAATTTAAAATCAGTTTTGAGATTCCAAATGCAATGATTTTACTGAATAATAATGATCCATGTTCTAGAATATACCAGAAAACTCAATTATCATGAAAAGCTCCACAGACCTTGGCCGCTGCTCTGCACATGTCGGCCACCATCCTCCCAGACACGCACGTCTCAAAGATGTTCGACGTGGCAAAATTATAAATCTTTTGCAGCGCCACCTAGAGGACAAGGACAGAAACAGTATGAACCAGGGAAAGAAATATGGTCATTAGCTGAAAAATCAATACACACAAATCCATTTGATCCGTTAATGAGGAAGCAGTTTTCTCTAAATCTCTAAATCTAAATCCACCAATAAATAATGGTTTTATTAAATATATATCAAAGCATCGTCTTTAAGTGTTTGAATATAGTTTGTAAGTGGTCTTTGTAATCTATCTATAAGATCAAGAGCGGAAAATTTGCTCTTTGCGTCTTACTGCAAATGGCAAATAAATGAATCTGAATCTGAATCTGAAAAATGGGTTTAACATTCTCTACAAATCTGGCTTTTGAAATATAAATTCTGAAAATATTTATATTGCAGTGTCATTGCAATGACACTACTACTAAAGGTAAAGGTAAAGGTAAAGGTGCACTTTATTAATCCCCGTAGGGCAATTCATCCTCTGCATTTGACCCATCTTGATGCCACTAAGGCTTATGTCAGGAGCAGTGGTCGCCGTAGTAACTTCGCCCGGGAACCCATCTCCAGATGTTGATGCTCGGCTTGGTCAGGACTACCGGAGCTGGAGGATTTAAACTATTGTGCATGGTTTTAGTGGTAGGGGAAACCGGAGTACCTGGAGGAAACCTATGCAAACACGGGGAGAACATGCAAACTCCACTCAGAAAGACCCTATTCCGACCGGGATGCGTGCTGCCCCCTACTACTCCTACTCCTACTCATACTCATACTCCTACTACTGCTACTGCTGCTGCTTCTTCTATTGCTACTGCTGCTACTACTACTAGTTTTGAGTGTATGATAACTAACTTGAATATTGCCACAATTTCTTTCCATTTCTGACCATTTTAACTTTAATATATTGGTTGTAGTTCACTTTAAAAGTTGAATCTTACAGAATCCTCTTTGACCACTAAAACCAAAAGTCAATGACAAACAACGATACTCTACTACTTCATACATTTGAATGATTCATTTCCTTCTGCTTCGTCCAATGATCATCTCCCTGAACTCAATGACATTATGCATTCACAGTACAGCATTAGTCCATGTTTGTATAATGAGGTATATTTATATTTTATGAGTGAGCTTGGGTCATAGCAGGACACAGTAAGTTCCCATGAGCCTCTGGGGCAGGTATTGCATGTGTACAGTGGAGGATAGTACTCTTGTTGCCAGGATTTACACATGTAAGAAGTGACTGTTTGTGATGCATAATTGAAGGGAGCCAGGAAGGAATCAAGCTGTCAAATAATAGTGTAGAAAAAAAAAACGGGAATTGTGTGTACGTCTGTGTGTGTGTGTGTGTGTGTGTGTGTGCACTTGTTTTCAACTCCTGGTGGGTTCCATAACCTGAGATTCCACTCACGTCATGGGGACTGGTTTTACGTGGTGGGGCCCGAACACCGGACCCCACTGGTCCAAGCTTAATAATCAATGGGTAATGCTTTTCTAACGGTCCTTATGCAGTCTCTGTAAAAATATGGAAAGGACCCCTGGAGGTTTACTTTCCTGAAAAAAGTGTGTTATGTGTCGGAACCCTGGTGGTGGGTTGCGGGATATCAAGGAGGGGCACACTGGGGCAATTTCAGTCCAGCAGGCTGGAGCCAATCATGGAGCAGCACAACAGAGGAAATCAGGTGTCAGGCTAGAAAAAGGTGCAAGTGTGTGGTTCATTAGGCTGCAAGAAATCATGGAGGAGCACACTGAAGCGCACGCTTACAAACCACTGGTAAGTGCTGACTACAAGTCATGACTTCAAATTGTTATATAGAATGATTACAAATTATTTGTTGTTTGTGCAGCTTAGTCAAGAGTCCCTAATTGATGAAGTCGACTCAGATTCTGACGATTTAACTGTCAAGAAGAAACCTGTAAAAAAGTATGGAAAAAGAAAAATCAAAAACACTTTTCTTCAAGACTCGGAAAGTGACGAACCAAAGGCAAATAAGATTGTTATCATGCAGCTGCAAAAGAAGAAAAATGGGGGGCGAGTATACAGCAAGAGACACTTCTGCCTCTACTGTTTAATGTCCTGCCACAAAATGTCCCGTCATTTGACTAGAAAACATGGAAATGAAAGTGACGTAGCCAGAGCATTGGCTCTACCTGTGAAATCTAAAGCACGTAAACTTCAGTTTGATTTGATCAGGAATAGTGGAAACCGTGAGCACAATTTTGAGGTTTTAAAGGCCGGCATTGGAACTTTAGTCCCAGCTAAACAGCCAAATTCCCCAGTTAAATCCAGTGAGTTTTTGCACTGTATAGACTGTGGGGCATTGCTTAAGCGAAAGTCGCTGTGGAGGCATGTGGCCAGGTGCCGGCTTTCACAGAAAGATGCCCAGGCTAAACCAGGTAGAAGTAGGGTCCAGTCCCTCTGCTCCCTAGCCCAGCCTGTACCGGAGGGCATCAGCAAAAAGCTGTGGTCTTTAATTTTGGCAATGCATCAGGATGAGGTCACGGGTGTTGTCAAAGCAGAAAAGGGGATTCTGAGACTCGGAGAGCACCTGTACTTAAAACACGGGCATGATAAGACTAAGCATGATTACATTAGGCAGAAAATGAGAGAAGTCGGTAGGTTAATTAACGAAGCAAAAACCGCAGGGAAACTGAAAACAATTAAGGATTTCTTTATTCCTTCCAACTTTAACCATGTGATTGATGCAGTCAGGTCTGTGGCTGGATATGATGAGGAAACAAATCAATACAAGACTCCATCCTTGGCCCTCAAACTCGGCCATAGCCTCAGAAAGCTAGCAGATATTCTTGAATGTGACTCAAAAATGGAGCATTGTGTTGATGAACTATTTATTAAAAACCTCCAACGAAGCCGGCTGCTTTTTGAGAAGAGGTGGGACGTCTGTGTTTCTTCTGCTGCCCTACAGACCCTCCGGCAAGCCAAGTGGAACACTCCGGACCTGCTCCCTCTGACTGAGGACGTTAGAGCCATGCATGCACATATTGAGGTATGTCGACCTGAATATGTGCAAACCCTAATAAGTGAGCCAACGTCTAAGCATTGGTCTAAACTGGCAGTTTTGACTCTTTGTGAGGTCATCATTTTCAATCGAAGAAGGGAAGGTGAGGTTTCAAAGATGCCACTGACAGCCTTTACCTTAAGAAGTAAGACTGGGATCCATTCTGACATTGCTCTGGGACTGTCCCAACTTGAGAAAAAGCTGTGTCAGCATTTTCAACGCATTGAAATTAAAGGGAAAAGAAGTCGGAAAGTGCCGGTTCTTTTGACTCCTGAAATGATTGCTTCGATGGAGGTGCTGGTGGAGAACAGAAGGGCCTGTTCCATCTCTGACCATAACCCATACTTCTTTTCCCGCCCGGGCGCAGACACCCACATCAGGGGATCAGACTCCCTACGCCAGGTAGCCAAAGAATGTGGTGCGGTGCATCCAGAGATGCTATCCTCAACCAAACTTAGAAAGCACATAGCTACTATGTCTACAGTTCTCAATATGAAAGAGAATGAGATGGACATACTTGCCAACTTCCTCGGCCATGACATTCGCATCCACAGGCAATATTACAGACTACCAGAGGGGACACTGGAGCTGGCCAAAATCAGCAAAGTGTTGATGGCCATGGAGCAGGGAAGAGTGACGGAATTCGAAGGAAAGAGCCTCGACCAGATACAAATTGAGCCTGAAGGTAATTCTTGATATTATTAAAATATGTATGATTTTTTTCCCCTAAAGGCCACTTGTATTTTTATTTTCTGTGCGACAGGGAGAGCAGTAGAGATCCTCTCACAAACGGACGGGCTAAAAGAAACTTCAAGCGGAGAACCTTCAACCATTCATCCAGATGCACCCCATGGTAGTGGCAGTGCCCCTTCTGGTAAGTGTACCAGGTGGGGGATTACAGCCAGGCTGCTTGGTCCTCACCCTGGGAGTGTATATTGCTAATATATTTTTATTTCTCTCCCTAGAACGTGTAAGAAAGCCATGGTCTGCATCTGAGGTGAAGGCTGTGGAGAAGACCATGACACCTTTCATACAGACTGGAAAGGTCCCTGGGAAGTCTCACTGCCTGGCCTGCATTAATGCCTCACCAGATGACCTTAGACATCGGACATGGAGTGGCATTAAATTCTATGTCAAAAATAGAATCACTGCAATTCGAAAACAAAATCTAAAATAAAATTCCTTTAAAATAGTTGTTTGGTTTCTATTGACTGTTTTGTATTACTTAAAGTCTTGGTAAAAAAAGATTATGTCTATGGGTCCCATTCTGAACGGCCCTGTCAAAGGGACCCACCAGGTAACAAAAACGTGTATGTGTGTGTGTGTGTGTGTGTGTGTGTGTGTGTGTGTGTGTATTATACAGTTTTATCACCTGACTAAAAACAAAACACAATAGGGTGAGATGAGGAATATAAAAATAAAACTATAAAACCAGTTTTGTTGACAATTAAAGCTCAGATACGTAACTTTTTTGGTTTCATTAAACAATACACATTGTTTGTTCCAGCCTTGTGAACAAATCAGACCTGTTTTTTAGACCCTCTTTTGCATACTGTGAATAATATTGTGCCAATATTCAACACTTTGGGCTGAAAGCTGATTGGCAGAGTGAGGACGGCCATCTTTTTTTTCACTTTTCAATCTGAAAAAGCTGATCTTAAGTTGTGAGACCAAAAACCTCTACATCAAAACCTGTGATAGAAGTAGAAATAGGAAGTAGTTTGACAAATTTCATTTCATATTTCTAGGTTTGGGGTTTGAAAGTCAGGGACCCCAGCTTTAATTTAAACAGTGTGAAATAATCAGAATCAGCTTTGACTGTTGCAGACATTAAGCTCTGTTCTGCTCATGGTTAATATATGTATTTAATTTAATGATTCGAGACAAGAAGGATTCACACACACAAAATATTATATCTATCCGACTATTTATAGCAAAAATGTGTTGTTTTCAAGTGAAAGCTGCTAAACACATTCCAGCCTCTCTCTGTGCCTATAGAGCGACAAGGACACGGATCCAATTAAACGACTTTTTTAAGCGATGCCACTAACGAAAGTGAGAATGTGTTGGGAAAGTTAGCCTCAGGAACAGAGAATTAATTAACTTAAAAGTGCTCTTGTTTTGAAGGAGGAGAGTCCCTTGATGTTAGCGGAGGAGTTACAGGCAATAAAGAGGAAAGAAAGTGAACAAATATGAATAGAAATAAGGAAGTATTTGTTGTTTTTGTATGTTTAAACGTCCAATTAGAGCCATCCACAATGATGGAGTATTTTTATGAATAAAGCATGACAATTAGGAGTTGGTAAATGTAGTATATTTGAATATTATTAGAGCCGAATGGTATAAGTTTAAGAATTTCAAAGAATAAATAGGTCAGTTAGTGATGTCAGCTTACCATTGTTTTTCTTGCCTACAAACCATGTATGAACTTTTGTGTGTATGGATTTTTATTTTTAGAAGCCTCAGTCCTCGTTCTACAACCTGAGTCCTGGATCTACAGCCTGTCTGTCCATGGATCCAACAGTTTTATGATCTGTTGTTGGTGAATTGACAACTTTGTTCAGTCTATACAAAAAATAAACTGAATTGAACGATGCGCAAAAGTCAAAATCAAGATTTGTTTTTCTCTAAATCCATTACAAAAATAGGCTAAACATTTGTTTCTAAATAGGTGATAATTCTCCATTCTTAATCAATTAGCCTTTGCATCCACTGTGCTGGGATTCTGGGTGAAATAATCTCACTTTATCATGCCCAGTTAACTTCCATGAATTTTGCTTCCTTTGAATATTCTTTGATTCCTTTGAATATTCTAATATATTTGTTTTACTTATCTGGACCTCCAAAGTCATTGGAATCCGTTCTGTTATAGGACTAGATGGAACAATCCCTTGATTGTGGACCGCCCCAACCCTCCCCACAATACCATGATTGTGGCCCTTATCTGCATCACAACTGACACAGAAAATGTCCAAACGTTTTACTTTGGGTCTGGTGTTTTTGATGCTTTAAGAGCAACTCTACGCTGCATCTAGTTACAGTATTACAGATTATTGTTGAACATAGCCTGGGTCTAGATCTTTCCGCTCAGACTTCTGCTTAGACAGGTTAGTTTTACCCCACTGTCAATCCTGATGCAACCCAAGAATGCTTTACTGTTTTGTAACTGCAGTGCAAATGAACTTGGCTTTCCCCTGCTTCTCCACATGCATCCTCAGCTCAAACAAACTACCACAACTGAAAGAATATGCACATAAATAAAACAAAATATAGGCTGTTGTTACCTTGTAAATCTCGATGGAGCACTGTGTGAGGATAGTGCTGACGGTGGAGGACAGGCCCAGCTCCACCAGGCTCTCCAGCTGGGTCTGGGTGTCCGTCTCCGTCTCGTCTCTCGTCTGTTCCAGAGTGGAGCTGTCGATTAACGCAAAGCACCTGCACAACAAACACACAACAACACACACAAAAGGTTTTTTATGTTGAGGCAAGATGTCAAACAGACAAACAGATGTCAATTAGCAGTGACGGATGCGAGAGATTCATGTTGTCAGCATTCCGAGCTTTAATAAACATTTCTATCGGACGAGAGCAGATGTGTTGGAAAAGCTTCTCGTCCACACAAACAATTATTATACGGCTCTTCGCAGTAGCAGAACTTTCCACTGATTTGACTGTAATTTCAAAACGTTCTACTGGTCATTATTCCTTGATAACGGACCTCTCAAACCAATAATAACCGCTGTCAATGGCAACGCAATTTGTGCTTGTAATTTACGCGTGTCAAATCACTCCGCAGCTAGTCCGGCCACTTCCTCAAAGAGCATAATTACACTAGCGTTATCTATTTCCAGAGGCGCCTGTCTCTACTTCTGCCTCTGCGAGAGAAGCTGGGGAAATGGCTCCTGCGGTTAAAGGGAGTCCTGCTTTCAACTCACCCAGAGATACACCACCTCCTCATCTCCAACTGCACCTTCAACGGGAACGTCCAGTTTAATATGAATGAGTAGCTAGCCTAGCAGTTACTCGCCTCGACACGCTAGTATGACCACACTGCCTAGCAACGGCAAAACCTTTGGGAACTATTTTATTTGCAGTCATTAAATAAACCTTTCGGCATTCATAAAAGTGGACTAAACTTTATTTTGTGTGTTCAGTTGGCAGATAGTCGTAAAATAACCGGCAGAATTATACCCGTCCGGATAAAAATGGTTCTGTTTAGCTGTGCAGACAACTGAAAGATTGTAAGTAAGTAAGTAATGTTTGTTTATATAGCTGGTGCGTCAGCCTCCAATCAACACCATCCATTCACTCTCTCATTTACATTCATACCTATTGTGCATGTTTTTAGTGGTAGGGGAAACTGGAGCACCCGGAGGAAACCTACGCAGACACGGGGAGAACATGCAAACTCCACTCAGAAAGGCCCTGTTCCGACCCGGGATTCGAACCCAGGACCTTCTTGCTGAGAAGCGAGAGTGCTATCCGCTCCGCCACCTTGCCGCCAGCAGTGTATCTTTACTCTTTTTAATGTACTGTGATCATTTATGATGTTAATGCCTTCTGTGATTGTTTTCTTCAGCACTTTGAGTTGCCTTGTGTATGAACTGTGTTATACAAATAAACTTGCCTCGCCTTACATACAGTAGAAGTAACAGAAGTGCGTGATCTCTTATGAATATCAAAGACTGCTTTTATATCTAATCTGCAACGGACAAGACAAATTGAACTGGACAGAATAAGCCAATTTATTACCAGAAAGCCCTGGATCCAAATCATATCCACTCTATACGTTAAGTCTATACGTTACTATATTTAAAATCAAACTCCGAATCATACGTCCTCGTCTGTGCTCGTAAATGTAAACAAGCCTCACGCAGCTGTCAGCGGGAAAATGTCAACGCTCTCCAATCTTCAATCATGAAACGGCAGCGGAGGCAGCGATGCAGACCAATACATCCAAACAGATACAGACAACATTCACATGAAGGATCCGACAAGAGATTTTTTATCTTTTTTTTTTTTTTTACTAAACGACAGCTCCACTTGTTTACCTGTCGAGAAACTGAAGAACGAAGTCTTCAAATTCAGCCGACGCGCAGCAGAGATCCTTCTCCATCTGAGGAAAGGGAGGGGACAAAAAGGGAATTTTAGATTGAATAGAGAATAGGTGGATTTTTCAATGTTACAAAAAATCTCATTATTTTCTATTATTTCAGCGAGACATGAAAAAATTACACCTATATCTACATAATTGGACGGGGTTGCGTAAGACATTGTTATTCAGATATGCTGAAATGTGTCATCAGCTGGTTCAGGATATGCTTTTGATAGGCAGGAAATAAGCACAATGTTTGACTAAAACTTGCTTTCGTTTAGGGAGATTTATGCAGAAATTGTAGTTTAGAAAGACATAAGGAATATTCAAGCAAAGATCAGTTACATCTGCTATTTCTCTGAAGGCCTCAAGTTCTCAAAGTTTTGCCCCAAACCCAATTATTTAACTAGTAGTCGGTACATAGTTTCTGTTGGCTAATTTGCTTCAATGCTAATACAGAAGTATGTAATGTTGAGTATGTTTGAAAAAGCACAGATATCCCACTATATATATGCAATTATTGTGATGTTGATAGTAGGGAATAGCTGAAAATATGTAAATTTGATTTGGAAGTTTGTCAAATTGAGTTACAGTATAACTGTCATTTATTTGATTTTCCACATAGTCCCTGGCTAAAGTTTTAAGCTATAAGTTAACAAGGATTACAAAAGGTATTAAAACATAATGAATGGCCATATCAAATCAGTGACATCTGCAAAAACAAAATATAGTGTCTAGATCAGACTGGGAGATTCTTAACCATGCATTTGTCTCCAGTATGTTAGACTAGTGTCACAGCCCGCTCTCCAAACAAGCTGCAGCTCAAGTCCTGACTAGAACCAGGAGGTATCATCACATTAGTCCAGTTCTCAGGTCTCTGCACTGGCTTCCTGTGGCTCAGCAGAATAAAAAATAAATAGACTTTTCTGCTCCTAGGCTTCACACCAAAGTCCATCTGTGAAATGTTAGTACCATATGAACCAATGTTGATTCTGAGGAGCACAGGGACTGGCCTCCTGCTGATCAGGACTAAACATGAGGAACCAGCACTTTACAGCTAACATTTGGAAAAGTCTTCCTGAAACGTGAAAAGGCTCTGAAAGATTTAATTAAGGTTTTTCGGCAGCCAACTCAAACACATTGCAATCAATAGTTTATGTGAACCGCATATTATTAAACATGTGAGTTTTTATCTGAAGCAATTTCTTTCACTTTGCAAATTGATCAAAAATGGCAAGCTTCTGTTAACATTACGATTATGTTTAACAAATATCTTAAAGCTGAAATATGTCTGTTGTGTGAAAGTGCATTGTTTTGAATGTAATGTGGCAATATGTGTCACTGTACGAAAGGCGGGGCATTTCCTGTCGCATAATAATGGCTTAATTTTACCCTGGGTTGTGAGTTGACCTCTGTGTGACTGGATTAAAGCCTGAGCTCGAGACGTGACACAGTCGTAATGCGGCACATGATCCACTGTCATGTTATTTACGTGTCTTTGGAAGCATCAAAAACCCTCATTAATAACAAACAACACATTTTAGTAATGTGTGAAAATACATGACAATCAGCTTTCAATATAAAAATTTTTTAGTTGAGTTTTTGCAGAATTTCAACTCAAGAAAGAGTCAAAAAGTGGAGGCCAAGCTACAGAAAAGCGGTACAAAAGTCTAGATCGACAAGAGGGTTAAATAAGGAGTTGTATTGACACACATGGGTGGTTGGTCAAAATTGTCCTTGTTAAGATTAAGATAAAGAAATCCTTCATTCATCCCACAGTGGGGAATTTTCAGGGTTGCATCACCAGTTACAGAACAGTAGGAAACAGGAGCACACAGCACAAGATCAATGAACAATGACTCTATAAAATAAAAAATCTCTAACTTTAGCATCATAAAGAAGTAAGTATAAAATCTATAACTAGAGGGTCTAAGGAGAGTGATGATTCGGGACATTTAACACTAGGACTCTCAGAATTCTGAAACTGCTAAAACTCCCAGAGCAGTCATTTCAACGGCTCCCATTCAAACTAATAGAATTTTGTTTTTTGTTATCATTAATACATGGAAAAACTTCTGAATATAACTGAACTACAACGCAATTAAATACTAACTGCTGCAACTAAGCTGTGTGCTATGGTCACTAGTACTTCCAGGGTGAGATAGCTTTGAACCAGTCCAGGAACAGTCCGGGACCAGTCCAGGACGAGCCCAGGACCAGTCTAGGATCGAGGTAATTTCATAAATATAATGACATACACAACATTGAGATAGAGGATAATTCTCAAAGTTATGAAGACCAAAAACGATAAGACCGATGGCTCCTATTTGTTTGTTATTACTGCATGTCCTGTGTTCGTACTGTCTGTTTCTCTGATCTGTGTCGGTGAATGACAACTTTGCACAGTCCTCCGAGACGACTGCTGTTGTGCATTTAGAGCTGTACAAAAAAAAAACTAATTTGAATTGAGTGTCTTTTAAGTGTGCGTCAGGAGCCAGCCGTAAAACGTGTGAATGCTTTTATCCATGCATTTAGTGTCCAGAGTCAGAACTAAACATGGGGAGGCTGCTTTTCAGATTCATGCTGCTAAAATCTGGAACAATCTTCCTGAAGATGTGAGACAGGCCTCCTCTCTGACAATGTTTAAAACCAGGTTAAAGACGGTTCTGTTTAGCTGTGCATACAACTGAGGGATTTTATATTTTTATCTTTTTTTTTTATTTTGTTTTAATGTACTGTGATTATTTATGATTTTAATGCTTTCTTGTTTTGTTCAGCACTTTGAGTTGCCTTGTGTATGAATTGTGCTATACAAATAAACTTGCCTTGCCTTGCCTATCCATTTCTGTTTTGCCTAAGCGTGACACAGACACACGGGCTGCAGCTGGAGGCAGATGGACTTACCTCAGTGAGTCCTGGGTGTTCGGAGGCGGCTGAGGAGCAGTCCACTAAAGGCACCAGCGCCGTGAAGGTGGCAATGAACTGAAACGTTATCTGAAACCGACAAACACACGCATTTGTAACGTTAAATCCACTCCATAAGTCTTGGCTAAACCGTGTTGCTCTAAAGGCACTTGTCCTCCGCGTGAATGCATCTAAATGTACGGCATTCAGATGTGATGGGAATACTTAGGGCTAGACCAGGCATCTCAAAATCAGAAATCAGGTCCAGACCTTTTTGAGTGATCCCTGAAAGGATTTTAACTTGTCATTGTTCCAGTGGGGCTTTGAGCTTTGGGTGGCAGCTCTGATCGCATTGATGGTAATGGGATACTATGGCAGGTTATAGTTGCAACGATCCCGTCTCTGGTTGATTTTCCACACTTGGCCCCATGACCAAAATGAGTTTCACACCCCTGCGCGAGACAATCTAGACAGAAAAATAATTCTTCTTATTGATTTTAGATTGATTTTCAGTGTATTAAAATTGTATACACAGGTTAAACTCTAAATTATATAAAATACTCTAATTTGCAGTGTTTTCTGTATACTTGTGCAGAGATAGGAAGAGAACAGTTAGCATTAAACCAGGCATGTCCAAACTAAGGCCCACGAGCCAAGTCCTGCCCCTGTGTCATTCACAGTGTCATCCAGCCAACTTCAGCTCAGCCAATATAGACACGAACCTCTGCTTCAGCTCAGGACTCACCATGCACTTGCTGAAGTCGTTGGGGTCCACTCCAGGCAGGGCGCCCATGAGCAGAGGGACCACGTGCGCTCGGCCTTCTGGGTAAGTGTTGTTGGCCGACACCAGGCTGCGGGCCATGCCGATCATGCAGCTCAGAGTGGCTGTGAGAGTGTGTGGCTCTGTCAGAGTCTCCATTGCGGCATACGTCCTGGAAGAAGAGCATTTACAATGTATTTATGTATTTTATTAAATCTGAGAATTCAAAGGAAACCGGAGCGGACATGGGGAGAACATGCAAATTCATCGATGTACCACTATGACATCACGCTCAGATTAGTTTTAATTAAAATGAGAGTTCTTTACAATCGCATGACTGTTTTTGCAACTAATTTTGGGGAGGAAAAAAATGTATCTCCTCCCTCTGGTGGCAACATCGGGAGTTACAGGTGGAAATTGTGTTTTATACTTGACATTTGTTTTGCTATATATTTTCTACTGAAGAATTATGAAAACATGAAATGACAAAGTAAAAGGCCTCGTTATATATTTCAATGGCCAAAAAGAATGCGTAATAGTTCTTCTTTAATCAGATATTCAATATGCCGAAACTGGATGATCTGGAGGAGCAGTGTCTTTAATCTGAGCTCCTCTCTCCTCATTACCAAAAGAACGTGACCATAGGTGCGGGTGGGAACGTAGATTTCACACAAAATACTTGAAGAATTGTGTTTGTAAATGCAAAACAGTGATAATTCAGTTCGAATGTGTAGTTTTTTATTATTATAAAGTGTTATAATCGTTGTGACTACAGCAGCACATACAGTTTCCACTCTCCAAAATGAGCCGTGTAACTTACTTCTCTAGCACGGGTGGAATGATGAGCTCTGGAGTGAGGAGTGCCAAGTTCTGCAGAGCGTACGCCGCGTCAGTGCTGCCTGTTTTACTGCAAGTCACCAACAGGGGGCAGACACACAGACAAAATAAAGAGATTAGCACCAGCGTCCTCTGTCAGATGGGATTTAGAGATAAAGTGGTTTTGTCAACAGTCTGATACATGGATCGTTATTGCCTGACGCATTGGCAGGGCTCTTAAATGAGATTCCAGGTCACACAGGAACAAGAGGAGAGACCGGCAAACACTACATCCAACAGACGGTCTCAAGATCAAGCCCAAGATTTGTCCATTTAAAATCACAACATATATTAGCTCATTAAAGCTTTAAACCATAAAATTAAATGTATTAAATTGAATCTAACGCATACTTTTCTGTCTGAAACAAAGCTCGGAACTAAGCCATGAAAGCAAGGAAATTCATCAAACTACTTTCTAGGTTTGGTCATCTGTCACACCCTCCTTAATAATCAAATGGACTATTCCTCTGACATCACCTGTGTCGACCAGGAAGTGCGGCTGTGGGGTCTGAGACAAAATATCGACAAACAATGAAGCGTTCTTATTTGACTGGAGCTGAAAAATACAGAAACCAGAAACTAAGTTGGATATATGCACTACGCAATATGTGTGAAGTGTCTTTCCTAAGGTCAATGCAGCTGCCCCACTGTGGCACCTGGAGGTCTCCCATCACAGTACCAACCAGGCCCTGCCCTGCTTAGCTTCAGAGGTCAGACAAAATCTGGCTTTCACACGCAGGAGGTGCCCACACCAGGGCGGCACGGTGGCTGAGTGGATAGCACTCTCGCCTCTCAGCAAGAAGGTCCTGGGTTCAAATCCCGGTTGGACCAGGGCCTTTCTGAGTGGAGTTTGCATGTTCTCCCCGTGTCTGCGTAGGTTTCCTCCGGGTGCTCCGGTTTCCCCTACCACTAAAAATATGTACAATAGGTATGGCATGTGCCTCCTGTTCTGGCACCCCCACTCCCAAAAATAACAATTGTAAACCGCTTTGAGACTCCGATGTGCAGTGAAAAGGCGGTATATAAATAAAGATTACTTACTTACTTACTTACCAACAACTTTTCATTTTTTTTTTTTTTAAGTTAAGTATACTCCAATCGAAGTAACTGCAGACTACACCATTTGGCAAGATAAGAAAAAAATAGGTTTGAAAGCATATTTTTTCATAGCTGAGCAACATGAAAATGAGATGAGATATTATTCCAAACAAAAACACATATCAAACAATTTAAAAATACCCTAATTTTCTCTCCAAGGCATCATTCGTGTCTGCAGTAATGAATGCTCTTGTTAGCAGCTAAATGAACGGTTGTGTCTTGCGTGGATGAGAGAGAGGCTAAATCACATCCCATTGTTTAAACAAGAAAAAAAGAAAAAAGGTTAAGAAAAATATATGTTAAAAAAGAGGTGTCAAATACGGCATCAGGACAGTGTTGAAACCTGTCCCTGAGGCTGAAGCAGAATAAATAAATAAATGTTTGGCATAACTGAACAATGAAAATCTCACAACTTTTTTTTATACCTTATTGTGTCTCAATGTCGGTATATCTCGACATGATCAAAGCACATTTCAATTACCATATTAGACAGACTTTTTTTTTTCCGTCTTCTCACCCATTGTGCCAAACAAGAAAAGTAAATAGAACTTAAATAAATAAATAAATAAACAAATAATACTAATAATAAATACAAAAATAAATAAATAAAAATAAAACATAAATAATAATAATAATAATGAAAATATTAAATACAAAAATAAAAAATACATGAATAAATAATAATAAAATAAATAGGGCCTGGGTTAGCCTTAATTCACAGATTCAAACAAATACAGCCATTGCCTAAAAACAGATTAATTTAAACAAAAAAACTAAAACTTCCCTCTGATATCTTCCCCACAACAGCCTACGTTATTATCTGGGTAAAGGCTGACCACCTAGAGTTAAAAATGTCACTTTTACCTTTAATTTCCTATAACCTTTCTCAGCTGTGTCACAATCTCACAGCTAAGTCTCACTGTGAAACAACAAAAAACCACCGTCCTCCCACAGCGGCACCTGTACGCTTTACGAGCCAAAACAAGAGCATTTTTGTGGCCATACTTTTCCATGAGATCAGCTCGGGGACGGTTTTAAAATTCTGCCGACTCCTTCATCTGCTAATGGTCCCTCTCTCTCATAATATAGTGTTTTTGTGTTTGTGACAATGGCCTTTTGATAGTGGCCCTGATGCTAGGCCCAGATGTTATTTTTTGTATCGTGCAAAAGCAACTAAAGTACAGTGTGATTTTATATCTTTCCTACAAATGGTTGAAAACAGGTTTGGTGGACGAATTATAACAAAAGCAACTGGGATCAAAGGTGTCCAAATGGCTCTTTTGTGCTGAATTTCCCCGTAATGATCATAGGCAGTTATTTTTTTACTATACGCCAGGGCACTTCTATCACTTTAACAACAATAACCTCACTTTGCACTCTCTACAAGCAAAACAATATGTTGCAAATCAAAACTACAAAAGCTCAGTTTGTGGCACTCAGCTTTGAATATGTTTTAATTATACAGACATTGGTGGATGTGTGTCGTTTATAATGTAACAGTAGTGGATCTTTAATTTGTGTTGACAATACTTCCTTTTTGCAAGTTCTTAAAATGCAGCTACTGCTAAAGACTGATCTAGTAATGTCATAAGTAAATGACATGTTAAGGGGATGTATATACTGGTGAATAAAAGTGTAGTTAATCAAAAAATTGGCAATTCGTAAAATTAAAACGTTTTTATAAAAAAAGTCAAAATGGCTTATGCTAGGAGAAGTTGCATTTATAATATGCTTTGTCATAATTTTTGTTGTACTAAATATTATTTGTTTTCTATATTTCCCCTGCAGTTTTCACTCCATGTGAAAGAATCATTTCAGAAAAGAAAGTGAATACTATAGATTCGCCTCTTCCTTATGAAAGGAGTCTATTAGCTTGGTGATTTGTCCATGGAACTTGCACTGTGACGAGAACGATACAGAAAGTCCTTTAAATTTTACACACTCAGGAAGAAATTTGGCAAACAAAAAATTGGGCAATTTTTCATAGGTTATGAATTATCACACAAATGTTTCTTCACTCATAGAACATACAGTATGAGTTGACTGCTGTAGGTAAAGAGCAGTACCTGAACATGGCCAGCAGGGCCGCGCCTAACAGGCTGTGAGAGAACGCCCTCAGGTCTTCGTCGGTGAGTCTCTTTGACGCAGGGACCAGCGTGATCCAGCCGGGGGCAGCGTGGCGCTCACGGTGCACTCGCCTCACCACGCTTGCCGGCAAACGCTGAAGAAGTCGCATCAGCCGAGCCTACAAGAACAAGGCGTTAGAGAGAGAAAAGGTGAAATATCTTAACCTGGAAAGTGAGCCTAAGAATGGGAGATTACGGTTTAAAATGAAAAGCTGACCTCATCCATAGCTAACTCAAACAGGCTCCAAAGGTGGAAACCTGGAGCCAATTTCTCAGATGGCAACTCCCCAGCAACCAAAGAGCCAATCAGGACGGGTACATTATTATATATTATTGACCTTTGTCTAACTTTTGTTTAACCAATCCCACTCAGTTTTCTGAATCTCCCTGGCCCCAGACAGTGGAGAGAAGGGTCCAGAAGGAATTTTATTATTATTATCAATACTATTACAGCACTTGAAAATCTACTGTCTAATGTTGATCCTTCCATTTCAACTGTAAAACCCACTCAATGTTTACCTACATGCTGTATCCACATTCAGATCATCGCGTCATGTCTATGTTACAAACGGCTCCAGCAGCGTCCACCTGAACTAAACCATAAAATCATTGGTTTCTCCTGAAGTTGCATTTCATTATGGAGCTGCTGGAGCGCAGACGGGCGACCGAGGCCTGAATGACAGCTTCATAAATCAAAGCAATGGGACAACAGGCAGCTGCAAACACACTCCACTTAAAGGCTTTATGAATGTGCAGGATATCAGGTGTGTGTGTGTGTGTGAGTGTGTGGGTGGTAATAGAGGAAAGAGACGAGCCATATTTGTATTGGATTTGTTTCACCCAGGGAGTAGGAACCAGAGGTAATTTTCAATAACTATGAACGTCCTTTGTGATTTTTTTTGGTCTTGTGTGAAGCTTCCAGGTCTTTAAGGTTTTCTCCAAATATTACCTTCTGGAATTCTGCAAGCTCAGACTTCCCGGGGTAAATCTCGTCAGTATGTATGAGCTGTGGCCTGTGTGGTGCAGGCAATTAAGTCCTCGTTCTACAGCCTGGGAGGAGTCCTGGGTCTATAGCTGCGCCTCCCCAAGATACCTCACTTCTTCCAAACTTACTTTTAGAATCCAGATTATTCACAAATTATTCTGATTTTGTAGGGTCTAAAGACAGTGATGATCTGAGACATTTATTATTAGACATGTGTTACCATTTTTATAGACAGTGGTCATCCCGGTGCCATGTGTTTGTTATTGTTAAATTTTTTTGTTCTTACTATTTGATTCTTTAATCGGGTATTGGTGAGTCGACAACATAGTAAAGTCCTCCGAGATGATTGCTGTGGTGATTTAGGGCTTTATGAATTTAAATTGTATCAAATTGGATTGAAATAAGAAAATATCCGTCAAACAAAAGCCTCATTCCCACTGCGCAAAAACACAGGAATTTGTATGAACTTGTCTAAAACATTCCCAGAGAAAGCTAATCCTGTACTCTTACCTGCCAGCGCCCGTGGTTGGACGGATGGTAGAAGGACGCGATGCTGTTGAAGAGGCAGGTCAGCTCTTTCTGGGCTGGGTTTCCTGGACCACCCTGAAATCATTCATTAAGATGTATTATTTAATTCATATGTATGCTATGTATGTAATTTGCAGCAGAGAAAATGGACCGCCTTAAAAAAGTAATAAAAGTAGCTATCATGCAAATAACCACCCCAAATTTTGACATTTCGGAACCTCGTCACTATTGTCAAGTAAGTCGTCTTCATTCATACAGCACATTTTACAGACCAAGGTCACCTAAATTTCTTTCTTTATGGATTAGGAGGATTAGAATTGTTACAAAAGTTAATGGACGCACCAGTAAAGCTGTGATCCACAACACCAGGTGACCGGGATCGTACGTGTTGGTGAGATATCGAGGAGCCACCATCCGACTGACGCCGACGGGGAGATTCAGGCTGCGCAGGATTCTAGTGAAGATCTAAATATAACAAAACGTGTTAACAATATCCAATCCAATCCACTTTAGTGATACAGACGATAGAGGAAGTGTGTGTGGATAGGGAGGTATGCTGCCCCCGCGACCCAGCAAAGAATGAAGCCCAAGAAAATGGATGGATATTTATTAAAGTTTCCAAAGTGCTGCACAATAAAAAAAAAACTTAACTAAAACAAATTTTGTGTATATGTAATACTGTGCAATATTGTTTTATTGAGTCATTGTTTGTACTGTTGTGCCTAACTGTGTGTTTGTATCAGGACAGCGGATGCAATTTAGCTTTTGTGCTAATTCCAGCATATTTTTGTTGACGCTTTTTGCAGACACATGGATAAATAAATAAATAAATATAAAATAATGTTAGAATATGCAATATGGGACCACATGTGTCCACTGTCACTTAGTCATTTAACTTCACATTTACTGTACATTGCTATGGATCTGTAACTTGTGATGCAACACTGAAATTTGTGGGACGAATAAAGCATCTCTTCATCTTAAGAGTAAGACAGTAAAATTGTTCACATCAAATACATACGATGACAAAAACTATAATTGTGACTGACCGTGGGGATGTAGGGCGTCCAGTCCACGTAGCCGATGTTGTCGTTGGCCAACCGGGCAAACAGATTGACCAGATGCTGCAAGAAAAAACTATTATTGGCAACAAATAGGCAAGGAAAGGTTATTTGTATAGCACAGTTCATACACAAGGCAACTCAAAGTGCGAAACAAAACAAGACAAAAATGTTCTGTGTGTTTGATCCATTAGTGTGGGACCGCAGCCTGCCTGTAAATAGATGGGTAATGCTAACCCGCTAGCTAACACTCTCCTATTGATTAACATGTAAAAGTAAACTCCTCTTGCTCAGTAACTGTTTCTGTCACAGTCACCATTTTGGGCTTAATAATCTGTGTTTTAGCGCTCTCTGTGATCCTGGTGTTTATATTGTGTCATTCTCTTTTTGTAAATCCAAACTGAGTAGAAGCCTGTCTCACATTTTCAGGAAGACTGTTCTAGATTCTAGCTGCATGACTGGATGAATGATAAATACATCCAACTGCCCACTGCACAACAAGAGCACTTCAAACTAAACTGGGAGCAATTTCTCACTTCTTCTTCCAATCCCAGAGAGCACACACACAAATGAAATCATATTTGGACCCAATTATGTTATTTGGACACTGGCAATAACAGCGGCCACTTCAACACGTCGCTCTCAGCCACAAAGACATTATCGAAAATGATGAAAAACGGCTCTAAACAAACTGGAGAACCACACGGAGCGTTGTTTCAGTGGCAAAAAATATGTGATACTTGTCCGATGTTGCAGTTGTGGAATCCCATGGCTCACACCTGCGCTTGTGTTGAAAGATTGTCTGATAGGTGTGTATTATTAATGTTTCAAAATGTTTGTGAAAGATGTTATTGGTGCATTATGGTAACAAACTTACAAATCACTGAAAATAATATAATAAGAATAGAAGAAGGAAGAAGAAGAAGGATGAAAGAAGAAGAAAAAGAAGGATGGATGGAAGGATGGATGGAGGGATGGATGGATGAAAAGAAGGATGGAGAAGGAGGTTCCCAGTTGAAATTTTGACTTAATACCCCTAGGGTATAGGCAGGTGTGTCAAAGTAAGCAGTACTGCAGGGCTGCTCTGTGCACCTTTTTAGTAAACTTTTAACAACTTTTTAGCGCGTTTTTATTGTTCAGTTTTTTAATATATCTGAGTGTTTTATCTTTTTAATTCAGTGGTTTCAGCAAATAGCACTTAGTCCCGACTGAAACCCACTAGTAGCACAGAGGCTAACACAAGCTAACGAGGACATGGAAAGTGACAATGAAATTGGCTCAAACATGCACAATATTAGTCGCCTCACCTTGGAGCTCCGTGAGAGCGACCGTGCCACCATTGCAGATCTACGAAAAGAAGTCCTTCGTCTCACCGCAGAGTTGAATGAGAAACAATCTCTAGTATCCAAACTTTTTGAAGTCGCTGGTGGGCAGCACTCACGGCTGATGTCACTGAGCGCTGCATATTGTGACACTGTCGTGTGGGAGAGATCCGTCAGCTCCGGACCCTCCTGTTCTACACCTAAGCGCCCGGTTCCGAATAACGAGCCCGCGGATTCCGAGGAGACATCCTGCGCCGTGGCCCATGTCCTGAGTCTGGCAAACCGCTATGCAGCCCTCTCCACCGACATCCCGGCCTCAGCAGAATCCCTGGACACTGCAGCGTACTCTACTGCTCGAGGATCCAAGTCCACTGCGAGGAAAACGCTCCTAAAGGAAGCAGTCCTCAGGCGAAAGAGCGGTCCACCAGCCATGTTGGCCTGTTCCCCTTCTTTGACCCCAGTGCAGCAGCCTCAGACTGGGGTAGCGAGCCATCATTACCATCGCTCACCTCCACCGGGTCAGCAGCAGCGCCCAGAGCCAGCCCCTCTCACCGCTCCAGCGTCCCCGAGCACACAGCGTGGGTTGCCTGTAGCTGAGAGTCAGCACCCCCGCTCCTCCTCTCCATGTGTTCAGCGGCGCTCAGGCTCGGGTCCTGCTTCGGGTGAACCCGCTGGTTCCGTCCACCGAGCTCCTTCTCCGAGGCCACTCTTCGCCCCGATCACTCTGATTATTGGAGATTCCATCGTGAGACACGTCCGCTTCTTCAACGCGGTCACTCGCTGTTTTCCCGGAGCTACTGTACCAGACCTGCTCATACGTCTCCCTCCTCTGCTTCAGTCCCTGCCTGATACCGTTTCCAAGGTAGTCGTGCATGTGGGAATTAACGACATGAAACTTCAGCAGTCAGAAGTCACGAAGAAACATTTTATGGATCTGTTCCACCTCCTTCAATCCTCCGGACTATCTGTTTTTATCTCTGGTCCAATCCAGACTGTAAACAGAGGTGACTGCCTCTACAGTCGTGTTGTGGCGCTGCATGTGTGGCTTCAGGCTACATGCAGCTCTTTTAACTTTGTCTTTGTGAATAACTTTGCCCTTTTCTGGAAACGTTACGAAGCCTATCGTCCAGACGGATTACACCCAAACAGATACGGTAGCAGCCTGTTGATGGGCTACATGCGTTATGTTGTTCAGTGCTCCCCGAGGGGGGCGTGACTGTTTACATCTGAGCCCCCTCGGACCCCACCGCACTCCCCCGCCTCCTGCTCACCAGCACCGGGTGAGTACAACGGTGCAAACACTGCTCCCTGTCCGTCTGGCAGTGCATTACCAGTCCAAACACTGAACTGTGCTGACTCCCTTCTGACTCTGGGAGCTAAAGAACAACAAGGGTTTTCACATTTTAGGCCAATTGAGACTGTGTGTGTTCCTCGCACCAGCTCAAAAATGTTTTTAAATTCTAAAAAACGAAATCAAAACAGGACAGCAGTTAGACGGTCCAACTCTGCAAATCTAATTTCTGTTCCCTGTAGAAATCAATCAACCACATTAATCGACTCTGACGTTATTTTTAAACTTGCTATGCTTAATGTCAGATCTCTATGTAACAAATCATTTTTAATTAATAATTTTATCACTTCTTATGATCTTGATTTTATGCTTATGGCTGAAACATGGCTGGACCAAAATACAGGAAATGCAGTTCTAATAGAAGCAACACCACCCAATTTTAAATTCGAATCCGAAATACGAGAAAACAAAAGGGGGGGAGGCATAGCTGCAGTTTTTAGAGAGCACTTTGTCTCCCATAGAATGCCCCTTGGAAATTTTTCATCGTTTGAGTATATTTCTTTTAAAATGGAACAAAAGCAATCTTCTGCTCTTTTCATTGTCCTGTACAGGCCACCACAGTCATGTTGCGATTTTATTGACCATTTTACTGAACTACTTTCATTCGTGTGCACAGATTTTGATAGTTTAGTTATTACAGGTGATTTTAATGTACATGTTGATAATGTTGATGACAGAAATGCAAAGGAGCTGGCTTCTGTATTTGAGACCTTTGGTTTCATTCAGCACGTGAGTGGCCCCACCCACAGCAGGGGGCACACTCTTGACCTGCTAATTACAAAGGGGGTTAATGTATCAAATGTTAATGTAGTTGATGTTGCTTTGTCAGATCATTTCTGTGTATTTTTTGACATGTGTTTTGCTAGCAAACCACCAGCTGAATTTACAACTGTTAGAAGAAGACACATACATGAAAACACAAGTGAACTGTTCATGGGAATGCTAAATTTTGAGAAAACTCCATGCTCTACTGTTGATGAATTGTATAACTCTGTCACCACCAGTGTTCTGACTGTTCTGGACGCCATTGCTCCTGTGACGGTTAAAATAGTTACCAGTAAGAAAAAGGCCCCATGGACTAAGGCAGACTCGGTTAGGGCACAGAAGCAAGAGTGCCGGAGGGCCGAACGGAAGTGGCGAAAGTCCAATTTCCAGGGCGATTATGAAATCTTTAAAGATGAGTTGGGTGAATTTAACCGGGTTCTACGTAGAACAAGAGAAATGTATTTTTCTGACATTATTGGAGGTTGCAGTAACAATTTTCGTGTTATGTTTTCAACAGTTGGTAGATTAACGAACCCCCCTGTAAAGTTGCCCCTAGAATTTTCCTCTAAATCTAGGTGTAATGAGTTCGCACAGTTTTTCGATGACAAAGTACAAGGAATCAAAAACACTATCACCTCCACAGCACGTATAACAATGCAACAGCCAGAGAAGCTTTCTGAGCTAACTCACTTTGCACCTGTGGATACTGAAACTGTCAAAAAGATAATCATGAGTCTGAGCTCCTCCACATGTAGCCTGGATATATTGCCCTCTAAATTTCTGAAGTCCGTCCTGAGCAGTTTGTTACCTTCACTGACACAAATAGTAAACATGTCTCTGTCGTCAGGAACATTTCCTATGGCCCTAAAAACAGCAGTCATAAGACCTCTCCTAAAAAAGAGCAGTCTGGATCCTGCGGGACTTCAAAATTATCGCCCCATATCGAATCTGCCATTTATTGGAAAAATTCTTGAAAAAGTGGCCTCCCAACAACTTACTGAATTTTTAACAATGAATAATTCTTTTGATATGTTCCAGTCTGGGTTTAGACCCCACCACAGCACTGAGACCGCTCTAGTGAAGGTAACAAACGACATTCGACTTCACACTGATGCAGGTAAAGTCACAGTTTTGGTCATGTTAGATCTTAGTGCCGCGTTCGACACTGTCGACCATGAGATCCTCATGCAGAGACTGGAGGACTGGGCTGGTGTCACTGGCACAGCCCTAGACTGGTTTAGGTCTTACCTGGAGGATAGGAAGTACTCTGTGGGAGATTGGAGACTGCGTCTCAGATGATGTGGCCCTGACCTGTGGTGTACCACAGGGGTCGATCCTGGGACCTCTCCTATTTAATCTCTACATGCTGCCGTTAGGTCAGTTAATACAAAGAAACAAAGTGTCCTACCACAATTACGCTGACGACACTCAGATCTATGTCTCACTGACTGCAGGAGAACATGGACCACTGGATTTGCTCCTTCACTGTATCCAACAGATCAGTGACTGGATGCAAAATAATTTCCTCCAGCTAAATACAGACAAAACCGAAATCATTGTCTTTGGTCCCCAGAAACAAAGAGAGGGCGTCATTTGTCAACTTCAGTCTCTCTCCCTACTTCCTTCAGACAAGGTCAGAAATTTGGGGGTAATACTGGACTCAGACCTAAATTTCAATAGCCACATAAAATCAATAACATCAACAGCTTTTTACCATCTGAAGAACATTGCCAAAGTTAGAAATATAGTGTCCAGGGCAGACTTGGAGATTCTTGTCCATGCATTTGTCTCCAGCAGGCTAGACTACTGCAATGGCCTGCTTACAGGTCTGTCCAAACAGACCTGTAAGCAGCTGCAGTACATCCAAAATGCAGCAGCTAGAGTCCTGACAGGAACCAGGAAGTATGACCATATTAGTCCGGTCCTCAGGTCTTTGCACTGGCTTCCTGTGGCTCAAAGAATAGATTTTAAAACGGCTCTGCTTGTGTACAAGTCTCTCCATGGCCTTGCACCAGAATACATTAGTGACATGTTGGTGTCATATGAACCAGCCCGGACTCTGAGGAGCACAGGGACTGGCCTCCTGCTGGTGCCCAGAGTGAGAACCAAACATGGGGAGGCTGCGTTTCAGATCCATGCAGCTAAGATCTGGAACAATCTCCCTGAAAATGTGAGGGAGGCGTCTACTCTGTCAATGTTCAAATCCAGGTTAAAGACTGTTCTGTTTGCCTGTGCATACAACTGAAGGATTTTATCTCCATTTTTAATGCACTGCTGTCATTTATTTATTTTTTTAAATTTCTTGTGTAATTTTGAAAGTTTTAATGGTTTTATTCTTTTGTGTGATTTTAATGTTTTAATTGTGTTTTAATCTTTTGTGTGATTTTAATGTTTTAATTGTGATTCTGGTGTTTGTTTTATGTGATGATTTGTGATGTGGACTGTGAAGCGCTTTGTGTTGCCATGTGTATGAAAGGCGCTCTACAAATAAACTTTGATTGATTGAAGGAGGTGAAGAAGGTGAAGAAGAAGAAGAAGAAGAAGAAGGAGAAGGAGGAGAAGGAGAAGAAGAAGAAAAAGAAGGATGAAAGAAGAAGAAAAAGAAGGATGGATGGATGGAAAGAAGGATGGAGAAGGAGAAGGAGGTGAAGAAGGTGAATAAGAAGTAGAAGAAGAAGAAGGAGGAGGAGGAGAAGGAGGAGAAGAAGAAGAAGAAGGAGAAGAAGGAGAAGGGGGTGAAGAAGAAGAAGGAGAAGGAGAAGAAGAAGGAGGAGGTGAAGAAGGTGAAGAAGAAGAAGAAGAAAAAGAAGGAGAAGAAGAAGAAGAAGAAAAAGAAGGAGAAGAAGAAGAAGAAGAAAAAGAAGGAGAAGAAGGAGAAGAAGAAAAAGAAGGAGAAGGAGAAGAAGGAGAAGAAGAAGAAGGTGAAGAAGAAGGAGAAGGAAAAGAAGAAGGTTGAAGAAGAAGAAGAAGAAGCCGACACTCAAGGTCGCCTTAAATACAAGTAAAAAGTACATTTAAAAACAGTTAAAATACAAATAATACATATATAAAACTCCACTTACTCCTTCCCAACTCGGCTGGTTTTGCACTGACATCCACAGAGTGATTAATTCGTCAAACCACAATCTGAAAAAGAAAAATAGTATGAAAATATATAATTCAGGCAAAACATATCTGGAACACTTTATGGACATTGGACATCCCTAGTTGTCATTTAGGATGAATCATTATGTGTTTGTTATTACTGCATTTCCTAAAGTCTAAAGTCCAACAGAGACGACTGCTGTTGTGATTTGGGGCTACACAAAAATACATTGAATTGAAAACATATAAGCGGTAAGTACGGTTAAATACGGTTATTGATTTTTGCTAATTTTTGAAGGCCTTAAAACACAATCAAGAAGAGAAAGACCCTTCATAAAAGACAATAAAGTCGATTTTGCGTGTTGTGTGAGCTTTCAGAGCGTATCAATGACAGCTGGAGCAGGTTTGAACTATATGATTAATCAATATATTTTGTAGTTTGCAGATAAATTAAAATTACTAATTCAAAATGCGCAAAATTGACGGTGACAAGCAAGGTCAGTTTCTTCGTCAGAAATCTCCAATTCCGACAACGTAGCCTTCCCCTGGGTCTCGTCTCTCAAGGATCTCAAAAAAAATGTGAAATGGAAAAATGCAGTATAAAGATGATGCATTGTGGAAACTTCAGAGAAATTGCTGATGAGTCCCACAGCGGACCCAGACAAATGGGTTTTTGAAAGAGCAAATATAGTGAAGAATGCACTCAGAGTCTGGAAGACACCCGCACAAAAACCACAAAGGGAAGAGAAGCGTCCAAGAAAGAGAAAAACTATTACAATCTACGGCCCCCGCAGAGATAACGTTTTATTCTCTGTCATCTCTGTGGACACGTCTGCTCAGAGTCTGTTAGAGGCTTTCACCGCCAACGGAACGGAATCATTGATGCTAAGAGTCCAACCAACGATGACAAAACAAACCTTAAAATCAACAACAGTAAATGACAGAATTATCCATAACACCATGAATCTATTCTCTTTCTTTTCAACTTGTTTTTCTGTGTATCTGTTGCTTTCTCTTTGTGTGTGTGTGTATGTATGTATATGTATATGTATGTGTATGTGTATGTGTATGTATGTGTGCACTGTATGTATGTATGTATGTGTGTATATATGTGTGTGTGTGTGTATGTATTTATGTGTGTATGTGTGTATGTACTGTATGTATGTATTTGTGTATGTGTGTATGTATGTATGTATGTATGTGTGTATGTGTGTATGTCTGTGAGTGTCAGAACCATGCGTGGGTCTATGTCTCCTCGTCAGTGTGTGTTTTTGTATCTTTGTGTGTCTCTGTGTATATGAATCTGTGTGTATGTATGTATGCATATCTACTGTATATGTGTATTTATGACGTAACCCTTTAAGGTTCATTAAAATTGCTCACATGTTTCTGCTACTTATTTATTTTTGTAATAGTCTGTATTTACTGTATGCATGAGTCGAGGCCACTCTTTCAGCACAGAAGCTTACAGCACTTTGACTCATTGGTTAATTCTGCATTATATAACCATGTCCTGAGGCAAGACACCTACATTTCCTCATAGTGTGTGGGGAGTGAATGAATAATGCAGCTAAACGGTGCCCAGGAGCTATAGAAAACCAATGGATTATTTTTTAGTATTATAGGCCACTTCACTTTTTCTTTTTGTATGGACGGGTCATGTCTCCAGTGAGAGCATAGAACCTTGAAAATAGACTTTCTACATTATGTTTCATTCTGGACTTAGGATACTGATCATTCAGATCAGAAATTACCTCATTCTACAGCCTGGATCTATTCAATTCAATGCATTTTGTTTATTATCATCATTATTATTGTTGTGAAAGCCAAAGTGTTGTGTGGTTAATAGAGAACAAATGGATACACTTTCATATTGTATATTGTAATTTATTTCTGTGTAACCAGGGACAGCAGATGGGCACTAACATCTCGCTATAATCTGGGGCAGAACGTCTCTTTGAGCTTACACAATACACTTTCCTTCAATACAGACTAAAGTATTTTGTGTATAGCCCTAAATAGCAACAGTAGTTATCTCGCTGGACTTTGCAAAATCTGTTTGTCTGTGGGAGTGGATCCCTCTCTCAATGTGGGCCACCCCAAGGTTTCTCACATGTTTGCCACTGTTTTTAATTGGGGTTTTAGTTTCTTGTTGGTGCAGGAAGCTCTAAGGACAGTGATGATCCTGTACATTTAAGATATGAGATGCTTTATTCATAAGAGCACACAGGAAGAACACAAAATATACAATATACAGTAAGTAGCTGTATGTTTCTTAGCTAGCTGTAAATGCTTCATAATTAATATATCAATATATCTATATCTAAATGGGGCAAAAGTAGCTCAGTTGGTAGAGCATTGGCCTTTGGGTCGGAAGGTTCGAGTCCATCACAGGACCTACTCCAACTGCTCCAGCTAATGTCTGCAATCGTTGTGTCCTTGGGCAAGACACTTAACCCCACATTGCCTGAAACTCCCGCAGAAACACCAAGGCTGAGGCACCATTGATGTAGCAGCCATCTTCCTGTGGACCCACCACCTGCAGAGGATCAGCGAGGGACTGGTGCTTTGAACATTGGGTGGCAGCTCTCATTGCCCCCCCCCCCCCCCCCCTGACCCAGAAATGGACTAATAAAGGGGTTGAAAATTAATGAATGAATGAATATATCTATATCTCACTTCCGTCATCGCCGTGTGTGGAGAGAGTGGAAAAACTATCTGAACTCTATAAATTGTAAAGCGCTTTGGGTGACCTTGGTCTGTAAAATGCCCTTTATAAATAAAACCTTACTTACATACATACTATAGTGCAGAGGTTCTCAAACTTTTCACACCAAGTACCCCCTCAGAAAATACTTGCCTCTCCAAGTACCACCACAAATGACCACACCACACAGTAGCGTAGTAAGCCTAAGTATTCATCAATAACAAGGCAGAGGTTTCATTCCTAAAGAAGTATATTTAATGTAATATTTTACACAGTTTCAACAGTAAGACTGCGCTTAAATATAAGAAAAAAAATTGTTTTAAATGTTTCATTCATTGCGAACTGCAAAGCCTCACTGTGAGTGATATTCTGGAGTGGGATCTTTGTCCACAGAAGGTTTGGTGCACTTTAGTTTCTAAGGCTTGGTCTGCTGCCCTCTTACATCTGTCGTTTACTCACAGAGACATGTTCTCATGGTTTGGATCAAATGATCGTTTGTTGCTCTCTGTTCCTTTTGCACAGAACTGGGGAAAAAAAACTGCTCCTTCTACATGGAACGTGTTGCAAAAAGACTAGAAATGATCTGATCTTATTTCCTTGAATGCTTTTAGATCCAGATTGAGACATCTTCAGTGAAATGTAACTGTTTTTATAATCCGTAATTTTATGAAATTGCGTGTTACTGTTGTATAATCTGTATGTGACTATTTTATCATCTGTATGTGACTGTTTTATCATCTGTAATTTTATGTAATTTTTGTACACGAAAAAGAGGTTCTCATTGACTGCCAGCCATTTTTTGATGACTTCACTGATTTTTAAGACTCACAGAATATTGTGTGCTATGAAAAATATGAAACCAGAGTCTGAAAGACAGGACTGTCTACTTTCAGCAGCAAAAAGAAGTTTGTTCTTAGTTTGTTTTGTTCTCCTGTGATCTCCAGTCGAAAAGAGGAGAGTGTGACAAAAAGCACCAGTCTTAGACAAAAAAATTAGAAAATGAGGTTTTTTGAAAACAGACGAACCTGCAGAAAAGTGATTGTAAAACTATTTAGTTTAACTTTAGCATCTCCTCAAACATGGACAGGATCTTACATGTTAGAAAACAGCAACACGTTTTGAGAAAGTGTTTTTAATGTAAAATAATAAGTTTTATGGCACACACACATCCACAAAGTGTTGCTCAAAAATTTCAAAATGTACTCATCCAAAAAATGTCAAAATGTACATATTGAAAGTAGAGCCCATGACAAACTATGCCAGATAGAATGGCCAGTATTCATCCATTAGGTGGCACTATATTTATGTCAATAAGAGTAAATCAAAGAATAACAAAATTACAATGATAAACACTATACATGACAATAAATCAAAGTGAATACTTATACTTATAGTATAAGTGCAACAGAATACTGCTGTGTGTCTTTGTGTGTTTGGGCGTGCATGTATGTGCGTTTATGCACGCGTTTGTGTGTTTTTGTGTGGTTACATCTACAGAGCGTCTGTTTAGTCCGGCGTGCGCTGTGACCATATCTGGACTTTGCTGCTGGCTCCTGGTGTGGACTCAGTGATAATTTTAGCAATAGTCCACTTTTCTGTGGCTTTTTTGAGGTGCTCCACTGGTCTGCTGTCCTAACCCTCCACATGGTCTGCTGCTCTGACCCTCCACATGGTCTGCTGTCCTGACCCTCCACATGGTCTGCTGCTAGGACCCTCCACATGGTCTGCTGCTCTGACCCTCCACATGGTCTCTGTCAGCTCTGGAGACACATTTACTGCTCAAACTGCCTCCAAATGTAGCCTGACCCTGACTATATTACTCCATGTCTGCTTCACCTCTGTCTCTCCTGCTCAGAGTGCTCAGAGTGATCTTTGACCAAACCAGGGAATTCTGCTGCCACCTGCTGGCTTAATAAAATACTGTCTACAGCCAAACCCCAGACTGTATGATACAGGGGACACAGACTGACAGGAAAAGATTGAAAAACAATGTTGTCCTCAAATGACATCCATGGCTGTCAATGAGTTAATCTCAATGGGACTTTCCTGGTAAAATAAAAAAAATAAAAAATAAAAAATATATTTTTTTTTTCACAGATTTTTTTTTTTTTCACAGATTCTTTGGCGTACCCCTAGAGGGCGCCCGCGTACCACTAGGGGTACGCGTACCCCAGTTTGAGAAACCCTGCTATAGTGTACATACTTACTATATGTACACTATAGTATATACTGTATACTATAGTGTACAGTTATATACTGTAGGGTGAGGAAAAGGGCACGCGCCAATCGGGCGTGAATAGCAGACCGTTTCCGTAAACATGCCCTCCCTAGCTCC